ATCCTTAACATGTTAATGAAGATATTTACACAAAATCTCACATGAAGCAATTCCAGCTTTATTCTTGACAGTTTCACTGCCTTCTAGAACGAGGGTGGGGAATCCTAGTCCATGGAGCTGTGCTATCCTGCATGTTTTTGTTGTTTCCCTGCTTCAACACACCTGATTTTAATCGGGGGGCGATAACAGGCTTCTGCAGAGCTTCGTGAGCTGTTGCATGGGTTATTCAATCATTGAGCCATCATTACCACTTAAATTCACTCTGAGATGGAGATTCTCAAACAGAACAGCAACGGTTTAGTTTTAATTTTAATAAGTTCCACATCAATATTCATTGTTTCATGGACGACGACACAGTAATGTCACACAAATTATAACAGGCAGGAAATTCAGACAAGATAACATGTAGCTGTTAGTTAGCAGGCTAATGCAGAGCTACATCTGATCAAGACTCGGTACCAGCAGATACTCAAAATCAAATGATTCGGACTCTGGCCGGGAATGAATAAATGTGATTGGAGCATTCCGATCAAAAACACCCATGTACATGGTAATTCCACTTGAGGTTTACGTCATGATTTTTAAATTAGTCCTGGTAATACCAAACGCCTTGGTAAAATGTGGAGGACTCCATGACTGCCCAGATGGATTGAACAGCCTGTTTGTATTTCACACTGTAGCCAACCTGCACCAGGGTTCACTTGTAGGCAACAGAAAACCCAAATTCATGGGTTAGGGCAGCACCTGAGGTCTGATACACAATTACACTTACCCAAAGAAAGCAGACTATCTCAGATCAAACAAATTCGGTTTGGTTTAAATTGGATCAAACAGTGCCTTGGAATGTCACAGAGTAGGTCAAGTTCCTGACCACATGATAAGGAACGTGATTGCATTCAAACAGATATGGTTTCAGAAAAATTTTCCCACAGGAAACAAAGCTTTGGAACATGAGGCAATTCCATCATTCAGCCCATAGTCCAGATTAATTGCCATTAACAGACTGTCCCAAGCATATTTCCAGAAAAAAAAGGTTGGGGAAAAATGATAAAGTGTGTGTATCTGATTATTCAATGGACAGTTCAACAGAGCAATGCTAATCTGGTTTCTAAAATGACTTGGCACAAAAATGAAAAGGAGATAAGGTGATTATTTCTTTGTTTCAGCGATGCTTCCTGGTCAAGAAATCTTGTACCACTGGAAAGCTTGATCAGTAACCTTTACAATGAGATATAATTTGCAAGGGATACACATCTACAGAATAAGCAACACCAGCTCAACATAAAAGTTCATTTGTTCTTGTTGTGTCAATTCCTAGGAATCGTTTGACACTTTTGAAAACGATTCCCCTCATTAATTCCAGTCGGTACGAATGACGTCACCACGCACGTTGCGTAGCTTACGGAACCAGGAAAAATGGCGTCTAAGTGGCACAAACGCTTAAAAGTTTGATATATTTTACAAGAAAGCATAACAACAGGGTAACTTGCAATAATTGCAAAGTAGATATTACATCAAAGGAGGAAGCATGAATATACAAACGTCTTTGGGCACAAAAAACGCGCTAATTTTAAGTTATTGCCGCGTTTGGACCCGCTCCGGACGAGTGAATATCAGCACAGCATCAGTGGTGACGTTCACACGTCCTCTCCTGTTAATACTGCAGGTAACTAATCAACTAACACTGCCCATCATGTTAGCGTCATGTACCTTATATATGAACCTCCACACTAGCAGACTCCAGCGACAAAGGTCTGACCTGTGCTGAGATTCTACCCACTCTACAAAAGCTACAGCAACACTGCACCGAACAAGAAGATGACACTGCCTTCACAGGGAGCACAAAGGAGAACATTTGGAAACATAAATCCAACTGATACAGGTACATTTGGTTATTTATCATAAAGAAACTGACAGTTATTTTGCAGGAGCCGTGTGCTGTTAGTTTTTGGCCACCGGTTTAACTACTCTGGAATGGACAAGAAATTGGATCGAAAGACAGAATCAACAATGCCACGGGTACTGATGAAAACTTATCAATGCCCAACCCTACCCTCCACCACAAATGTGCAATATCAGGTGTGTGCCTGAGTGACCAACATCACCATGGTGGTTGACCTTAAACAACTCCTGGTGGAGAATAGGATGCCATTCCAGCACGGGGAGCTGAGCTGTTGTGGCTGCATATGGATATTTCACATGCAACTGGGGTTCTATAAAATTTATATTGCAAAAACAGTCAATATGTGTTGATTTTCCTTATTATTGTGGGAAAGGGCAAACATCAGAACAGGAGTGAATGTTGTCAGACTTTTCTGGGGATCTACCCACGTGTAGATGCATTGCTCCCAAAGCCTGATTTATACTTCTCCGTCTGTGCCTGAGACACGCAATGCTTTTATGAGTCAGGCTCACCGAGGCTGACGGAGACATGCCCAAAACTTTAAACATCGGATGAAAGTGACAGAGACCGCAAGCTTGTGATTGGTCAGGATGCCTTTTCCTATAAGTTTGTCAACAGCACCACCATTGCCTTGTCAAAAAGTAAAAAGATATTTAGCGGCAAACACGGAACAGACTGAAGAACACCTCACAGGAAAACGTCTGAAAATATGAACCTTATTCACCTGTGGCTGAAGGGGTACAAAAATACGATGCAAAACGTTTTATTCGTGGACAGAAATAAAAGAAGCATGGGCTTAGAGCTGGCATGAAGAGGTGTGGATACATGAGTGTTATGGTGGCGTGATGCCACAGAAAAGCACTGTGTGTGTACGTTTCTCCATTGCAGAGCTGACAGAGAAGTACAAATCAGGCTCAACAATTGTACATAATCCTTACAAGTTATACCTCAAAGTAAAGGTGGCAAATCAAGCTTTCCAATAATGTAAGCTGTATTACCCAAAAACATTTTTAAATAAAGAAATAACGGAATAAACACAGTGTTTCCTTATTTTTACTCCATTTTTAACATTATAAAGATAGCTGCAGCCCTATACTGCAGTGCTGAAAAACGTCTTCCAACCCTTTCAGCACCACTCTCCGGATGACAACCCTGTATTTGGTTTAGCTTTTCAGTGTAACAGCAACTCTCACACAACCCCACTGATGGAAAAGACAACCAAGATGGCCATATTTTCCTGGTTTCACTTTTATTAGGCATGTACAATAAAGCACTGCTTTGTGGCTCATCTCAGCAATCTAACGAGCAGAAAACATGCAGCGTTCTACTTAATAAAGACAAACAGTTTTAAGGAGATCAATGAAGGAAACTAAAGTCATATTTACAAAACAGAGCCTGAAAAAATGCGTTACACGCTGGTTGAACAGACATTAACAGAGTCTACAGAGTTGTAAGACAACATCTGCTGATAGCCAGAAGAGCTGTTTCACAGAAAAGCAGCCAGCCTCTCTTTCTTGGGCTAATGACCTTTCTAACCCCAGCAGGGCTCAATTTCCTGTTGCAGACAGAGGGTATGCCATGTTTCTCTGGTACCACTTATGGGAACAGGAGCCAAATCTCACCAGCACTAATGGGAACCGGATGAGGCATACGGATTGGAAAAGTCCAATAGCTAACCAATAATTAGCCCATGAAAATATATATATATATATATATTTAAAATGTACCAATCAGAGAGCACAAGTGGATGAATAACAAATGGATACATATTTTAAGTTAATGAGAAACTAGATCCACAGACAATGGACATGTAATAAATATGACTATTTACAAAGTAGCAAAAATATCATTCTGTTATTTATACACATCAAAAACATCAACTGTAACTGAATATGTGAATAGATGTTATTGGCACTGAGCCTTTAAATGTATCACAGACATAAAAAATAGAGAGAATGGAACCCAAGCTTAAAATAAACAGATATACATCACTGCATCTGCAGTGTAGTCAACATGAGCGCCCCTACAAGCTACAACACACTGTGGCTTGGAGGAAAACACCACCAGCAGCACTGCAGTGTTTTTCTCATCATTGGTACTGCACCAAAGTGGAAAGCTTCTCCTCCATATTCCACTTCTACTGGAGCTTACCTTAAATCCCACCAACTCTTTCACATTTTATTTTAAACATGCACACTACCAAACCTACCCATTTACTTCAGTCACACGTGTTCAGATAGACAGATACACAGGCACCCATAAAACAGGTAATTCCGGGTAGCAAGTGAACGCTTCAAAATGGTCTCGCCAACAACTCTTTTAAAACAAACGGACTTTCGTTGCCTTTGGCTCTGAGGATCTAATTCAGAGCCAGCCTAAAATCTTGGATTTAAACTAATCATGAAAGACTTCATGCAACATGCTAGGATTATAAAATGTTTAGTTTAAACATAATCTAAGGTGAGTAGTGTGTTGGATCAACTCCAAATGAGCTAAGTGCCAGTCAGCCATTTAAAATGGGTCAACATCAGGATGCTATTGGGTGCACTCCCTAGAGGAATATTGTAATGTTAATTATTCTTGGGGGAATGGAAATGCCCCTATAGTGAAAGCAAAATGTAGTGTTTCCAAAGACAAGTGGGGTGAATTAATCCAAAACAAGCGCTCAGAAACTCACGTTCAATCCAAAATGAACGCATTTCCCGTGTAAATCACCAGCTGCCCCTTCAGTATATTTATATTTAATTGTAAAGCATCAACGTTCTTGTACTATCACGCACAGCCAATGGTCCAACTGCGTACCTTCAAATAACCTTAAATACTACAACTAAATGTAATTTGTAATAAAATATTGATCAATATTTCAAACTTTTTGACTTCAGTTTCATAAAAGATCGTTTAAGAAGGTTGTTTAACAAAAAAATAGCCATTATATAACCACGTCGACTTCCATTTCCAGTGATAACGCCAATAAAAGGTTATGAGAAACAAAGTTGACCTTTGTCGCAACATACAACCAGAGTTGAACCGTGGGCAACAGCAGCGGTTTGTTGTTGTTAACATGTTAGCCAAGCAGAAACAGTAACGTGAGACTTACCTCTTAATCCCAACTACTTCCAATTTTTATTAGAATCGTTAATGTTTAGTCGATGCCGCAACGTTTTCGACTGGTGCTGGATAGTCCCATTTGTTGCAGTCGGCTCAATATAAATTCCGGAGACATCCGCATAAGCTTGCGACGACCATTGCAGCTAAAAGCAGCTCGCCAGAGCCGAGGCTAGCGCTAGCTTGTTAAAACCGTGTAGACCCAACAAACAGACGTCCACAGAAAAGGAGACTAGAATATCCGCCAAAAAATAGTTTACAGCGTCGCTACTGCGTCTTCGTCGCAGTCTAAGCACCATTCGGAGTCCATAGGCGCAAAGTCAAGCTTGTTTGGGAAAACGTGAAGCATCAAAATATCATATTTTTGTTTCGCTTTAATCCTCTCCGCCAACCCATTCGAGCGGTTTTCGATCGGCCTTTGACTTCAGTTGTGTAGACGCTTGAAGCGGAAATGCATCCGGGATGAAAGGAGTTTTCTGATTGGCTCACACGCTGGGGGCGGAAACCTTTCAAGCGCGAGGAATCTGACGCCATTTTGGATCTTCACAGTACGTCAGCCTCTTGTTACAGTAAACCCCATCACTGCACCAATATGGCTGAAACCCCGTCGTAGTTTCCAGCACAAGAGACAACTCTCCATTATGCAGTTGGAGGAGTAAGAAAAGGAAATGGAGTTCGGGTACTGGGTGAACTCGTTTTAATATCCTTCGACATCCATACTGTTGTTGTTTTTCTTTTTAAAACGTAAATCAGAATATTGTGAACGTGGCATCATTCAAATTTTTATGCACTTAAGAAGTTGAAACAATACAATTTCTAAAAAAAAGTAGCAATACAATTTCTAAAGAAGTAGCAATAATTTGTTAAATTCTTATGTGATCTTTCAATTTATATTTCTTTCAAATGCAAAAAAGCACTTTTTAGTCTTAGATTTCCTATCCCAAAAGAAATTATCTAAGCAGCGCTCTGATAAATGGCACAATCTTGTCGCTTTACAAGAGTTTGTGTTTAGGAGATGAAGTTAGCGGATAAACGGAGCGTTCCGGTGCAAAATTGAACGTATCCGCAAAGGGATGATACGAGAAATCCTATTGGTTCGAGGAAAACGTCTCTCTACTTATTGGGTTTTCACATGCCATTCACACTGACCCGTACGTGTGTCATTGGACTATGTAGTTGTTTACAACCGCGGTGGGAAATGAAACATTAGTTTATGTTTTCTGGGTACTAAACACGTTATAAGCTAAATTACCCGACTGTAGCTACTGAAGAGGAGTGTCGTCGTAAAACTTAAGTAGTGTTATAATAATTTAGAACAACATATATTTTTTAGAAATTAACAAATAAAACACATACAAATAATAAAATCCACTCATTTGTGTAAATGAAGACAAACGCGCATTTACATTATTTCTCTGGTTCAAGCGATCCATAGAGTATTCTTGAACAAGGCCGCCATCTGGTGGATGGTTGTAAATCAACACCTTTCATCGATATAGATAATTATTCTAAGATATTCACTTTTAAATGATGGAGTTTAAAATATTGCTTTTTTCGTGCTATTTGTTTGCTATTTGTGTAATAATAGCAAACACTCAAACTTACACACGAATAATTTTTCACGTTTTTTAGCTCTTGGTACCAATATGAAGCTTTTTTCTTCATCCATGTAAAATCTCAGAAAGAGTGTTATTTCCTATTTCAAATTAACACATTTTTCTAAATGTTCTAAAATACGATTCAACACTGAAATAATATGAAATAATAACCTTAGAATAATTAAACAGAATATACTGTATTTGAAAGTACACTATATTGGTTAAATTTCTATATATTTTTTCTTCTGGAACTATGTGTAGACATTATGTGATTCTGAAACACTTGTCACAGCAAATTCTTAATGTCAGGCTTTTCAGAACTGGTTTTCAAAACAAAAATCCCAACACTTAGACTGGTTAACAAACAAGATATAGATATTTATTTTCTTCAGGTTAATTTTTTACGTAATTGTTGATTTAAAAGCTGCATTTTCAAAGATTTTAACCACTTTTTAAATATACATGACACTTTGTGCCCACTGGGTGGCACTGGTTCCCCGTTACCTGGTTAAGAACTTCCGATATAAACCAACGAAGAGCAGTCGCCGTTGACTTACGTAGCATGATGCTAGCTCCAAGGTTGGGGGTAAACAAACGTTCCTTTAACATTTCCGAGCTTCACTAAGGATTGCTGTTATGGGACTGCTACTAGTCAGTTCATGTTCACATTGACTCGTAAAAAACACCATGTCGGCCATGTTGTTACCGCACAGCACGGCTGTTTGTAGAAGGCGCAGCAGATGTTTATTCCTGTCGCTATCAAAGCGTAACTCTCATGCTTTTGCAAGCAAACTCATCAACACCCATAGCGGCAAAAATGTGCTGTCAAGGTGTGTTAACGTGGGTAAGACGCTTGTTTCAAGCTCAGAGGGGGCTCTGACAAGTCGCACACAGAGTAAACTCATCCAGGTAAGCAGAAACATTTGTAGATTTTCAAAAGAAAACTAAAAAGCTGGTTTCTTTTTGTGGTCTTGGCTAATCCTATTCCTTAATAGTGATCCTGACCTTTAAATATGATCTTAATCTGTTTTTTTCCAAGATGATTATTCTCAATAGAAAGCGATTTTGTTATTCTCTGGTAACATATAACTGTTATCTGCTCTGCTCTCAGCAGTTTTAACTCCATTCTCATGTTTCAGAGTCTTCTTCACAGACCTTTAGGATCTAGCATGGTGGGACTTAGCAAAGAGTTAATCAGGAACAACCTACTGAGAAATCCAGTTGGTTTGATTAATCTATTAGGTGATTATCAGTCCCATTTCCACCATGAATATATTTATGTTCCAGTATTAACACTGTGTCTAAAACCGTTTTAATCTTAGGAGCAACGCACTTTTTCAGTGCGTCTCAGTCTCAACGACAGAACGATAAAAGTTCTGGATCAAAGGGAAAAACTCCACAGGAAGATGAAGGTAAAAATCCACCATGAGTAGTTTTTTTTCCCGCCTTTCTCTTCCTTTGATCCCGTTGATGTCACATTTTACATTTTAGAAGAGAAGAAGCGGCGTGAGCAGGAGGATCAGATGTACCGCGATCGCCTGCGCACTCTCTTCATCATTGCACTCATCATGAGCCTACTGAACTCCATCAACACCAGCGGTGGGAACATCTCCTGGAACGACTTTGTCAACGAGATGTTGGTCAAAGGAGAGGTGTCCCGTGTGCAGGTGGTTCCTGAGAGCGACATCGTGGAAATTTATCTTCACCCGGGGGCCGTTATCTTTGGAAGGCCTGTAAGTGGCGTGGGAGTTCGTGCAAAGTGAAAAGCCAAAGAGCAAACGAGACATGCATGCTAACGTCTGATCTGCTTCACGTGTCTTCCTCTGCAGAGGCTGGCCCTCATGTACAGGATGCAGGTTGCTAACATAGACAAGTTTGAGGAGAAGCTGAGAGCAGCAGAGGAGGAGCTGAACATTGACGTTAAAGATAGAATCCCGGTGTCCTACAAACGCACGGGATTCTTTGGGAAGTACGAAACTGAACCTCTTCTTCAAACAGGAGTTTGATTCAGACAGGTTTTTGGTCTGGGCCAGTTAAATTGAGCAACATTATTTTTTATTTTATTTTTTTATCTCCTGCCAACCGTTTGAAATGTGACCAGTTGTAACATTTTGATAACGTTGTCTCTTCGCAGAACCATCTATGCTCTGGGGATGGCTGCTGTAGGCGTAGCTATTCTCTGGTACATCTTCCGACTAGCAGGCATGGTTGGCAGGGACGGCGGCTTCAGCGCTTTTGTGAGTAAAAAAAACCCAACAAGAGCTGTTGTCTTTACTTAACAGCAGACTAACCATGTATTATAACAAACCCCGCAGAATCAGCTGAAGATGGCCAAGTTCACTATTGTAGACGGGAAATCGAGTAAAGGCGTGAGCTTCAAGGATGTAGCGGGACTGCATGAAGCGAAGATGGAAGTAAAAGAATTTGTCGATTACTTAAAGGTCAGAAACCACACTTGAACCTTCCACTAGTGTTTGTTTGACTCTTGTGAAGCAAACAGTGGATATGTAATACAATAATGTGTAAATAAACTCGTTACGTGTTGGCAGAGTCCAGAGCGGTACCTGCAGCTGGGAGCCAAAGTTCCCAAAGGTGCGTTGCTGCTTGGACCTCCTGGATGTGGCAAAACCCTGCTAGCGAAGGCCGTAGCTACGGAGGCTCAGGTTCCCTTTCTGGCTATGGCCGGCTCTGAGTTTGTGGAGGTCATAGGAGGTGAATAAAAACCATAACCGTAGTTGAGCCGGTGGCGCTCACACCCACAGCTAGGCTTCGTCGCACACAGCAGCTTTTGTCAACGTGAGATGCGTCGTGACTCGTGTTGTTTGTGCGCAGGTCTCGGCGCCGCCAGGGTCCGGAGTCTGTTCAAAGAGGCTCGCGCTCGAGCGCCGTGCATCGTCTACATCGATGAGATCGACGCCGTGGGAAAGAAGCGCTCCACCAACATGTCGGGTTTCTCCAACACCGAAGAGGAGCAGACGCTCAACCAGCTGCTGGTGGAGATGGACGGTGAGCAGAGCCGCCAGATCTCACACATCAGATGAAAGGATGAATCGTTCAAATCCACCTCCTCTTCTCTTTCGGCAGGCATGGGAACCACAGACCACGTCATAGTCCTCGCCTCCACCAACAGAGCAGATATTCTGGACAATGCTCTGATGAGACCAGGCAGACTGGACAGACACATCTTCATCGATCTGCCCACTCTGCAGGTCGTTCTAGTGACACCGATTTCATCTTATTGTCCTCAGTGTCAGTCCATCACTTCCTAAAGCTAAAAACGAATATACGCCCCTCCAAAAACTTGCATCCACGCCACCTCGTTTTAAAAAGAAACTCTGTCCACACGTACCCGGATAAATACGTTGTTAAGGACATGCCAGACCTGTAGGCGGCAGTACTTCCCCCGTTCTTAACCTCGTCCTTCGTCTGTGGTCTTCAGCAAGGAGCAGTAATTCCGCTTGCAAAAACAAACAAGCAGAAAGCGCTTGGACAGTTGATAAAGCGAGCGCAGCTCTGAGGGCATCCATGCTGTCGGCTAGTGTAAACACAGGTCGCACACGTGATGTCAGCATTTTTATGTCGCGGAAAGTGACGTTGCGGACCTTAAAACTCCGGTTTTGTCCGTCCACACGCAGACACCCAAAACGGAGAAAACGCAGATCTTCACTTTGGCCGGAGTTTTTAAAAAGATCCGTTTTCGTGTGAAAAAACTCCGTTTTCGTGTGGATGACAGGCCAAACGTAGAAAACTATCTACGTTTTGGCAGATCCCCGGCTACGTGTGGACAGGGCCTAAATGTTGCTACAGTAACGGTAACGAAAACAACTTTAGTAACTGTAGTGTGTTACCCGCTGTTGTAGCTCAGCTCAGTTTGCGTCGGTCGCTCGCAACTGTAACCGTGGTTTATTGTTTTTAACGTTTTTCAGGAGAGGAAGGAGATCTTTGAGCAGCACCTGAAGATCCTGAAGTTGACCCAGCCGGCTGATTTCTATTCGCTGCGTCTGGCCGAGCTCACCCCAGGCTTCAGCGGTACGACGGTGCCCACGGCTCCACCCTGGTGCAAAACTAGCCACCATCTTTAAAATGACGTTCTTCCGTAAAAGACCAGATTACTTTAAATCCTTCACCGACAGAACTGCTAACGTATCCATTTCTCCCTGATGCATCGACTTTTAAAGACTTTGATGCCTTCTTAATTACCACACACACACCCCTCCCAGTAAAGATGACACGTCCGTGTGTCCCTGCAGGTGCGGACATCGCCAACATCTGTAACGAAGCTGCTCTGCACGCTGCTAGAGAAGGCTTCAAGTCCATAGATACGTTCAACTTTGAGTATGCAGTGGAAAGGGTCATAGCAGGTACGGGAACTCCTGGTAGCCGCGTGTTTCTGTGCATCATCGTGACCGAATGTGATTAGAGAGTGTGTGTTTCACCAGGGAGTGTGAAGAAAAGTAAGATCCTGTCCAAGGAAGAGCGGAGGGTGGTCGCTTTCCATGAGTCGGGCCACGCGTTGGTGGGGTGGCTGCTGGAGCACACGGAGGCTGTGCTGAAGGTACCTCATGATGGAGCTTGTAGATGTGCTCCATAGGGATTAAGAGTATTTGTATGAAGAAGTGTTGGTCGGTTGTTTACGTGACGTTCAGGTGTCGATCGCCCCGCGGACGAACGCGGCTCTGGGGTTCGCTCAGATCTTACCCAGAGACCAGTTCCTGTTCACCAAGGAGCAGCTGTTTGAGCGCATGTGCATGGCTCTGGGAGGGAGAGCAGCAGAGGCTCTCACGTTCAACAGAGTCACCACGGGTACGCGCACAACCTGGGGACGCAGTGAACAGGCGGGTGTGAGTTCAGATCATGCAGAGCCCTTGTTTCTGCCCTCACCAGGAGCTCAGGACGACCTGCGTAAGGTGACACGCGTGGCCTACTCCATGGTGAAGCAGTACGGCATGTGTGACGGCGTGGGACAGGTCTCCTTCCCGGAGACTGAAGAACAGGGTGCAGTCGGACGCCGTCCCTTCAGCCAGGGTCTGCAGCAACAGATGGATCACGTGGGTTCCAGAAGCAGAATCCTCTCGTGTTCCCGTTTTATCTGTTTGAAGCTTCACGTCTGTTTTGTTGTAGGAGGCGAAGCTGTTGATCGCTCGAGCGTACAGACACACAGAGAAGCTGCTGCAGGACAACAGAGACAAGCTCACACAGGTCAGCTGCTCTTGTTTTCAAGTGGTGCTCGCTGCAGAACCACAAAGGCGGAGCTGCACCAGAGTCAGCCCCGCCCATTCCATCAGAGTCAGCCCCGCCCATTCCATCAGAGTCAGTCCAATTCCTTCCAGTTGTCAGACTTGATAGCATTCTGGAACCAGAGAGGGTGTTATAGCCAATATCATCTAAAATGCAAGATTGAGGACGGAGTTGAGGTTCCATATAATAAAAAAATCTAACTTTTGGAACTTTTTACCATGTTTTATTGTCATTTCCTCATAAGAAACACGCCAAAGCCATTTTTGGCCTCATTCATGCATTTTCCTCCCATCTCAGCTTCAGTTTGGTCTCCTCCCCTGAAGCGGGTCTGGTCTTGGTTCTCAAATCTGGATATTCTGTGAATTTTCTGACAAAGTATTTTTGAAATGACTTCTACTGAGACACCGCCGGAAAAACCATACATCCCATCTACAAAGACACACTGGATGGCACAATTAAATGTAACACCACTTGCTTGTTACCAGATGTAGTGGTGAAGTGGTTATGGAGGCAGGTTGACATGCAGTTTTGCGCAGGTTCGCCTCCCAGTAGCGGAAAACCCCTTTTCTTCTTTTCTAGCTACACTTGCCACTACTATGTTTACAACAATTTATAGGTATACCGTTTAAAATATAATGACTAATGTTTAATTAGCCAGTGTGAGTCCATTTGTGAGCAGAGTTTCAACTAAAATGCTGTTTAGGAACGACCAAATTCAAAGAACTTTTAGAGACATAAATATTTTGCGGAAATAAACATTACAACTAAAATATAAACAAATTAAATGTTTCAGCTGGCTAAATAGATTGCTGCCGACCCCACTGAGAGTCGAACCAGCATCAGCAGAGGGGAAAGCAGAACAAGTCAGACGATCTCGCCACTGGACTACCAGAACCCACACAATAGTCTTAAAGATCCTGTTGTAGGCCGCTTTTGTTGGAGCGGCTGTGGGCAGATATTCACTAAAAGAAACTTTCATTTCAGGAAATATTCAGGCTTTGTCATGTGGCAAGTTATATTTATCTTGTTTAGTTGGAGCATAGAACATAGCATTAACAACTGTAAACCAGTAACAGCCGTAATTCATGTGGGTCGGGTTAGTTTGCGATAAAGTTGAAAAACAAAAACAGAAGAAGTCAGTGGGCTAGGCTGAGTGTGCGTGAATGGGCGGGGCTGACTCTGGTGCAGCTCCGCCTTTGTAGTTCTGCAGCGAGCACCCTCTCCTTGTTTTTGCGCCTTTCGTCTCTGCTATTTGTAAGATCCCGCTGATTGAGTGATTATTCTGGTCTGCAGCTGGCCCACGCCCTGCTGGAGCGTGAGGTGGTGAACTACGACGACATCGAAGCCCTGCTGGGTCCGCCGCCTCACGGGCCCAAGAAGAAAATACTGCCACAGAGCTGGGTGGAGGCTGAGAGGGACAAGCAGGACACGGGGGACAGCGAACCTCCTCCACCTCCCGACAAGCACAGAGAGGACGACGTAAATCCTCACTTAGTTGTCCCACGTTGATCTTTTCCAGCTGCTGCTGTTGGTTCATCAGGGACGGCAGAATATTCTGGAAAATATTCACCTTTTCGCTCCGGCTTGTAAAGGTTTCCAAATGCACCGGTTTTGTTTATAGAAACGATAGTTTGGAGCTTTGTGAATAAATAACAGCTGTTGTTGTTGTCATGTTTGCTGCCCAAACAGATCATCGCATCCTAGCAGCACTTAAAGCAACATGATTTAATAAAGATGCAGCAGGACGTGGGGAGTAATGCTCCCGTCGTCGTTTCCTGTAGTGAACATTCATGACTTGTTGTAATGCAGCATCAAGGGTTGGGATCTTTAGGGGACAGAGACTTCTGCAAGTGCAACTAATAGAACTGAAACTCCTGAATTTGTTAAATTTATCTAGAAAAACCGATCAAAGCCGGCGTTTCGGTGCAGGAAGCTTCACGTTTGTGATTTCTGTAGAATACTGAAGAGCGTTGAAACGAGGGAAGAAATTCTCTTTTTATCACTAAGGAAGCCGTGTTTTATATTTTTAAATCTTTTTTTGTGAATTAACATTTTTAAATGAAGACTGCGCTTTTAGCGCCCCCTAGTGTCCGTTTGTAGAATCAATAGCAAAACAACAGCTGAAACGTCTCCCCAGCCTTCATTAGTGTCTACAGGAACGATTCATCACTAAATCTAACAAATCAGCTCATGCTGTGTCCGCTCCAACAGACTGAAGTGGCAAGTGGAATACTCTGGCCACAGGGGGTGATGGGGCTGGATGACATTAATCCTATAAATGGTCATTTTAGCACATACTGGATAAAGAAAAGGATTTAAAATATTAAAGAAGGTACAAAGTTTCTAATGATTATTTCTGATTTTAATCGGCCACTCTTGAGTTTTTCATGCAGGCTGAACATGAAAATAGTCTCCTACACCTACCTCCTGCATCAGCTTCTGATAGAAATTAGACAGTGAAACTAGGATTAGAAAATCCTGAGAGATCGACGTCAGACTGTCACTTAATGATGGACTCGTTCATCTTGACTCATGACGAGGAAGGCTGTTGTTGGTTTAGTGTCCAGGAAACGGCAGAGAACATCTCAGCTAGTAGAAGCTAAATGTTAGCATTAGCATCTCCACCACACAGCAGAACTCCTCCAGGTGTGTTGTTGGTGGAGATAAAACATCAGTGTTGCTGAGGAGTGGTAGAATTGTGTGCTGTTAGCCAATCAGAGGAAAGATGCCCAAAAATCTGGAAATAAGACTCTAAGACAGGGGTGTCAAACATACGGCCCGTGGGCCGGATCTGGCCCGCAAGCGGGTAAAATCCGGCCCGCGAGAGGGTTGTGTAAACTTTATTTTCATACTTTACAATGTAGAGTGAAAATAAACTTATCTTTGTGAGCAAGTTTCCTCTATAATGAGTATAAATAAAACAAAGCTGCGCTCAAGGCTCACACAAGAACTTGAATCACATCCTGAAGTTGGCCGCCACTCAGGATGTGACTTCTGATATTGATGTGCTGGTGAAAGCTAAAAGATGTTAAGTAAAATGAGTCAAATATACTTTAAGTGCTGCATGAAACTGATCTAGCCATGTGATCTGTAAGCTCTTTGAATCACTAAGGAATGTTTATTTTATTTAATGATTTTAAATTTTTTTCAAATTTTCAAGTACACTTCAGGTGTTGTACTTGTACTATTTTGGATACACTGTCCTCAGCCTCCAGCCTTGTTTTATATTGATTGTATTAAAACAAAGAAAACAATCTGAAGTTGTTTTTAATTTACCGGTCCGGCCCACTTGGGACTAGATTTCCCTCAATGTGGCCCCTGCGCTAGAATGAGTTTGACACCCCTGCTCTAAAACCTTCCTCTGAAGCTACTTTCTCCTCCAGCTGAATTCTCGGTGCTAAAAGGGTGCACCAGAGACACCCCCCCCCCCCCCCCCCCCCGCCTCAGTGCAGCTTACAAGGGATTCAATCTAGAGACCAGTGCAAATTTATTCAAATATGAGTGAAGTTGACCTTTAACCTTGGACTCAGAACGTAGATGTGTAGGGTGTGACTGACGGTAGGTGTAGTGAAGCACCTTGAGGGGTTCCAGGTCTCTAGAAGGTGCTATATCAAATACAGGCCATTTACTGTTTATTAAACAAGGATTTCAGAGCAAAATGTGGAATTTATCAAGAAATAAAAATAGATTTGACAGGTTTTGTTGAGAAGCTGACACATTTCTGCTGTGCCAGAATTTTCATTCTCTATTCTTCTCTCACACTTCCTGGATTTTCTCTCCCAGTAAACGTCTGCTGGAAAGACTTTGTGTTTATTTTTAGCTAAAATTCAAAACGTTTGTTTGCATAAGAAGGATGCATCTCTAAAGAATGTTTGCCAAATATTTAAATACACTTTGGAATGCTAAGAACTATTAAATCCATAAGGATTAAAACAGCTTTTAAACAAAAATCTGGAAAATATGTGGATCTAAAATGAAGAAATGCTGCTAAATGGATTCACTAATAAGGAATAAACATTTATTTTGTACACAGGTAAAATCAGAGTTAAGTAAACACATAAAAGAGCATTAAAGTTTTATAATTACAGATTATTTGTTTTGTGTTGAGAGACTCCATAAAGGGTTAACAGGCCCTGGAAAGGAGGGTTTGTTATTGAATAAAAATAAAAACATCAGAAGTTTCTCTTATAAAATCATCACGTTGGTAAAAAACAAACATAAAAATGAATCTGCGTGTGTTTATCAACACCGAGCCCAACTCGGCACCTTTTCTATCCGACTCTTCCTGAGCTAAACACAAAACTTTGATCCGCTTTAAAAGTTTCCGTAAATCCTATCCGGTACATTCCTCTCTGGTTTTGTTGTTGTTTGTTCCTCGTGAACTCCTCGAGGTGGATTAAAATCTCTGTAAGCGTGTCTGGACGTCTCCACAGACCCGTGTCAGCAGGATCAGCTCTAACGCGGGTCGTACATGTGGGCCAGTTTCTGGAAACGTGGTCCCCAGTCGTTGAGGTAATCGTAGTCCTGGTCTCCGTCCGAGCTGCCCGAAGCGATGGAGCTGAGGCTGCCTGCCACTGAGCCGTCTCCCTCGTAGTCGTAGATCAGAGCTGTGTCGTACGGAGGCATGTTGGGATCGTTGTCGGCAGCCTCCAGGCCCTGAAAAGTAAACACAGAAGTTCATTTCTCTTTGGATTTAATGTTTTAACTTAAGAGAATCCTGCTGTTAGTGGTCGGATGCTGCACCAGCGTCCCATCCTGGATTAGCATTCTATGCTGGTCCACCAGCGAAACCAGCACCACAACACAACATCTGCTGGTTTATTCAGCAGGGAAACGTTGACATCATGAATGGAGTCTCACATCGTTGATGTAGTCCTCGATGTCAGAGGGATCAGCAGGAGGCCTCCGGGGGTACGCGGGAGAGGGCAGGTTGTGTGGCGCATCCTTCCTCAGCGGCTGCTTGCCTCGAGGAACAGCAGACCCCGGGTGGGAGGACCACGGGTTGGAAGGGGCGTCACGTGGGTTCCACAGCAGGTCAATGTTGAAGGCGTTCTGTAACGAGAGAGGATGAAGAACACATCAGAGGTGAATCTGTCAGAATCAGGAAGGCTTCTCCATCCTTCAGCCTCACCTCATCCTCTTCACCCCCTCCCTGCTCGTCGTAGTTCAGGACATTGTCTCGTACATCATCCTCCGATTCCCCAACCAGCAGACCCGTTTCTTTCTTTATGTGGTGGCGCCTTCCACAGGCAGCCAAAGCCACAGCCAGGAGGAACAGCACTGCGAACAGTCAGTCTGGGTTACAAACATGGCTCAAAAGCACGTTTCAGGAAGATTTTCATCAGCACCACGCTCACCGATTAGCAGGGCAACACAAACGCTGATGATGAAGAGAGCGAGGAAGCTGATTCCAACCCTGGAGCCGAGGATGGTCCCCGCCTCAGACTTGCAGTCCCCGTAGGGATCGCAGTGACACGCGGTGACATTGACCTGAGCGAAGGCACCTAAGCGTGGGCTGCCAGAGTCCGTCACATACACCATGACTGTGTAATCCCCAGGCTCCAGCTCCACAGCGGGCCTGAGCACAGCGTGGGTATCTGTGAGGAGCAGAGGACATGAGAGCATCAGGACAACCACCGGGCGGGACATCTTCTCTGTGACCTTTTGTCTTACTGTTGAACTGAGTGATGGTCCAGTTCACTGTCAACTCATCAATGGCAAACGTGAAGGGTGCAGCATGTGGTGGGCCATCTTTATCCGTAGCAGACAGGTAAAGAGCAGAACCTGTGCTGCTGGCGTCCGTGCAAACAGAGCCGCTCAGAGGGGTGAGCTGAGGGGGGAAGTCGTTGGTCTCCCTCAACAGGATCTTCAACGTGGCCGTGTCAGATAGACCTCCAGCATCTGCACGGTTAGGCAGAAGAACAAAACATCTGTCACTCCTTTATTACTAATGTCATTCAAAAACAAGGAAATCATTGTTTTAGTTTATATAAATGCTTTTTGTTTATTTTAATTTAAACACAACCTAAAAATCTGTATTTTTTTTACAGAAGTCCTGAAATAGTAATCAGAACAAAAAGACAGCAGGTGTTGTGGGGAGTCGGAGTGCTAAACCCAGCTAGCTACAGCATAGTGATGCGTCGGTCGCGAACGAACCGGCTCTAAGAGCCGGCTCTATGAAGTGAACGACGGGAGCCGGCTCGTCATTGGGAGCGTCACCCTCCCTCCCCCCTCCCCCTCTTGCCTTGGTGAAAGCTACAGGCGATTGGTCAACATGTGTAACTGCGTGTCCAGACTGTCCACACACAGAGCAGTAGGGGCGGGGAAGAGGGAGGATCAGACTCAGACACACAGCAGAGCACATGCGGGCGGAGGGAGACGAGAGGGAATGAGGAGGAGGAAAAAGGCCAGCAAGAGAGAGGAGAGTGCAACGAAGACGGTGAGAAAATATTACAGTTTTTCTCAGTCTCTTTGGTGCGTTTCTCAGAACACTATTAACATTTGCACAGCAGTTAGTGCATTTCTCAAAACAATTAGTGCAAACTGCAAAACCTAGTGGATAGCCTGCAAAAGCACGTCACATGCTCAAAATTGATAATCCATTCCTCAAAAGCAAGTATTCATGTCAATGAAACTGTCAGTGCCATCAAAATGAAAAGTCTTGACACCATCTCTATGAACAAGATAGTCAAATGGCTTTGTCATGTTTTCACCATGACAGTTTATAATTTCAGTGTTTTCCATAGCAAGAATATTTGGTGACACCTGAAAATGCTCAAGACAGCACTATGCCCTACTGGTACAGCCATTTGAAATGTGCAGTAAAGTTACTGTAGATGTTATGGGAGTTGTGGGAGTAACTGAGACACTGAATACGTACGTTTTACATTTTTACTGTATAGAAGTGTTTGTAATTCTACAGCATTGTGCAAAAGAAAAATATGCTACAGTCACTTGTTTACTGTAGAATACATGTAAACAAAAAATCAACCTTTTGGTAGAGCTGTGCACAAATGTGAACAATATACAGTACATGTAACAGTGCATACAGTATTGCACAGTACTGTAACATACAGGTACAGTCAATCATTCTGGCACATCCAGACGTTCCTGTCTGTCTGGCCACATATTTTCATCTACATCACAATGGATGTCGTCCCCCGCAATGCAGCGAGGAAAGTATCTCCTGGAGTGGAGAAGTATACAGAAGTGTAGAAATGGTACACACTAGCTCCTGCTCAGTTCATATATGCTTGCCAACTGAGGATTCACCTCCTCATGAGTGACAGATGAAATTCACCTGTGATCAATTGTTCAATTTAGGAGACATTTCCAGAATAAAAGGATAAAGAAAGGTATAGAATTTGCTTGACACATGACTGATATTTGACATTTGATAACTAGTTCAACAATTTTGTGTGTAATGACTCAAGCAATGAAAGTAAGACTATTAGTTTTATTGAGAGTGACTATTCAGCATCCATAAGTATAATTCATTTTGACTGACATGACATAAGCAAATGGAAATGTCAAAAAACAGCAGAGAAATGTATGAAAGCAACTGATGCATGTCCAAAATCATTTGCAGTTTGTTCAGAGAAAGGAGAAATTGCTACTATGATGTGCACAAATGACTAAATGTTGTGGAGGTTGAACTAATAGTTATGAGAATTTTAATTCTGATCTGAGAAACGCACCAAAGCGACTGAGAAAAACTGTAATTGTGACATTCATGATAAAAGCAAGGAGACAGTGATGAATAGCAAGTCAAAAGGGACCATTCTTAAGACATTTGTACTTACTCAACTGCTTCATGTCCAAAGGCATGAATGAATGTGAAACCGCCACTAGGTTGTGCCAAAACGACTACTTGTTGTGGAGGTTGAACTAACTGTTGTGCAAAGTGTAATCCTGTTGTGAGAAATGCACCAAAGCAAACTGAGAAAAACTGTAAAAGGAAGCACCTAGAGATGTGAAGGGGGAGAAACCAGATGAGAGCAGGCACAGAGGTGTTTGTTCTCCTCTCTCCCTCCTTTGCACAGACTTTAGAATCTTAGCTTGTGGTTACCTGAGTGGTAGCAGTTAGCCTATTTAGACTCTTCGTGGTTTCGTTTGTCATTTAGAAATGTCCTCATGAAGAGTGACTCGGCTCACCCTTTTGGTGAAGCTTTTTGTGTTTGATATAGTTTTTCATCCAGCCTTCAGTGCTTGCGTTTTGTTTATTAGAGTAGGTTCGTTTGTTAGAGTTCCTTTGTTTATTACCCCCAGATTTGGATGACCGTTTGTGTTTTGTATGTATTCTATTTATTCATTCCAGCCCAGAGAGCTGTTTTCTTTAATAAACTCCCTTTTAAGAGATTTAATTTGGTAGTTTCCTTCCACAGACCGGGGTGGTCGTCCCCTTATTTAAAAAGGGGGACCACAGGGTGTGTTCCAACTACAGGGGGATCACACTCCTGAGCCTTCCTGGTAAGGTCTGATCAGGGGTTCTGGAGAGGTGGGTCCGTCGGATTGTTGAACCTCAGATTCAGGAGGAGCAATGTGGTTTTCGTCCTGGCCGTGGAACACTGGACCAGCTCTGTAGATCCTGAATGCTGCGTGGGAATTTGCCCAACCAGTCTACATGTGTTTTGTGGATTTGGAGAAGGCGTTAGACTGCGTCCCTCGGGAGGCCCTGTGGGGGGTACTCCGGGAGTATGGGGTACCAGGCCCTCTGATACGGGCTGTGAGGTCCCTGTATGACCGGTGTCAGAGCTTGGTCCACATTGCCAGCAGTAAGTCGGGCTCGTTCCCAGTGAGAGTTGGACTCCGCCAAGGCTGCCCTTTGTCACCGATTCTGTTCATAACCTTTATGGACAGGATTTCTAGGCGCAGCCAAGGTGTGGAGGGCATTCGTTTGGTGGCCTGAGGATCAGGTCTCTGCTTTTTGCAATGATGTGGTCCTGTTGGCTTCATCAGAACGTGATCTTCAGCTGTTGCTGGAGCGTGAAGCAGCTTGGATGAGAAACAGCTCCTCCAAATCTGAGACCATGGTCTTGATTCAGAAAAGGGTAGAATGCCTTCTCCGGGTCAGGGATGAGGTCCTGCCCCAAGTGGAGGACTTTAAGTATCTTGGTGTCTTGTTCACGAGTGAGGGAAAACTGGAGCGTGAGATCGATAGGCGGATTGGTGCTGCATCTGCAGTGATGCGAACGTTGTACCGGTCTGTAGTGGTGAAGAGAGAGCGGAGCCGGAAGGCGAATATCTCGATTTACCGGTCGATCTACAATCCTACCCTCACCTATGGTCATGAGCTTTGGGTAGTGACCGAAAGAACGAGATCACGGATACAAGCGACCGAAAAGAGTTTTCTCCGCAGGGTGGCTGGGCTCTCCCTTAGAGATAGGGTGAGAAGCTCGGTCATTCGGGAGGGGCTCGGATTAGACCTGCTGCTCCTCCACATCGAGAGGAGCCAGTTGAGATGGCTCGGGCATCTGGTCAGGATGCCTCCTGGACGCCTCCCTGGTGAGGTCTTTCGGGCACGTCCAACCGGGAGGAGACCTAAAGGTAGACCCAGGACACGGTGGAGGGACTATGTCTCTCACCTGGCCAGGGAACGCCTTGGGATTCCCCGGAGGAGCTGGCCCAAGTGGCTGGGGAGAGGGAAGTCAGGGCCTCTCACCTTAGGCTACTGCCCCCGCGACCCGACTTCGGTTAAGTGGATGAAAATGGATGGATGGAGTTTCCTTCCACAGTTAATTTTCCTTACTCCCTCATTAAACATCACACTCCTAGTCGAGCTGAGGGACGTAAAATAGGCTCCAGCCCCCCATGACTGCATGGACAAGTGGGCTCAGGAAAAGGATGGGTGGATAGACTATTTAAAAAGTTACAATTGTTAAATCTTCTTTCTTATAAATGGTAAACTGCCTGTGTCTCATATAGCATATTCTAGAGTCCTAGAGCCCCCCAAGGTGCTTTACAACACAATCATTCACTCATTCACACACTGGTGGTGGTGAGCTACAACGTGGCTGTGCAGGGGCCCACCGACAGAGGCAAGACTGTTGTAAACAGGCACCACCGGTCCTTCTGACCACAACCAGCAGGCGGGTTATGTGTCTTGCTCAAGGAGCCGGGTGAAATCCTGCAACCCGCCAATTACTGGACAACCTGCTCAACCTCCTGTGCTGCTGCGGCCTTTATAAACTCTATGAAAATTAAAAGCTTTATGCCATTTTTGGCAGCAGCAACTGAGGAACTAACAGCTTTTTCTATTATTATTTTTGCTGAAATAAGAAAATTAACCAAAATTTTCAAGTGGAAAATGAAATAAAATACTGGATTTCTAGAGTTATTTGAGCTTAAATGGACTTTTAAACACATGAAAGCTCTTTTAAAAGCCACAGAGAAACCCACCTGTAACCTTGACAACAGCCGTGTACACGTTGTTCCTGACGTGTGGAGACTGCATGTTGAAGTTCCTCTTTGACTTGATGTCTCCTGTGTTTCTGTGGATTTCCAGCCATCCTTCTGGATCTTTACTGATTTCATATCTACACACACACACACACACACACACACACACACACACACACACACACACACGCACGCACGCACGCACGCACGCATGCACACACACACACACACACACACACACAGAATGTCAGCCAGCAGCTTGTTGAGGGACCTGTAACAACCCTCTAACCCCCTACAGGTCCCACCTCAGCTCAGAATGATCTGGATCAGAGGCCATAGCGCCTTTCAGCAGCGTTCCAGGATCCACAGACTCCAGGACCTCAATCTGGATTGGGTTCTCTTTGAAATGCGGACCTTCATTCTTGTTCAGAACCGTAACAAGGACAGATGCAGTGCTCAGAGGCACGTTGGGAGCCTTGCTGCTCAGAGGACTGAGATTTTCCACTGTCACAAACAAAGCGTGCTCCCTCTGAGCTTCATAATCCAGAGGCTGGAAACAACACAGAATAGACAGATTGTACTGCTCTGAGGTCAGATGATGGGAATCAGTATTGGGATTACACGACAGCTAAACAATAATTTTGGTTCATTTGTGTTTGATTTGCTTTAAAACAAAATTTAAAAGAACATTTCCAGTAAAGGTTTTTGAGGAACTTGTCATTTTTAAAAGGACCACTAGATGGTGATGATTTTGTGTTTGAAAGCCTTAAAATAAAGGAAAATACCAACAATTAGTCCCAAAATTGGTTTACTGTAAGTCTTTTAGTATATATTTTTTGTTGTTTTTAGTGTCTGTAGTTTCTTTTTGGAACAGAAAATCACACATTTCTTGTTTTGGTTCATTAAATTTAAACGTGTTGTTCTCCAAACTCCCTCACTGAAACAGTTTTGTGTGTTTTCTGATTTTTTATATTTTTCTCCATGAAGCATCCTCCAACTATCCTCCTGTTTCCTAAACAAAATCACCCTCCAGTTGAGCATAGGAACAGTTTTTAACAACCTACACACACGTGTTGCTCCCTCATACCTTCACCACCGTCAGGATTCCCTGGTTGGTGTCCGGATCCGTCCTGATGGCGAAGTTCCGGTCCGGATCGTTGGATAGGGTATATTTAGCCTCCCAGTTTCTTGTTCCAGGATCATCTCTATCCGTCACATTCACTCGGCCGATCTCAACGCCGAACACGTTCTCCTCTGCTGTCAAGCTGTACTGTTGTCACCGCACACACAGATGTATTGGATCAACAGATTTATGACACGTAAGCAGGCGTTGGATGCAAACTCAAAGCTCACCGAGGCAGGGCTGAACTGCGGTGGGTGGTTGTTGATGTCAGACACGAGTATGATTACTTCACTTTCACTGTTTAAACCCTCACCCCCCATGTCAGCAACCTGCAGCTTCAACTTGAAGCCCTGAACCACCTGAGACAGAAACACGGGATCTTTAGAGAGCAGAGCCAAACCCAGACAAACTGTCCTGATCTGAGTCACGCCTACCTCCCGGTCCAGGCCCACGTCTCTGGTGTAGATGGTGCCGGTCTGGTTGTTGATGCCGAACATGGTTTTGGTCACGCCGTTGTCAGGAATGCTTTCCTGGCTAATGATGGAGTAGCTCAGGGCAGCGTTCTCTGTCATGGGGTCGTCGGCGTCCGTGGCTGAGACCGACATCACGGGTGTTCCTGCAAGGGAGAAGTGAAAAAATGCAGTTCAACAATAACGTTCAGCAAAACGGTCTGCAATAGCACGTGGCCAGATCTATGCTGGTGTTCTCCATGTTTAATGGTCCTTCTGTCGTCCTGGGGAGGGGGATTCGACACTAATCTCTTCTTCTACGCATCTGGTTTGGCGAGACAAAGATTTGTAGTCCTGAACGTCTTTTCACACAAAACCTAAAATATCTTTCTTCACCGTTTGAAAATGAGCCAAGATGTAATCTGGTGTCACCGTCTGGCCCTTCAGGAGACCAAAACTGGACGTGCACAAGTGAAAAGACGTTGCAGGTTTGTGTCGTTGCACAATGGGCAGTTTCCATAGAAATCTGTGGTCAACAAAACTCCCACATACAATGTGAATGAAGTTTTGTACCTCAGGGGATTTGATCAAAGAAAGTTGAGTTGTGTTTCAGGAAAACTGTCAACATAAAAAGTTAGCTTGTTCAAAAGATTCCACACATTAGGTTTTCTTAGAAATGCAGTCACTGGTTCCAGACACGCTGACAGAAACTAGTCCTGGCTCCACGTTTTTGACCTCTGTAGACTCCCTCACTGTTACAAACTCCTAAAACAAGATGAGAAATCTGCTACATGTTAACAGCTAATTCAGTCATGTTTGGAAACGATGTCGGGAAGAAGATTTATCAAAGCTTTTCAGAGAAAATCATGAATCAAAGAGAGTAAGTCAGTGTGTGATGGACTACCTGGGACAGAGAACTCGGGGACCGAGCCAGAAAACTGCTTCTGAGTGAAGACAGGCCTGTTGTCATTCTGGTCCAGAACCACGATCTCGATGGTGGTGGGGTTCTCCAGTCTCTCCCCACTGGGGGACAGCGCGAAGGCTTTGAGCTACAAACACACACACACACACACATACACGGCAAGAAAAAAGCTTGTTTTTACAGATCTAATGTTTAATTCTCAGAGTTTGTGTTTAGCTGAATGAAGTAACACAAAATGTGCTGCAAAAAGATCAGAAGCGCAGTTTGTTCATTCATGAAATGGACCGACGTTTCTCCCACGATGCCCATAAGGGCTGTGGAAAATTGACCTCTGGCCATGCGTGACACGATATGTGATCTGAGGCAGAAACATGAACGTGTGCTTTGAAACATGTGCAGACGTTTCCTGCACGCACGGACAGGACGGCCCTGATTGTTGAGTTGTAACCTTACCGTGAAGCTGCTGTGCTTCTCTCTGTCCAGAGGCTTCTTGCTCCTGATTACGCCGCTTTTATCGTCAATCTCAAACAGGTTCTTGGGCTCCTGGTCCACCCCTGGCCCCTCTAGTTTATAGATCACCTCACCGGAGAAAATTTTGTCTGATTTGATCTGAGAGGAAGAGCAACAACACAAAAATGATTAGAAGAAGGGGGTGGGGCTAAGGCAAATGGCTCAGACTTTTACTGAATTAATGCTTGTAAACCTTAAACTCCATAAAAATGTTCCAGGGAACACTTTACAATGAGGGTCCCCTTATTAAAGATGTAGTTTGCAGTGTTCTATAGTGTAAATCAATGCCGTTTGAGTCATTAAACAAATGAAAAGGCTATGTTGCTCCTGCTCTGAGATGCAGATGTTTACTGGTGCAGAGGTGGGCTGAAAACATCAGGATTACACATTACAATTAATGATGTGCACACACCTCGTGTCTGACTGGCTAACAGAATGAGTTCAGCCATGTTGGAAAGCTACTATCACCAAGGGTTTTCTCAATGACAAGGACCCTCGCCTTGATTTCTTGGTCCCGCCCCGGTTGCCTAGGAGATACATCATCAGGAACCTCCAAGGCATGTTCCAATGTTCATGTTCTACCGAGGTGTGTGTTCTCTGTTAGTTAGCCGTTCAGCTAGCTGAGCAAGGGTACACGGGAGGTGCATTGTAGCCTAGCCTGGGTCAAAAATTTCCCAGAATACAGCGTGGTATTGTAACGGAACGGAATGACTCTTCTTTTCCCTTCTTTGCTCAGAACTAGTCTGCATGAGATATGGTCTCAAGGTCTCATGCATTCCTTCTAATCTGCTTGTTTTCAGCTCAACAGAAGAATGAAGAATGAACTCTTTTCTTTTAATTAATCAAAGAACTATATTTTAATACAGCTAATCCATCAAAGTGTTAGTCAATAAATAAGATGTGACCGATCTGTGCAATCAAAATATTAATTACCTTATTATGATCCTATAGAATATAAAGGTACTGTGACTTTAAGGGTTCCAACAGGACTCATTTCACGTAGTGTTAAAAAGACATAACACATTCCTTTCACTGATCCAATCAGAATCTTACAGACCTGATGGAGGCGTGGTTCTGATGGTGTTTGGTCATTTTCATTCGACAATAAACCATTACATCCGAAGTATAAAACTACGCCACGCCAGCTCTAACGCCAGTTCAAAGCATTCCAGAGAAAATGACGGAGTGGCCAATCCTGATCTTTTAACTCTTTAACCGAAAGAACGACAAGCTGAAAAATCCAGTCGCTATAACAACCAGCGACAACAGTTCCTTTCAGAACAAAAGCTCAACCATCCACCGACCCAGGCTTGGGTCTCACCAGACGCCAAAATCTTGTCGTGTGCCAGGAAGTAACTCAAGACGAGTTTGATCGGAACCGTGGCTTTTCCTGCCGGCTCGGTTCCAGAGAAGGTCAAGCTAAGACCTCGACATTCCGGATCTAAAGGGGACTTCCACGAAGGGTAGGTAGACCGACATGATGGTGTCTCATGTGTTTCTGAACCTCCTAACCAAAGCTTAATGCGAAAACAACACCTTCAGTTCCTGACAGAACAATCGCTTCTTCGGATTTGCTGGTTCTGATTTAACATCACACGTCATCTATCCACCGTCTCATCCACTTTAGTTACACTATACATTTAGTTTTGAAGTCAGTCTAGTTTAATTTGTTAGTAATAAAATTCTTAACTTTTAACTTGACTCTCTCTTCTGTTGTCTCTGAGTGAATACGGAGCGGTCATCTAATCCCTGCAATAAAAAGATCCAATCTTCTGGTTTAAATAACCTCATAGATCCGTAAGGTGGATTCCATATTTCCTATGGAATCCTACGCCTTATGGCTCATTAATTAAATGTAATTCTACTTCATTACAGTATTTTCAAAAGGATGGCGGATCAGGAGCCTGCAGCTACGTCGGGGACAAAGTTCCAGTTTAAATGTAAGTCAACTAATTGTATCGGGCTAAAATGTTCTTTTTATATTCAAAGCATTTAGCTATGCTTGGTTTGTTGCTTAGTAGTTGCAGCTTCGGTGGCTAGCTGGTAGTAACTCGCTTACATGTTTAATTTAACCAATGTATACAACATTTAAAAAGTAAAAGGTTTGTTAAACATTTATATTGAAACTTATACGTATAACATGTGACCAGAAGCCACGGTCACGTGATGTAAGTCTGTTCCATTTACCGTTTTTTGGACCAAGGAAGGACAGTGTCCTCGTAAGCTAGGCGCCTGGCCTCGCAAGACATCGTCTTACGAGGCCAGGCGCCTCGGCTTTGAGAAACACCTCGAGACCTTCTCCACTCTTTTTCCTTTCTGCTTGTGCTCGCCTTGCTGTGGGCAGGCACGAGCCAAAATGGGCAAGGCCATGAATTCTAATCCACAGTGTGACATAGACATGTGAGGATTTTCAAATCCAAGCATATCACGGTCTATTTTCTATCAGAAGCCAATGCAGGAGATAGGTGAAGAAGACTGTTTTAATGTTCAGCCTGCATGAAAAACTCAGAGTGACAGATTAGAATGAGAAATAATCATTAAAAACAGTTTTTTTCAGTTTTCCACACCTTTAAATGCAATGAAACCAAATAAACCATTCTGACAATCTGGTGTTAGCTAACATGTTTATATTGTCGTAATGTGGCCAGAAAAATCCCAGATCTGTTGCTGTAAAAGGAACACATTTTGCAGGAAGCAGCTGTATCTTTGAAAAAATAGAAACAAATCAAACTGATGGTGCTCCAGTGCAGATGTTGCTGAAAACCTGCATCTGCTCTGTGATGAAATGACATCAGCAGCCAGTCAGATATAAGAACTTCAGATAAAATAGGTAATTTGACATTTTTTTCACCTGGACGAGGTCTTCAGGGATCTGTTTGCTGTTCTCCGACACTCTGATCTGGGGGATGATCCAGTCTCTCTTCACTCTGACCACCTCTTTACCTTGATTTCTCCAGAGGTTTAGAGTCAGAGGGTTCTGCTCTGCCTCATTCTGCTGATGTTCAGCAAAGCTCAAGACCTAAAGAAAAAAAAGAGAAAGAAACGTTGGTAATCAGTTAGATCCTGTGCATAACTTTTTAAAACTCCAGAGAGCCGAGCTCTTGGAAGAAAAAAGTATACCGTTACATCTATTTGCAGCTGTTTAATGTCCCCCTGTGCTTCAATATTCCCAGTGGCCTGATAAACTGGCTGTGTGCTAACTGTAGCGCTCAGGCTAACTCGGTGGGATCCAGAACAGAAGGGACAGCTTCAGGTTTCTCGTTGTCAGATCTTTATTTATTTTTATTTGTGTGCAAATTTATCCCAAAATGAAAAGACAAAACACACACACACACACACACACACACACACACACACACACACACACACACACACACACACACACACACACACACACACACACACACACACACACACACACACACACACACAGAGCAGCTGTTGACAATGGATTTAGATCCCGTGCTTTCCCACCAGAGTTCCCGCTCACACTCAAACACAAAATTCCCCTCTATGCTTCAGCCCTGCACCTGACTGGGAGTTTGGGATCACCTTACGGATCTGTTCAGCTCGATGAATCCCTCAGAAACACTAGTGTGCGTGCTTTCTCACACACCAAACACGGTCTCACATGTAGAGTATTCAAGAGGAAGAAGACACACACCCACACACACATTACCTCATACACACTCTTCCTTTGGATGTTTCCTGTCAGGATTTCACCGGAGTCAGCACATGTTTAAAAGCTCAAGAACAAGATTCTGCTGAAAGATTCTGTGTCAAATCTGAATAAAAATGTGGATTAAGAACTTGTTCTGATCTTCGGAACAGATCCGCTTTCATGCAGCAAGTGGAGAGATGAATGCCAACCATGACTGGCATCTGAATGCCTACTCAGAGGGAAGGCTAATCTCAGAGCATAATATTCCTGACCCCATTCCTATTAACTGTTTCCATCCATCAGCATCCGCATACTCAGAGATGTTTACACTGACATGCCAGCAGTCAGCTCCTGTCACACGCACACCTTGAAAACCAGGAAGTGTCAATGATTGAATGTTCGTCTGAGCTAAAATCAAAACCCAAAAACTGAAGATTTACTAAAAAGAATCATAAATGCTCTCAGAGGCGCCATCTCTGTAACATATAATCCATGCAGTTACCATGCTCATGTTCAAGGCCAGATAGAGCTTAAGACGATGCGATCTTTTGTTTTGCACAAATTCATTTGTGAATTATGGGACATCAAACTTTATTTGTTTGTAAAGCACATTTAAATACAATCTGATGAAACTGTTTAAAAATCAAGTCAAATATGACAATGGAACAATAAAATAAAAACTAGGTGGGAATTTAACGCGTTAATTACGATGAATTATTTCGAAAAGAATATTGCGTTAAAAATGTACCACTTTGAGCCCGAGCACCCCCGATTGTTGGCCGGAAAAGTTTAGCGTCACAATTTATGCCCTATAAATCAATGAAGCTGCAGAGCCTGGGCTACAACACCATACTAACCATTTTTACGCGCTCCAAACACAACTAAAGCTACAATTAAACAAATCGTGACGAACAACTCTTCATAAAAGAAAAAAGAAAAAAAGTTTACTGTTATATTTGTAGTTGGCAGAAAGCAGGCAAAGAGTAACTTTATCCAAATGAACTTTATTACAGAAGCAGGGACACGCATACATTCATCTTATAACCCTCAGCAGAACTTCCTCTGAACTTTATACCACACCTCTATATACATTAGCAGCGCTCTGCTTCCACCTAGTGTTCAGTTAAGTACACAACATTTACGATGTTCCATATCCATTTACACTTCATCAATAACACATGTACTAATACTTACACATCCCAACAAATCTTACTATGGTTACCTTTATGATGAGACCAAAGCCATCAAACAGACCTTGTGGTTACAGAGAAATACTCATTAAAGTGTGGGAATGTCATGTTTATGCGAAGATGTTTTACCCAAGACATAAAAGAATCACACTACGGAGACGGGGTAAGTAAAAATATAATAATTTTTATTAAGAATGGTGAGTAAACTAAGGGTGCTGCTCCAAACGGGAACAGGATAAACCGGAATCTAAAAACGAGAAGCAGACAGATATAAGATAAACCCGGAACCGGAGAGCCAAGAATATGATTTGCTTTTGGAGGTTATTCTTACGGTTGATGACCAGAACTGGTGAGGATGGGCTGGGTCTTTGGGACCAGGTGGGAATGGACGAATGGCATGAGTTCAGATCCAGGACAAGACTTTATTATACTTCGATGTTTTCCAGCCGTTCCTCAAGTACAACACAAGAAAAGCCTTCAGAGAAGCATCAGAGCACCAGATTTAACCAAGCAGACAGGCTGTAAATTCACACACGCCCCTTTAACCGTTTGCAGTTATCCAACATGACACTGTGTTTCAGACTGAGGCTCCACAGGGTATCCGAACACGGTTCTAATGTTTTTACCAGACAAAGACACAGGAACAGCAAAGCTTCAGGTTACCAATTAGACCAGTGAGAGGCTTTTCCGACAGGCTGGTGATGACTCCACACACACAGATGAACTGTTTCTGAGCCTTTCCCCAGATCCTTTTACCACTTGGCCTTTCACCTCAGGTCCCCACAGATGGATGGACGACTTGTTTAGGAATGATTCAGTCGAGAAGCCGAGCCTCTGTCCAGAGTCGGATACAACGTTGGCTTTATTAAAGTAGTCAGACAGAAGTAAAAACACATTGTCAAACTTAAGTCTGATTACTTTACAAAGGCAGAAAACCATTTTCTTTTGTAATAAAGCTTGTTAAAGTGACAGTGGCGATAGTACATATCTAAATCATTGCAAGCATGTATTATTTTTGTATTGGAGTGAGGCCTTACCAACGGATGCCCATTAGGGTCAAAAAGCCCTGGGGAGTGCAAACTTCAGCAAAATTGTAAGCACATCAGACTACTTTTCATCACTGGCAACAAATGAAATGGTAAATGTGAGCAACATCAAACAACAATGTTTTTGAATGGTGACAGTTGTGTAATTGTTACAAATCAGTAAATGAATTTTGTCCTCATGGGTTCCCGTAGAAGGAAACATGGTGTCTAAAATGGTGTCGCCCAGAGACTTAGACCCACTCCCGTGTGTTGTAGACCTGATTTATTTGGTTATCTGTTGTGAAGCTGCCAGTATTTCTCAACAACTGGCCATCATTTCACTTATTTTAAACAACATTGCGATGGTTATTTCCAGGGATTAACAGTAAAAACTACACATTAGCTCTTTAATAAAGCATTTTTAGCTGTAGCTGTAACTGATGGGACTTTAACTTTAAACACAGGGGACAGGTTATGCAAAACTACTGCCTCTATACTTGAAAAATGAAAAAAAAACTCAATCGTATATTTTCTGCAAGTGTTAGGAATTGTGTGCCTAAAACAAGCTGTTTAAAAATGCCTCAGTTTGTGACATCACAAGAGGCAACATTTTCATAGAAACTTTACATTTCCAGTCTGGAGGAGCAGGGGCTTTACTCCTTTGCTTACTGGGTAACTTTTCAGTGACAGACGCTTTTGTAACCTAAACATTTCCTCTTGTCACCACTCACTGAAGTAACTCGGGGAAAACGGCGTCTGAAGGCGAATCTGTTTCTGTTCGCCCACCACAAGCATCAGACCAGTCAGCCAGCACCCATCCAACACTCACACCCTAACTCTTTGCTAAGTCATGACTGCCTGACATGGGCATGGCACTCTATTTATTCCCCCAATACCAGTATGGCCCCTTGTTTGAGCAGATGTCTGTGTTTTAGGAATGCAGGTTAAGGTCACGGCCTTGGGCTAAAAAAGGCACTTTGACTGGGACACAGACATGGAGGTGGATTTAGGATAATCAGTACAAAACATCTGTTTTTCTCTGAACTGTTCCAATAATATTCTTCTTGATGTAGCAGAAATACGTTTAGAGTAGGGTCTGGACTGGATTCATCTTTTCCATCATAAACCTGAAAGATAGTTTCACAGGATCCAGTCAAATGACACGTATCAAGCAACAGAATCAAGTCTCTTCAATTTTAGAAACTGCAGTGAGCAGATGTAAGCAACAAAGGGCACGAATGACAACTGCAACCAGCTGGTCTTTCATGCCTCGGTCTGTAAAAACTATCGGGGCAACACGGAGGAAAGGAAATTGACTTCACTGTTCATATAACTTATTTGATGAAGTGGAAGTCGCCTCTCTACCCTTTGCTCCCTCTGAAACCCTAGTCAGTGTAAAACAGCCTGCAGGTACCCACGCCCAGCAGGGCCGGCCATCCAGACTCTAAATCCTCTGACTGATTGTTTCCGATGAGTGAGACCTCAGCGCCAGCTGGTCGCCGCTGCCCACTCTTGATCTGTACCTGATTTCATGGTCCACCCCACCTCTCTCCACTCGGGGGTGGGGGTTACAGATTGGGACAAATGGCATCACGTAAGCATTTGGGAACAGCTGTGACTGCTGCCCACTCATCATCACCAACAACATGCACCCAGCAGACCTGAATGGCTCCCCGGTGACACCGGAGACGGCCCTGACTGGACCGACAGCTGTGAGCGGTTAAATGAAATCCTTTGCTATTAGATTTATTAAGTTCTAGGTGAATTTTCTTAGTTTTATTTGTAAAGAATAACGAAACGTTTATGTATTTGATCAACATCATAAAAATAGATTACAAGCATTAAGTAACAACTGGTGACTGGTGATATATATGTATATATATATATATATATATATATATATATATATATATATATATATATATATATAGTCCTTGTGAAGCATGTCATAATTTCTGTCTTGAGATAAACTATATAAAAATTATTTCTTCTATCATCTATCTATCTATCTATCTATCTATCTATCTATCTATCTATCTATCTATCTATCTATCTATCTATCTATCTATCTATCTATCTATCTATCATCTATCTATCATCTATCTATCTATCTATCTATCTATCTATCTATCTATCTATCTATCTATCTATCTATCTATCTATCATCTATCTATCTATCTATCTATCTATCTATCTATCTATCTATCTATCTATCTATCTATCTATCTATCTATCTATCTATCTATCTATCTATCTATCTATCTATCTATCTATCTATCTATCTATCTATCATCTATCTATCTATCTATCTATCTATCTATCTATCTATCTATCTATCTATCTATCTATCTATCTATCTATCTATCTATCTATCTATCTATCTATCTATCTATCTATCATCTATCTATCTATCTATCTATCTATCTATCTATCTATCTATCTATCTATCTATCTATCTATCTATCTATCATCTATCTATCTATCTATCTATCTATCTATCTATCTATCTATCTATCTATCTATCTATCTATCTATCTATCTATCTATCTATCTATCTATCTATCTATCTATCATCTATCTATCTATCTATCTATCTATCTATCTATCTATCTATCTATCTATCTATCTATCTATCTATCTATCTATCTATCTATCTATCATCTATCTATCTATCTATCTATCTATCTATCTATCTATCTATCTATCTATCTATCTATCTATCTATCTATCTATCATCTATCTATCTATCTATCTATCTATCTATCTATCTATCTATCTATCTATCTATCTATCTATCTATCTATCTATCTATCTATCTATCTATCTATCTATCTATCTATCTATCTATCTATCTATCTATCTATCTATCATCTATCTATCTATCTATCTATCTATCTATCTATCTATCTATCTATCTATCTATCTATCTATCTATCTATCTATCTATCTATCTATCTATCTATCATCTATCTATCTATCTATCTATCTATCTATCTATCTATCTATCTATCTATCTATCTATCTATCTATCTATCTATCTATCTATCTATCTATCTATCTATCTATCTATCTATCTATCTATCTATCTATCTCATATATATATATAGTCCTTGTGAAGCGCCTCATAATTTCTATCTTGAGATAAACTATATAAAAATTGTTTCTCCCTTCTTCCTTTTTAAAAAACACAATGCATTTTTCTAGATTTGCATAATACAATAAGGCCACCCGTTTCTCACCAACAAGACGAATATTTTTAAACGGATCAGTTATAAAATCACTTGCAGATGTGTCACCTTCCTTAAGTTTCTTTAACTTAATAATAAAGTTGATTCACAAAGCATTTTCTGCTCCAACGCTCCAAGTTAGCATGAACAGAGAATAATTCTCAACCAAAACAATGCTTTAAACAATATTTAGGTGCAGAATTTAAATAAAACCACATGAATGAAATTATGTTCCTTTGCAGGAATTTGACAATAATTATGGATTTTGCATTTTGTCAGAAACAAAAAAGGAGAAGAAACTAAAAATCTGCTCTCTCTGTTCATAAATGGACATTTAGAATATGTGTGTGTGTGTGTGTGTGTGTGTGTGTGTGTGTGTGTGCGCGCGCGTGTGTGTGTGTGTGTGTGTGTGTGTGTGTGTGTGTGTGTGTGTGTGTGTGTGTGTGTGTGTGTGCATGTGTGTGTGTGTGTGTGTGTGTGTGTGTGTGTGTGTGGCAGATGTTGTGTTTTTAATCTAAATGGTTAAAAATTCCATGTGTTGCTGTTTTTATTTTGGTCCCTTGAAATCTGAGATATTCTGATTAAACTGGACTGTTGGTTAGAAGTGACATTAGGGGTTTCATAATAATTAAACAACATTTAATCCTCAAACTAAGGATTTAAACAACTTTTCATCATCACTAACCAAAACAATGACTGCGCGCTCTCCAACAGAGAAATTAGAGATTTATTAAACAAATAGGCCGTTCCCATCTGTTCCGGGTCGGCCCGGGCCGGGTAGCGTAGGTTGTTTACATATCTGGGTGGCCTGGTATTTTTCCGGGCCAACCAAGGCTCATTCTCAGCCCTCTTCTCGAGGGGGTCTGCTTCAGGCCGACCAGGGCCAACACACCCACTGCTGACAGCAAATTCACACCTTCCATTAGAGCAAGCCTCTGATTGGTGGGTAGAATCAGCCCACATGGGCTTAAGACAAGGATGTGTGGAATCAACCGGGCCAGGCTGGGGCCGACTGGGGCTACCCGGCCCGGGCCGACCCGGTACAGATGGGAATGGCCCATAATTAGAGGTGCGGAAGCCCATTCACGCCGCTCTGATTTAAAACATACATATTTTTAATCAGTGATGGGAATGAGATGTAGTTCTCTGACCTTTGTTTTTCATTTGGACTCATGACACCCAGCAGAATCCACAGATGTCAGAAAAGCTAGTATCAGACGTATGAATGAAGGTTTTTCTGCGCTACACCAGAAAGGCCCCAGTTTCTTTAGATGTTGCTTTCTATTAAGCGTTTGCAAGTCAAAGGTTAGCATTTAAAGGGACATTTCTCCAAATAAAGAACATTTCCTGTGAGACACTGCAGCTTCTGGAGGATGAGAATTCTATATCAGCATCACCACACACAGCTCAAGCTGTCTGATGTCAGCATGAGAACACGTGGGCTGGTTGCAGCACACTGAAGGATGTGATTCAGGGTTCACCCTGTTAGAGCACCGACAGGGTTGCTTGTTTGTGTTAGAGGCTACAAATATTAGGATTTCACCTAAATGTAACAGCTTCCTTTGGAGGAAGTGTCCTTTTGTGATTAATTCTAAACAATGTGTGTTCTCCTCCATGTGTTTAAAAAGGCAGGACACGACCAAAAAAACAGCGTTAATTAACACCAAAGTTGCAAAAACACTCAAAACTTAGCAGGCGACAGAAACTTTTGGAGGTCTGAGTACTTTACCGCCAACATCTCCAACATGTAACAAAGGGGGACTCGCTCATCTGCTCAACATGACCGATCCAAACAGAGAGAAAGACTGATGATATTTAGAAGTCTTGGCAATAACTCTGTTTCTATGGTCATCCATTTTCAGTGCCACAGTGGCGTCTGCAGACACGAGCTACCTCTCTGAGCACAACTGGGGTTCCATCATCCTCCCTCGGACGAGGATGAAATGTTTGGTTCAGCCTCCAGCTCTGATTGCTTCCGTTGATGAAGACAAGTAGACGCTGAGTTGAGAACATCACTCAGCTACGGATTCTAAACTGTGTATGTGAGGAGCGGGCCGGCTGAGGGTCACTCTCCAAACAAGATCCCACTCAGCAGAAGCAGGAAGCAGAATGCCAACGGGAAGGCAGCAGAGTCACGTGGTGCAACTCAAGTTCAACTGGGTTATGGGTAAAGTAGTCAGACTGGGATTTCTACTGGCGCTTCACAATAAGGAGAAGTGTAAAAAAGCATAAAAACTTACACTACTATTACTTCAGCGTAACGCTTTTGTGGTAAATTGTGCAAAAACATTTGGACTATAAATAGAACACAGATAGTTCAATGAAGGAGCACGTGTAGCATTATGCTTACCTGACCAAACACCAAAAGCACACAAACCGCCAACATCCGCGCCGCCATCCTCATGACTTTAAAACAGGACCAGTCTCTGACCACCGCTAGAGCTGAACCCCCCCTCGGTGATTTTATTGCTCACAGGTGCCAAACATCCACTTTCCAGCGTTTCTCTCTCGTCTGTCCTTCTGTCTGTCCTCCTGCACGCCCTTACCGTGTGTGTCTCTCCTTTTCCTCTCCCAGCATCTGTCTCTCACAGCTCCACCCTGTCCATAGCTGGGGTATGTCTCACAGTTGTGGGGTAAAGGGGATTAGTATTTCAGCAGCGGGCCTCCAACGAACCCCCTCCAGCACATGTGCTGTCACTCACAAGGCCGGTGGAAGAGGGCGAAGGAGACGAGGAGAGAAATGGAGCAGCTGCTGAAAACAGAAGCACCAAAGGAGCCTCTTAACTCCTTAAAAGCAAAGAATTTAACAGAAAAACAAGGAATAAGGAGAGAAAATGGAAAGAAGATGAAAGCTTAGATTTTTATTTGTTTCCATCAGTATTTCTGTTATTTACTTGTACAAACACATCAAGTAGTAGCTAGGGAAGAGACAAAAATGTGTTTTCCAGCCTTGCACAAATGAACCAAATGCAGAAATCGATAACACACTTTCCACAGAAGAAGCTCACATGGTTAATATAAATCTGCAGACAGAAGCCAGAGAGGAGTTTAGCCTTGACGAAGAGTTGGAACAGAGAAACAGATGGTCTGGCTCTAAAAATAAGCAACACCTCCGAAGCTCATAAAATATCTTTTATGGCGGTACAACTCCTAAAAGCAGGATAGCGTCGTAAAGATTTTTGTTGTTCAACTAACTCAACATTTGTGTACAAATCAAACGTAAAGAAAGAAAATGATCTTTTATATAGCGCCTCTCAAGATGAAAATCATGAGGCGCTTCGCCAGAACAAAAATTTCTAAATACAAAAAATCTTCCAAAATCATGAAAAACTAGGGGAAGAAAATTTTCATAAAAAATAGAAATTTGTGAATCAAAAATGTAAGGAAAGAGAGGAAATTAACAGAAAAGAGGGAATCAGTGGGTCCCGGGTAAGGCGGAATAAGAGCAGAACAAGGAGAGGATGATGAAGGTCACACCAAAGCCTGACAGGTGAGTCTTCAGCTGAGTCCACTGACCTCAGGCGCAGAGGGAGAGAGGTCCAGAGTCTGGGGGCCACAGCAGCAAATGATCTGTCACCTTTGGTCTTTAGCCTGGTGCTGCACAACCAGTAAGCTTTGGTCGTGGACCTCAGGGACCTGCTGGGGGTGTAGGGACTGAGAAGGTCACTGATGTATGATGGTGCTTGTCCATGTAAGGCCCTGAAGACCAGAACCAGGATCTTGAAACCTGAAAACTTGAACCCTGAAGTTGACTGGCAGCCAGTGAAGCTGGAGGAGAAGCGGGGTGATGTGGGTGTGTTTGGAGGACTTGGTCAGAAGCCGAGCACAGGCATTCTGAACCACCTGTAGACGGTTCAGGGAGGTTCTGCTCAGACACGTGAAAAGAGAGTTACAGTAGTCTAAGCATGAGGAGATGAAGGTGTGGATAACTGTCTCAAGTTCAGAGCGGGACAGAATGGGACTCCGCTTAGCAATGTTCCTGAGATGGAAGAAGGAAGAGCGAACAAGAGAACTGACATGAGAATACAGGGTGAGAGCTGGGTCAAAGGTCACACCAAGATTCCTGACAGAGGTGTCATTGCTGGGCCCACAGCAGAAGTACACAATAATATCTCTGAGTCACATTACATGCAGGGTCGGATTATCATTGCAGGGGCCCCTGGGCACAATGTGCCTCATTACTTCTGAACGGGACGGACGCCAACTCAACACACGAACAATAGAACATAGAAAGGAGTGCGAGAAAGAAACAAGTCGAAAACACACAAGAGCAGCAAAAGAAGAAGCAGAAAGTACAATAAAGAAGTCGGCCGTAACAGATCACTGCACAAGAGAAAACCATGTAATGGGTTGGGACAACACAAGGATCATAACCACCGAACAACAGAAATACAAAAGATGGATAAAGGAAGCTATCGAGATAAGGAGACGTGGATGTGGGACCATGAACAGAGACGATGGGGTTTACACATTGGATCGCACATGGGACTGCATCATCGGAGAGGGGAGAGCGGGCAGCAGAGGGCGACAACGCGGATAAATGGAGTAGGAAGTGACGCCACCATCAGCGTCACCTCTGAGGATGTTTTGCAGTCGGCAAACGAAACATTAGCAAGGTAAAGAAAAACCTTTCCTGTGTTTTAAAAAGAACCAAAAATGGAAAAAGTTAACACGTGATCGTTCATGTCGGGTCATTTCCTTTTATACTTTCTGTCTTTTATTTGTGTCTGATGCGTTTCGCTGCTGCGGAGCGCATCACCTGTTTCATCCTCAGGTGACTTCACCTCACCGGTGCGGTCAGCGCGCACTCCGCTATATTTGCGGTCGGTAGATCTTTTTGAACTGCAGTTCAAAGGTAACTCATGAGGTAAAAAATATGAAGCCAGGTAGCAGTTTTTCTTTAGGATTGAGAGGAGATGCAGGAAGATAATAAACAGAGACAGGACAGAAAAATAGTCAAATAAAAACAAGTTAGTTTTTGTACCTGGTGGTTGCAACAAACAGACACCACTGAAGGTAATCAGAAGTGAGGAACAGAAAATGAAATAATTATTTTAATGTTTAGAGCAGCAGGAACTCTGAGAGACTGCAGGCGCACCAGTGAGTTTGCGGCCGCTGCGCAGGGGGAGGGGGAGAGGGCTGTAGCAGGGGAACAGTAAAGATGCAGAAACTACCGTTGTTAAAAGAAATGTGTGTTAACTTAGAAAATGTGGGCGCAATTTTAATTACTTGTCAACTCTTTTCTCCAACGTTGAGACAGCTGCACACACACACACAAAAAGCCTGCTGCTCGCGTGGGCCCCCTTGTGGCTCTGGGCCCCTGGGCCTGTGCCCAGTTTGCCCAAATTATAATCCGGCCTTGATTACATGGCTAGAAAAAGAATTTTAAAAGGATACTGGCACTTAATCTCATCTGGGGTCAGGTCTTGCCCTGGTGCTCCCTGGCCAGCTGAGATGACAGTCCCTCCGACGTGTCCTGGGTCTCCCTTTAGGTCTCCTTCCAGTTCGATGTGCCTGGAAAACCCCACCAGGGAGGCATCCTAACCAGATGCCCGAGCCACCTCAACTGGCTCCTCTCAGTACGCAGGAGCAGCAGATTTACTCCGAGCCCCTCCCGGATGACCGAGCTTATCACCCTATCTCTAAGGGAGACCCCAGCCACCCTGCAGAGAAAACTCATTTCTGCTGCTGGTTTCTCTTTTTTCGGTCACTGCCCAATGCTTGGGACGATAGATGAGGGTTAGAATGTAGATCGGTTGGAAAATCGAGAGCTTCGCCTTCTAGTTCAGCTCTCTCATCACCTGGATACAAACTGGTACAATGCCTGCATCTCTGCAGACACGGCACAAATCCACTGCGTCTTTAACCCAGAGATACTTACACCTCCACCTGAAACAGGGCCTCTACCGTTTCCGACTCTAGACCATGGTCTTGGATTTAGAGGAGCTGATTCTCATCACAGCTCTTCAATCATTCCAAACAAGAACAAATCTAATTCCATCTTTTAGTTCTTTTTAATACACAGAAATGTTTTATTTACCTGCAACGTTTCGTTTGCGGCTGCAAACTTCGTCAGGCAAACGAAACGTTGCAGGTAAATAAAACCTTTCTGTGTTTTAAAAAGAACTAAAAGATGGAATTAGAGTTTAAACACAGCAAGAACACACCAAAGATGTTTAAAGAACAAGTCTAACTCTATACAGAACATGCGTTCACCTCCTTAAATGTAAACTACTCTCCATTTTTTCCATATTTAAACATTTTTTTCTTTATTTCTGAATGGGACCTCGACTTTGACCCAACCACATTTACAACAATAAAATTGCCAGTTCTGTGCCAGTCATGGATTGTCCATAATGAACACCATGTTCAGACATGAAGGTGTCCATATGTGTTCTTGGCACCAGGATACCTTAGGCCGCAGCTCGATGATCGACTTTGTTGTTGTTTCATTTGACCTGCGGCTGCATGTCTTGGACACTCGGGTGAAGAGAGGGGCGGAGCTGTCAACTGACCACTACCTGGTGGTGAGTTGGCTCAGATGGTGGGGGAGGATGCCGGTCAGACCAGGCAGGCCCAAATGTATTGCGAGGGTGTGCTGGGAACATCTGGCAGAGTCTCCTGTCAGAAGGAGCTTCAATTCCCACCTCCGACGGAACTTCCAAAATGTTCCGTGCACTACCAATGCTATCTATAGTGGGGGCAGTGTGTTGCTGACCTCTACTCAGGATGTTGTGCATCGGTGGGCAGAATACTTTGAAGACCTCCTCAATCCCACCGGCACGTCTTCCAGTGAGGAAGCAGAGTCTGGGGACTTTGGGTTGGCCTCGGGTTGGGGGTGGGGGGGTGGGGGGGGGGCTCGGAGTAAACCCGCTGCTCCTCCACATCAAGAGGAGCCAGTTGAGTTGGCTCGGGCATCTGGTCAGGATGCATACTGGACGCCTCCTTGTTGAGGTTTTCCGGGCACATCCAACCGGGAGGAGACCTAAAGGTAGACCCAGGACACGCTGGAGGGACTATGTCTCTCACCTGGCCAGGGAACGCCTTGGGATTCCCCCGGAGGAGCTGGCCCAAGTGGCTGGGGAGAGGCAAGTCAGGAATTCTCACCTTAGGCTACTGCCCCCGCGACCCGAGTCCGGATAAGCAGATGAAAATGGATGGATGGATGGAAAATTACCACTTCTCCAACTTATTTGGTTCTCTTCTACTTTGACAGCCAGTGCCTAAATCTCGCTGTCAATTAAGTTGTTTGTTTAAATCTGTAAGGCTTGTCACCAGCATTCAGACATTAATTCTGTTTGCTTCACAGTCAGACGGGACACAGGGAAATAAATAAATAAATAGATAAATAATGTTGTTTTTGTTTATTTACCAGAAAGAACACAGCGAATGCCGTCACGAGCTGAGGATGTGTTGTGACCAATTATGGTTAAATGAGGGTGTTTCTGTATGTAAATGACCGTGAATGGACGCACGTATACGCACAGGTGGGATTTATCAACAGTTGATTGCACAGGAACATGCGTACGAGTGGCCCCCAATTTTGACCGTTTGCGCGACCATTCCACTTTTCATTCGTAGGAAGAAACATAGGATTTGTTTCTATGAACTTTTTATAAATGAGGGCCCAGGGGAGGAGGGGTCCAGACTCGAGTCTCACAGCTGGATGGGGAAGAGCGAGGAGGCATGACTAGCAGCAACCCCAACCAGCTGTCTGCAGCCGCCGGACAGACCAGCAGAGGCTTTTCAGAGGAGAATGGAAGCTAAAAACACCTTTGGAGGTGTTTTCATGAAGAAATAATATGACACGGTCAAAAACTCCAAAAAGTGGATTTGGCTTAATATTTCAGATTTTAGCCTGTTTTGAACGTATTTAGAGAAGCACTCAGAAAAAATTAACATAAAATTATTATTTTATTTTTAAACAAAAGAAATCACCTATTTATGGCCTGATGATTTTGGCCCTATTCCAGTCTTGAAAGGTTTAGACACCTCTGAGGACATCTGGTGGTTAGAGGAGGAAATGCAGCAAAAACATGTACCTCACAACAAAACTAGGAGCCTAAAAGACGAGACCCGGGGAAGATGGAAGATCTTTGCAGGCCAGTAAGAAGAGTGTTGTAATAGTTTTGTGTCGATGATGAAAATCTCTATAAACACTGTTCACGAGAATTTGCCCTAAAGTTCATTTATTCAAATCAATGTAGGATTTGAACACATCTCACCTGTGGACAAAGGCTTACAGGTAAAGGTAACTGAGGGAGATCTGCTGCTGCTTGTATTTATTAATCACATAATGTTATAATACATGTAATACACAATCGATGAAAACAGACCACAAGGTAAAATCACCTATAATAATAGCAACAGCTAGCCCACCGTGTTAAAAACTTCAGCCTCACCCCAGATGAAGAATACCTAATAGACAAGGGACATTCCCAGAAACTCTGATGGGGCCTGCCATCTCAGGAACCCAGAGACAGTCTAAGCCAGGTGTGCCCAACCCTAGCCCTCCTCGAGATCCCCTATCCAGCATTACTCAGTTTCTGCCCAGTTTCAACACACCTGATTTGAATCAGTGGTGATTAATGAGCTTTTACAAAGCTTGTTGAGCTGCTGAAGGTAATTCAGCCATTGAATCAGGTGTGTTGGCGCAACTAACAGCTGGATAGGGGCCCTCTTGGACCAGAGTTGGGCACGCCTGGTCTAAGCCAATCGGAGAGCTGGATTTTACACCTTGTGGACGGTAGACAGGCTGAGCCACCAGGACAATTTAATGAGTTAGTTAATTAGGGTTGGGAAGAAGCCAGATTTGCAGGTGCTCATTAAATAATTAAATTTGGATACACAAAATGTCACAGCTGGTGGAGGAATTGGAGTTGCAAAACCCAAAAAAACACACAGAGAGAGAGAGCAGAGGTTAAAAAGCAAAGTTCTTTATTTTTTGGAGCTCAGGGAAACTCATGGGCTCAGAAAAATACTGGAGCTGTCGTAGAAAAAACAAAAGATCCTCACAAGAGGCAACCCTGTACCGCAGCGGCATGGTTCACACAACAGGAGAACGAGAGACAAAACTTGGGACGAGAGTTGGACGAGGGGCGGGGGGACCAGCACACGCTGACAGGTGATGCACACACACAACGAACCAGACTAGACCAAGGCTTAAATACACAGAGGGGAGTGGTCAGGGAAATGGGTCTCAGGTTTATTTAGACTAAGGGGGGAACTAACTTAGATTTTCTAAACATACAGAAAACTAAAGATAATAACTAATAAACCTGAAACTAGAAACACCAGAATAAACAAGAAACACCAGAGCGTTAACGTAGGACACTAAAGAGACCAGAACCAGACGAAGAAGGGATCTACCACTGAGGAGATTATCAATCATGGAGGTGGGTAGACTAAATATGAAGTGACTAGGGGGACCAAGGGGGAGACCTGGAAGGGGCTGGGGAACACAGGGACACAGAACATGACACAAAACGTTAATAAAAATGTAACTTTTTTGGTAATTATGTAGCTTTGGTAGCTCAAAACACCAGGCAAAGTTAAAGTGCACCCCCCAGACCATTCGGGGGGATTACTGGGGTACTTGCTTCCATACAAACTGCATTAAGATTGACGGGAGAATAATAAATAAACAGACCTTGTTAGAGGTTATCGATAATAGTTTCCTTGTCTTATATGGTAAATGGTAAAATGGCCTGTATTTGATAGAGCGCCTTCTAGAGTCCTGGAACCCCCCAAGGCGCTTTACAATACAATCAGTCATTCACACACACACATTCACACACTGGTGGGGTGCCCTGGGGCGCTCTGACAAAGTGGAGGCTGCCGAGCGGTGGCGCCACCGGTCCCTCCGACCACCAACAGCAGGCAATGGGGGTTAAGTGTCTTGCCCAAGGACACAATGACAGAGACAAACTGAGGAGGGCTCGAACCTGCAACCTTCCGATTACGGGGCGAGCACCTTGCTCCTGTGCTACCGTCGCCAAACCAGTGGTGTCCAACCCTTCAGGTCTGACCCCTCTGCGTCCTTCACTCACGCTCTACAACAATAAACACGGATAAATGTGACAAATAAAAACACAAAGCCTTGTAACAGTTCCACCTTCCCTCCTGTTGGTTTGTGTTTGGATCAGAACCTTATTAGATCGGGAATCCCAACTCATGTCATCTGGTAGATCAGTCTGAGAAACCCGTTTCCCAGCCAGCTTCCCTGGATCAACACTTCCCCTCAGAGCACGCTTATGCTTTGATGCATTCAGCCCCTTAATCTCTTTGGTCTGAGGAGTGAAATCTGCTTTTCTCTGCTGTCAGGAGCCAGAAGATTAGCTCTGTACTACCAAGGCGAGTGGACTCATTACCGTCAGTTTACCATGAGGGAACGCTCTGATGGGTTTGGAAATCTGTGAGGGAAGTGGTTTTCTTTGGATGATGTGAAACGTTGACAGGATTTGTTTGGCTACAGTTCTTGTGATTGTTCCATCTGCTGGAGGAAGTACCAGCGATGGGTTTGTGACTTCAGCACGGCGTTGCTCCTGCCCAATGATGTTTGACATTATGGGTCAAACTCAGGGCACCGCAGGAACAGAAGTGACTTCAGAAAGCATTCAGGAACTTTATCGTAAGTTTACAAGCGAGTGTCCGAGTGGAAATCTGCACCTGCACGAATTCAAGAAGTTCTTTGGAGTAAACAGCAAATCAGCCGAGGAGGAGTTGGCGTACGCCGAAATCGTCTTCCGATCCTTCGATACGAACAAGGTAACAGAGTCTTCAGATGGGTTTGCATAGTTTTCCATTCAGATGTTCATCCTAATCCATGTGTTTCCTTTCAGGATGGTCAACTAGATTTCATAGAGTTTGTGGCGGCTGTCAATCTCATTTTTCGCGGGAAACTCATCGACAAACTGAAATGGTCTTTTAAAGTTTACGACAAGGACGGAAACGGATCCCTGACCAAACAGGAGGTCAAACATGTTGTCAGCGTGAGTACTGTAGCTGATTTACAAACACTTCTAACGTGGAATGGTTTTTGTCTTCAACTCGGATGTTTCCTTTATTCGGCTGTTTTGGCTTTAAGGCATAATTTAGAGGATTCAGAGAAGAAGTGGTTCTGGTTTTCAACAGAAGAGAACCTGAGTAATCAGATTACTTTCTGTTGGTTTGGTGTTCCCAGAAACCTGAAAGAAGCATTTAACACGTTAGAATAAGAAAAATAATATAATTTTATGGACATTTTAAAATTCAATGTAGTAAAACTAGCCTGGAGCTTGACAGCGTTGTGTTCTTGAGCGCCCCCTACAGCTGTGAAAAATAACCTCACTGTTATAAAAATGATCTCTGACCTCTTTATGGTCATTTCTCCTTCTGACAAGAAAAACATCAGGTAAAGATGCCTAATGTTTCATTTTTATTCTTCTACTAACAAAGAAAACAAATTATATGTTCCCTGTAATGTTATTCCCCCAAAATTTAGAGTTTTGAAGCATTTATGTGTAAAATCCAAACATGTAAATTCAATATTATTGTACCATTTACTGAAATTTAGCAGAAAACCTTTAGAAAAGAGACAAACACCTGATATTTTGATGTGGGGGTATGATCTAAAGGTTTTCTATGGATCTAAAACGGGACTCAAATCAGGATTCACCTGTAAGGACAGGGAAGATGGTGATGAGGTCATCGCTTAGTCACCGCTCAGAGAATAGGTCAATAATAATTACTTCTTGTATGAAGCTATATGAACAGCCTCCATCTGGGGAAACAGAGATTAGTTTTGATTAACCAGACTAGCTAACAGATAGCTACAATGAGCCAGGGGCGAAAGGTCATGAAACATTTGTAATCTCTAAACAGTCTCTAAAAACTGTTGGTCAGAAATAACCCAGCCTGGGCTGTTTGATAACTCATCCGCTGGGTCATTACAGCACCAGCCCAGCAGGACTTGTTTTGACCCAGCAAGATGGGTTGGTCCATTTAACCCAACTGCTGAGTTAAAACATAAAACCCAAACGCTGGGTCAGATCTACTAAAATCCTGAGTTGTTCCAACTATAAGTATAAATGTATTCAACCCAAATGCTGGGTCAAAATCAATAAAATCCTGGGTTGTTATGCATCATCAAAAAAACAAATATACCAAATTAGGTACAGTACAATCTCTAAAAATAAACTGCAATATACTACTCACATGTAGAAAACTGTTCTCACTTGTAGTAAACTGTTCTCACTTGTAGTACACTGTTCTCACATGTAGTAAAATGTCCTCACATGTAGTAAACTGTCCTCACATGTGGTAAACTGTTCTCACATGTAGTAAACTGTTCTCACTTGTAGTACACTGTTCTCACATGTAGTAAAATGTCCTCACATGTAGTAAACTGTTCTAACATGTGGTAAACTGTTCTCACATGTAGTAATCTGTTCTCACTTGTAGTACACTGTTCTCACATGTAGTAAAATGTCCTCACATGTAGTAACATGTCCTCACATGTAGTAAACTGATCTCACTTGTAGTAAACTGTTCTAACATGTAGTAAACTGTTCTCACATGTAGTAAACTGTTCTCACATGTAGTAAACTGTTCTTACTTGTAGTAAACTGATCTCACTTGTAGTAAACTGTTCTAACGTGTAGTAAACTGTTCTTACTTGTAGTAAACTGTTCTCACATGTAGTGAAATGTCCTTACATGTAGTAAACTGATCTCACTTGTAGCAAACTGTTCTAACATGTAGTAAACTGATCTCACTTGTAGTAAACTGTTCTCACATGTAGTAAACTGTTCTTACTTGTAGTAAACTGTCCTCACATGTAGTAAACTGTTCTCACTTGTAGTAAACTGTTCTCACATGTAGTAAACTGTTCTCACTTGTAGTCAACTGTCCTCACATGTAGTAAACTGTTCTCACTTGTAGTAAACTGTTCTCACATGTAGTAAACTGTTCTCACTTGTAGTACACTGTTCTCACATGTAGTTAAATGTCCTCACATGTAGTAAACTGTCCTCACATGTAGTAAACTGTTCTCACTTGTAGTAAACTGTTCTCACATGTAGTAAACTGTTCTCACTTGTAGTCAACTGTCCTCACATGTAGTAAACTGTTCTCACTTGTAGTAAACTGTCCTCACATGTAGTAAACTGTTCTCACTTGTAGTAAACTGTTCTCACATGTAGTAAACTGTTCTCACTTGTAGTCAACTGTCCTCACATGTAGTAAACTGTTCTCACTTGTAGTCAACTGTCCTCACATGTAGTAAACTGTTCTCACATGTAGTAAACTGTTCTCACTTGTAGTAAACTGTTCTCACTTGTAGTAAACTGTCCCCACATGTAGTAAACTATTCTCACATGTAGTAAACTGTCCTCACTTGTAGTAAACTGTTCTCACTTGTAGTAAACTATTCTCACATGTAGTAAACTGTCCTCACATGTAGTAAACTGTTCTCACTTGTAGTAAACTGTTCTCACTTGTAGTAAACTGTTCTCTCTTGTAGTAAACTGTTCTCACTTGTAGTAAACTGTTCTCTCTTGTAGTAAACTGTTCTCACTTGTAGTAAATTGTCCTCACATGTAGTAAACTATTCTCACATGTAGTAAACTGTCCTCACATGTAGTAAACCGTTCTCACTTGTAGTAAACTGTCCTCACTTGTAGTAAACTGTCCTCACTTGTAGTAAACTGTCCTCACTTGTAGTAAACTATTCTCACATGTGGTATACTGTCCTCACTTGTAGTAAACTGTCCTCACTTGTAATAAACTGTTCTCACTTGTAGTAAACTGTTCTCACTTGTAGTAAACTGTCCTCACTTGTAATAAACTGTTCTCACTTGTAGTAAACTGTTCTCACATGTAGTGAACTGTCCTCACATGTAGTAAACTGTTCTCACTTGTAGTAAACTGTCCTCACTTGTAATAAACTGTTCTCACTTGTAGTAAACTGTCCTCACATGTAGTAAACTGTTCTCACTTGTAGTAAACTGTCCTCACTTGTAATAAACTGTTCTCACTTGTAGTAAACTGTCCTCACATGTAGTAAACTGTTCTCACATGTAGTAAACTGTTCTCACTTGTAGTAAACTGTCCTCACTTGTAATAAACTGTTCTCACTTGTAGTAAACTGTTCTCACTTGTAGTAAACTGTTCTCACTTGTAGTAAACTGTTCTCACTTGTAGTAAGCTGTCCTCACTTGTAATAAACTGTTCTCACTTGTAGTAAACTGTTCTCACTTGTAGTAAACTGTTCTCACTTGTAGTAAACTGTCCTCACTTGTAATAAACTGTTCTCACTTGTAGTAAACTGTCCTCACATGTAGTAAACTGTTCTCACTTGTAGTAAACTGTCCTCACTTGTAATAAACTGTTCTCACTTGTAGTAAACTGTCCTCACATGTAGTAAACTGTTCTCACATGTAGTAAACTGTTCTCACTTGTAGTAAACTGTTCTCACTTGTAGTAAACTGTCCCCACATGTAGTAAACTATTCTCACATGTAGTAAACTGTTCTCACATGTAGTAAACTGTTCTCACTTGTAGTAAACTGTCCTCACTTGTAATAAACTGTTCTCACTTGTAGTAAACTGTCCTCACATGTAGTAAACTGTTCTCACATGTAGTAAACTGTTCTCACTTGTAGTAAACTGTCCTCACTTGTAGTCAACTGTTCTCACTTGTAGTAAACTGTCCTCACTTGTAATAAACTGTTCTCACTTGTAGTAAACTGTCCTCACATGTAGTAAACTGTTCTCACATGTAGTAAACTGTTCTCACTTGTAGTAAACTATTCTCACATGTAGTAAACTGTTCTCACATGTAGTAAACTGTTCTCACTTGTAGTAAACTGTCCTCACTTGTAATAAACTGTTCTCACTTGTAGTAAACTGTCCTCACATGTAGTAAACTGTTCTCACATGTAGTAAACTGTTCTCACTTGTAGTAAACTGTCCTCACTTGTAGTCAACTGTTCTCACTTGTAGTAAACTGTCCTCACTTGTAATAAACTGTTCTCACTTGTAGTAAACTGTCCTCACATGTAGTAAACTGTTCTCATTTGTAGTAAACTGTTCTCACTTGTGGTAAACTGTCCTCACATGTAGTAAACTGTTCTCACTTGTAGTAAACTGTTCTCACTTGTAGTAAACTGTCCTCACTTGTAGTAAACTGTTCTCACTTGTAGTAAACTGTCCTCACTTGTAATAAACTGTTCTCACTTGTAGTAAACTGTCCTCACATGTAGTAAACTGTTCTCACATGTAGTAAACTGTTCTCACTTGTAGTAAACTGTTCTCACTTGTAGTAAACTGTCCCCACATGTAGTAAACTATTCTCATATGTAGTAAACTGTTCTCACATGTAGTAAACTGTTCTCACTTGTAGTAAACTGTCCTCACTTGTAATAAACTGTTCTCACTTGTAGTAAACTGTCCTCACATGTAGTAAACTGTTCTCACATGTAGTAAACTGTTCTCACTTGTAGTAAACTGTTCTCACTTGTAGTAAACTGTCCCCACATGTAGTAAACTATTCTCACATGTAGTAAACTGTCCTCACTTGTAGTAAACTGTCCTCACTTGTAGTAAACTGTTCTCACTTGTAGTAAACTATTCTCACATGTGGTAAACTGTCCTCACATGTAGTAAACTGTTCTCACTTGTAGTAAACTGTTCTCACTTGTAGTAAACTGTTCTCTCTTGTAGTAAACTGTTCTCACTTGTAGTAAACTGTCCTCACATGTAGTAAACTGTTCTCACTTGTAGTAAATTGTCCTCACATGTAGTAAACTATTCTCACATGTAGTAAACTGTCTTCACATGTAGTAAACTGTTCTCACTTGTAGTAAACTGTCCTCACTTGTAGTAAACTGTCCTCACTTGTAGTAAACTATTCTCACTTGTAGTAAACTGTTCTCTCGTGTAGTAAACTGTTCTCACTTGTAGTAAACTGTCCTCACATGTAGTAAACTGTTCTCACTTGTAGTAAACTGTCCTCACATGTAGTAAACTATTCTCACATGTAGTAAACTGTCGTCACATGTAGTAAACTGTTCTCACTTGTAGTAAACTGTCCTCACTTGTAGTAAACTGTCCTCACTTGTAGTAAACTGTTCTCACTTGTAGTAAACTGTCCTCACTTGTAATAAACTGTCCTCACTTGTAGTAAACTATTCTCACTTGTAGTAAACTGTCCTCACTTGTAGTAAACTATTCTCACATGTGGTAAACTGTTTGTGGTAAACTGTGGTAAACTGTACCAACTTCAGTATGTAAGAAGATACAGACTGGATCTGGACATTCAAATAAATGAACTTAGACAATATTGGAACTTTACAATGCCCCACCTCAGGTTTATTAGAACAAAAAACATGAACAGTGCAAATAGTCATATAAAAAAATTAAATCAGCAAATTGTCATGCATGAGGTGTGTTTCAGACCCAAACTCAGGTGAATGAGGACTTTCCAAGAGGCAGACGGGCAAGTTTTTAAATAGTTTATTTTAAAATCAACAAGTCAGGACTTGAGCAGGAATGGGGAGGGAAACTGAACAGAGAAAAAAACAGACACACCAACAACAATCACAGTGTATAAATATACCAGGGTTTAAATATACCAGGTTAATCAGGGTAACAGGTGGGTAGGGTAAGGAGGGGCGGGTGAAGTAAATTAACACTAATGAGACACAACATGGCAGCGGCTGAGAAGCAGTTCCTGACACGGTCATCGAAAACCTGCAAATAGACGCTATAAGCTCTCATGTTCGCTAACCATCTGAGTAGCTGGTTTAGTTGGCAGCCCTGATATAAGGATATTACCAAGAACATTATAAACTATAGCAATCGCAGCACTATTATAATCGATTTCCCATGCACGTCACAAGGATGATCAGTCAGGTGCCTTGCACGTGTGTGGAGTCATGCATTTTCATTTTTCTGCAACAGCTGTTTTTTTTCTCTTTATCCAACCTGCAAACGGTATTTAACCGTTTGATGCATAATGGTCACTACAGTGGACAAGTACTCAAAATTGTTATTTATTTATTTATTTTTGCTATTAAGCACAGCTGTTGAAGACTTTATTGCATTTGAGCCCCTCCATTTGGACTTCAGTAAGTCAAGCCAACATATTTCATGTTCAGAATGCACGCTGTCCACTGAGGTGGACATGTAATAAATTATTTGTAAATTAACAAAATGTTACAACAAATATTTGTTGAAATTTGTTCCATTCACACCTAAACATGAATGAAAAAAATTGTTTAAAAAATCATGGTTGAAGATTTCATAATTCATGCATCAAAGGGTTAATAACAAAATGACATTTTAGAATAAAATAACTTTCTTCTGCCTATCTGGTCCCACAAAACACCTAGAAACTACAAACATGACGGAGCTTCATTTAAAACAAACTTTTACTAAACATCTGAAACTAAAACTCATAAGTTGAATAAAAAAATCTGTTTTTTCCAGATCATCACAAAGATAAAGAGACAAAACGCTTCGCAAGATGCAGAAAACGTCGACGGCATCTGTAACCGAATATTTGAGCTGGCGGACAAAAACCACGACAGTAAGTTCATTATGGGGAACGTTTTCACTCATCCTGCTGTTTCTGCTGTTTCACGCTCTGAAAGATCAAACAAACGCCCATAATGAGTCAAAAAGCCTCTCCTCTGGCTGTCGGGGACTCCTCTTGCTTTTGTTTCTGAGTTAGAAATGTGGGAGAAGCTGGTGACACAAAAATCTGAATAAATTACAAACATATTGAGACTAAAGGAAGACTTTATCTGACTGGATGTGCGTTGCTGTTGCAGTTCAACACAACACAGACCCTGAATGACTCGTAAATCTTTTAAGCCTTGTAGCAGACGTGTCATTCACACCAACTCGGTTAGATTCCACCTGAAAATGTGCACATTTCCTCACACTTTTGTGTCTCTAGATCCTCGCCAGCAGCTTCAGCTCAGATAGAAACAGACCTAAAACACACAAACAGAGGAGGGAGGAAAATTGTCACAATATTTCTTTATAGTCTTGATTCATTGTTGAATTTCCTTTTATTTTTTTCCATAAAAAAGATCGTTAATGCTTATTTTTGTTGATCTTGTTTGTAAAAATCAAATACTCTCATTTAGAGACAACAAATTGCGGATTTTATGCGGATGTGGTTGTGGTTTCACAACATTATTCTTGACTTTTTGTGGTTTTTGTGATTTATTTTGCTGTGTCACAATTGGAGGCATGAATTTTTGAGTATCTTTAATTTTTAGTCAACGTCTTTTGAGATTCTGCATCTCCAATGGGTTTTTACACTCTTTCTCGTTTGTTTTCTGTGCAGCAGCTGATGCAGCCACAGGGATTAAAACTTTTACGTGAAATCAGAGTTTGCAGAATGGAAGAGTGTATCTCCCCTAAAACATGATTCATCATCAGCTGCCTTTGCATTTTCCAGGTGAGATTTGTCTGGAGGAATTCATCGAGGGAGCAGAAAAGGACCCGTGGCTCATGGAGCAGCTCAGGCTGGACATTGCTCCCACTAACTGGTTCATCAGTCATCATAATAAGAAGTCCTGATGGACAACCGCTGATGTTCCGCCTCACTGTCCAAGAAGAACCTCATCTCCTCAGCAGGAGGAGTACTATGACTGCTCCTCCTGTTGAGGTGGTGATCCCCGCTCCTAGTCGCCTTCCTCTGGAGGTTGTCTGTGTCCCACTGAGAGGAGACCAACCCAAAACTCCTCTCTGGTTCCCTCCTGCACCTGCTACCTCAGCTGCACCGACATCAACAAACACTCCACACCTGCTTTCCCTTCTGACCGGATCTGTGATCAACTAGAGCTCGGGAAATGTCGTCTCTACCTGAAGCAGCTCCTCAGGAGTCTTTATTTTGTTTTTTTATCTGACTATTTTATTTTAAAATGGCTCAGTGTGAAGACTGTTGCAGCGATCCAGAAGCCAAATCACAATCTCTTACCTCTGGCAGCTTAGTGTAAGCTCCTTTCAGATGTGCATTACAATCATAAAACGTGCTAAAATCAGCTTCATTAAAAAGAAGGATTTAAAATAAATTCCTGAACGCAGGTGGACCTGATGAATGAAATGGGTGTTTTTCTATTTAGATTCAGATAAAAACTGAGATCCTGTGAATCCAAATGTTTGTGACTTACAGCTCTTATATTTTTATCACTTGTTGCCTGTTTAAAAACCACCCGAAGCATGTTTTGTGTGACTGAAAAAGAAAACAGCTGTAAAAAAAAACTGGTGATGACGACGAACAACACAGTTTGGATGTTTTAAAACTTCTCGTCTCCAGTTGTGTTGAAAATAAATGGAATAATCTGAAATATTGTCGTGTTGTTTTAACGCGTCTTGCGTCCGCCTGAAACCTTTGAGCTAAAATTAATGTTCGGCAGATAAAAGCAAGAACCAGCAGGTGCTCTCACCTGCTCTGACCCGGAGCTGCTGTATGGATTTACCCCGGCTAACTATTCTTAGTGTTTAAATCTCTTTAGTGGTCGGCGTGACATGCTTTAGCTTCCCACTAATTACTCTTGAGTCCCACTTCATTATTAAAACTCTGACAGCTTTTTTAAAGCCATTAGTTTGGTTTGAACTTGTTTGTGTTGAGGTTTAAATAAAAATGTGCAGGTTTTTGTAGAGTTCATGTATTTGATTCTGTTAGGCAATGGATTATGAGGTCAAAGGTCAAGCTGAGAGACAAACATCAGTTAGGGTCATCACCCTGGTGGGTAGCCACCAGCTGGCTCCAGATTAACGCAGAGAAACACGTCCTTATTTATTTATTTATTTACGATTCTCGTTCAAATGAGATAAACCCCATTTCTCATCATATACGTGGTCTGAGTGTTGAAACTGCTGAAGCTTTAAATATGAACATTAATAATAATAATAATAATAATAATAATAAAACTACTTTTAGGAATGCTGATTTAATTAAAATAAGACAAATAAAACAGGAAGATGCATAGGCGTCACTTTAACCGGGGACGCCGGGGAAATTTGTGATTGGCAGCTGTGTCCCCCCCACTTTCAAAAAAGCCTGCTGATGAGGATTTTTGTTTTACCAGCTCAGATCTTATACCAGGGGTCGGCAACCTATTCCCATCAAAGAGCCATTATTACCCGTTTCCCACGGTAATTCTGGACGGACCTTAATAAGCAGTGACTTAAGTGAAGCAGGCAGGTCATGCTAGAAAATTTCGTTTAAAAAGACGTCATAAATGTGTTCCCCCGTCATTTTTATTTATAAAATATGAAGTAAAAACTCCCAATCTAATTTTCATTCATTTGTCATTAATATGTAGTCTACACCCGTGCGTTAAGTGGACCATCTTCCAGTAAAAGCAAAGCATCCAGCCCACCTCTCCAAATGCGTAAAATGTGCATCAGCCGCTAGTTAGGCGCGCCGCACGCACCGTCAGCTACGTCAGCCCAGACAAGAGCAGAGCAAATAGAGAAAGAATAGAGGATAATTGTGTCTGGATGTGGATGGAGATGACATTTTACAGCAGCCTGATCATCATTTAAATACGTAAACCATCACCTGTCTTCTAGTCCACGCTATCAGCATTATTTTAATTGGTGTGTGTGTGTGTGTGTGTGTGTGTGTGTGTGTGTGTGTGTGTGTAGGTGTGTGTGTGTGTGTTCCACTTCAAACATATTAATGTTACAATTAAACAGTTTCACTTCATGTAGGCTAGGAACATTCCACCTGCTGTGGCCCGGCCGCTTCTGCTCCACATAAACTTTGTGCGTGATCAAATGTTTCTACAGGTGCTTTCTGAGCTGAAGAGGCTATTCTGCCTCAGACTGGATGCGTCATGCGTCTCCATATTAGAGACGGGAACAAGCGCTGTTCAGCTAAAGTTTCATAATTTCATAAAAAGAACATTTTTCCAAGTGACACATCCCTCAGAGAGACCGTGTCAAGAGCGTGCCGGGCAGCGAGGTGGTGATCAGAGGAGGATCCAAGCGCAGGGAGGAAGAAGGTGAACAGGTGAGTCCATTTAACATAGGTTTATTGAAGAGACACGCTGGACACTGAAGCAATGACTCCACAAAGGACACAAAACAGATGGGGTTTAAATACAGGAGGACCGGGAGCTAAGGTGATTGGGAAACAAGAGGCAGGTGGGAGTAATCAACGGAGACACAGACAAAACCTAAGAGTAGACAGGACAGGACGTGACAGACCGGGTTTCCAGACCGCTTCAGTGGGAGGCAATCTTATCGCATGCACCGTGGTTCTGCGCTGCGCTGCGAACCCCTCTACAGATTTTCAGCCCACTGTCCACCATGGGCGCTCCGAGCCGCGCTGAACAGACACAGTGTCCAGTATAAAGCTCTGATGTTCTGATGGGAATCATTTCTTGATGGATTTAGTTACCTCCGCGATGTGCGTAACGATTAAAGCAGCTCATCTGGGTGTGCATCAGTACGCGTCGGGGTAATTCTTTCAAAACAACCAACATCCTTGAGTTTATCCGTCAAAATAAAAGTCAAATGTAAATATCTGTAACCTGCCATTCAACTGTTATGCCTTCCTGTGAAGATTGTTGCAAAGAGAAACAACTAAACTTGATTAACCCCAGAGCCACGCGTATAAGCTGTAGTTCGTGACTGTAAATGAGGGGGAAACGATTTAATCGGATCCTTTTCTTTTTCAACACGGTTTAATGTAGTTTCATTCAGTAGTTGCACCAATCTAACGAGACAGAGCCTGGATTTGTATTCTGAACAGTTTAAACTGGGGAAGGTCAGAAAAGGATCCGATCATTTTGTTTTTCCCTCATTTACAGAGACGGAGATAACGGCGCAGTACGCCTGGCTCTGGTGTTAATCAAGTTTAATTTTATCTCTTTGCAACAATTTTCACAAGAAAACAAAACAGTTAAAAGCAGGGCTTGTGTTGACCGGACAGTTCCCGTATTTGACCGTTTATTTTGACGGAGAAAGAATAGAAAGAATTACCCCGACGCATTCAGACGAACTGACATTTTATTCCACTTAAATCGCAGATGTAGCTAAATCACTCAAGAAAAGATTCCCATCTGAATATCTGAGCTGGACATTGCTCAGCGCAGCTCGCTGTCAGCGTGCACTACATAAGGTCCACAGCAAGCTGAAGATGTGGAGAGGGGCTTGGAGCGCGTCGCAGAACCATGAGCGCATGCGGGAAGATTCCTCTGACTGAAGCGAGACTTGTCACTTAGAAAATGTTCCCTGATTATGAAACTTTGGCTGAATAGTGCTTGTTCCTGTCTCCAATGTGGCGACACATCCAGGAGCCGTCTGAGGAGAAGCCCAGAATCTCACACCTCGTCAGCTCAGGAAGCACATATAATTACGCACAAGCGTGACCCGTCAACCCGGTCTCACAGTAAGACCGGGTTGGAGCTGTTCAGGTTTATGCAGACAATCTTTACATTTAGAATTGGCATACAGATGTAAAATTAATGCAGTAAAATATAAAGCTTTTTATTTAAATATCAATTCATTATTTTACAAGCACAGATGGATGGGAGAGCCGCATGCGGCTCCAAAGCCGCGGATTGCCGACCCCTGTGCTAGCCTACTTTATTGTCCCCAGCAATTTTTAAACCCCACTCAAGTGTATGGTTATTGTCCCCAGCAATTCTGAAAACAAACTGACGCCCTTGGGAAGATGTAAAGCAGCTCACTTATATGAAGGTTGATCGTGTGGACTGGAGACCTTTCTGTTGATGTTTCACGATGTCACATTCATCCTGAAGAAACGTTTTTATCTGAGGAGGAGAAATTAAAACGTAACTCTGATCTTTGCTCTTGCTCTGCATGATTTCTGTGAAGGCACACCTCCTCCGGCTGTGGGTCGGTGTCGACGTTCGGATCTGTGATTGTGTGACAGCACATTTCATAAATGCTTTGGATTGAAAACCTAATCCTGCTCAGTCCCTCTGCTTTGTCTGCTTCCATTGCCTGGATGCAGTCCACGTCGTTTCCTGCAGAAGAACAGGAAACATCATGCAGAATCTTCTCTGTGTTTTCAGGAGGTCTCGTACCATTACAGCGTCTCAGACTGAACCTTTTTCAGCTCCAGCTCAGCCAGTTTGTTGGTTCTCTGCAGCCACGGCAGGTTTTTTTTTTTGCTCCTCCAAAACTTGCAGCTTTCTTCAGCTGCTTCCTTTGCTCCTGCCTCTGCCTCCTCTGCTGAACGAGCTTCTCTTTGAGGCTGAGCATTTTGCAATAACAGACGACAAACTCATTGGCGTCTTTGCGCAGATGAACAAATATCAGGAAATAAGACTCCAAAACCAAAACCTGCCTCTGAAGCTCAGCTGTGATGTCACAGACTCCTGTAAACCAGTGACTGTAGAAAAAGAAAGATGGGGGTTTGTGGGCTTTTTGGTTCCTGAGCATTGCCTGCAAGGCATTCATTCCTAGATCTCACTGCAGATGTATTGATTAAACGAATAATCCACACCTTTAATGGACCTCTACCTCCTTGCTCCAACCTTACATGAGTGGACAAGGCAAATGCTTTTTGCAGACACTGATTTGTGAAAGTCTAATAAATCAGAAATCTGATCATTTAGCAAAAGTTTCAGATCTAAACACTTTCTGAATGTCTAAAAAACATTTTTATGCATTAATGTTTCATCATTTAGAGGGTGACCTGTTTCCTGATTGCAATAATAAATCTGACATTCAAAAAGAGTAAACAGTTACATTGACGGTGGCACAGGAGTTAAGCGCTCGCCCCGTAATTGGAAGGTTGCAAGTTCGAGCCCCGCTCAGTCGGTCGCTGTCGTTGTGTCCTTGGGCAAGACACTTAACCCACGTTGCCTGCTGGTGGTCGGAGGGACCGGTGGCACCAGTGCTCGGCAGCCTCGCCTCTGTCAGTGTGCCCCCAGGGCATCTTTAGTTACATTGTAGCTCATCCCCACCAGTGTGTGAATGTGTGTGTGAATGGGTGAATGACTGATTGTGCTGTAAAGTGCCTTGAGCTGTTCCAGGACTCTAGAAGGCGCCATATCAAATACAGGCCATTTACCCCTGATATTTTGCACACTTCGTCCAGCCCTTGTAGTGCAAATGTCTCCACCTGCTTCTGCTGCTCCTCCTTCCTCTTCATTTGTGTAGTGCCTACAGTCTCTCCATCTCTACCTCCATTCCCTGCAACATCTTCATCTCCCTCTCAGCTTTCTGCTGAACAACCTTGTCACAAGGAATCTGACTGTGCATCATACGGAGGAATGCAGATACTGCTCCAGTCCCATCAGCAAATCTAAACTCTAGCATATGTCTGGGAGATCTCATCTTCACAAACACCTTGTGGCGATGCTTTGCTTCCACTCTGCTGCTCTTCTGCTGCTCCTCCTGACTCGGCTTCAAATTCTGTAAAGTTTGCATAAAAAACAAAAACATGTTAGAAATCTAAGCATAGTTAAATGCTTCAAAAGATTAAAACACATCAGTAAAATGGGAGATAGATAATAAAAATGTATTTTTCACATCTCAACTGAAATCCTAAAGTAGAATTTTATCTCCCAGCTTGCTGCTTTTATTTTTACTTATGTAAAAACTTATAAAACAGTGAAATTCAATCCAAAGTCTGCAGATTATTGGGAACTGGAAGCATACACGATCACTGACTTTCACTAAAAAGCAGACTTGTGAGCTCCGTTCATAAATCCAACAAATATGATAGAAGGGGGGACCCAGATCCTCACAGCGGACTTACATTTATGTATCAGAACTAGAAAATAGAAAACAATCCACCAGGTCCAGGGAGTCCAGCTACAGCTACACACATTTACTCAGAATTGAAAGCAGAATAAATTATATATTTTTAAACATTTCATGTTCAGAGTATTGTAGAGGAGCAGGTAATGGTGTAATTAACAAGTTTTAGACTCTTATTGTGAAGGATTAAAAAAAAATCTGTTATCTGCAATGCAAGTTTTAAACTCCTGCTGGAGAGTAGGGGAAACAGGAATACGGATAAAGAGGGAACGCAACTGAAAAATCAGCACATGGACCACATAATCGTCTCGTCTCGTCTTCCTCCGCTTATCCGGGTCCGGGTCGCGGGGGCAGCATCCCAACTAGGGAGCTCCAGGCCGTCCTCTCCCCGGCCTTGTCCACCAGCTCCTCCGGCAGGACCCCAAGGCGTTCCCGGACCAGATTGGAGATGTAACCTCTCCAACGTGTCCTGGGTCGACCCGGGGGCCTCCTGCCGGCAGGACATGCCCCAAACACCTCCCCGGGGAGGCGTCCAGGAGGCATCCTGACCAGATGCCCAAACCACCTCAACTGGCTCCTTTCGATCCGGAGGAGCAGCGGTTCTACTCCGAGTCCCTCCCGAATGTCCGAGCTCCTCACCCTATCTCTAAGGCTGAGCCCGGCCACCCTACGGAGGAAACTCATTTCGGCCGCTTGTATCCGCGATCTCGTTCTTTCGGTCATTACCCAAAGCTCATGACCATAGGTGAGGATTGGGACGTAGATCGACCGGTACAATCGAGAGCCTGGCTTTCTGGCTCAGCTCCCTCTTCCCCACGACAGATCGGCTCAGTGTCCGCATCACTGCAGACGCCGAACCAATCCGCCTGTCGATCTCCCGATCCCTCCTACCCTCACTCGTGAACAAGACCCCGAGATACTTAAACTCCTCCACTTGAGGTAGGACCTCTCCCCCGACCCGGAGGTGGCAAGCCACCCTTTTCCGGTCGAGAACCATGGTCTCAGATTTGGAGGTGCTGATCCTCATCCCAGCCGCTTCACACTCGGCCGCGAACCTACCCAGCAAGAGCTGAAGGTCAGAGCTGGATGAAGCTAGGAGGACCACATCATCCGCAAAAAGCAGAGACGAGATTCTCCTGCCACCAAACTCGACACACTCCACACCACGGCTGCGTCTAGAAATTCTGTCCATAAAAGTGATGAACAGAACCGGTGACAAAGGGCAGCCCTGGCGGAGTCTAACCCTCACTGGGAACAGGTCCGACTTACTACCGGCTATGCGGACCAAACTCACGCTGCTCTGGTAAAGGGACTGAATGGCCCTTAACAGAAAGCCACCCACCCCATACTCCTGGAGCGTCCCCCACAGGGTGCCCCTGGGGACACGGTCATAAGCCTTCTCCAAATCCACAAAGCACATGTGGATTGGTTGGGCAAACTCCCATGCCCCCTCCATCACCCTTGCAAGGGTATAGAGCTGGTCCACAGTTCCACGGCCAGGACGAAAACCACATTGCTCCTCCTCAATCTGAGATTCAACTATCGATCGGACCCTCCTCTCCAGTACCTTGGAGTAGACCTTTCCAGGGAGGCTGAGGAGTGTGATCCCCCTATAGTTGGAACACACCCTCAGGTCACCCTTCTTAAAGATGGGGACCACCACCCCGGTCTGCCACTCCACAGGAACTGCCCCCGATGACCACGCAATGTTGTAGAGACGTGTCAACCATGACAGCCCTACAACATCCATAGCCTTGAGATACCCAGGACGAACCTCATCCGCCCCCGGGGCTCCGCCGCTGTGTAGTTGTTTGACTACCTCAGCAACTTCTGCCCCCGAGATCGGACAGTCCATCCCCAGGCCTCCCAGCTCTGGTTCCTCCTCGGAATGCGCATAATATAATAATTTAAATATTGCTGATATATTTCCAGACTTCCCCCTTTTGTCAAATGTTTCCTATATTGTTTTATTGGTTATATCTTTATTCGGTTTTTCTTGAAACTGTTTTTCTTTTTGATGATGAGCTGAATTTCTCATGAGGATTATTTAGGTTTTTTATCTTAATCTGAAGCTATTTAGTAGCCTATGAATGTCTCATTGTTCTTTCTTTTATATTAAGAGTTGTCAACTGTTTTCTTGGCCTTTTGACTTTGATCCACATCTATTTTCTCCGGTACAAACATGGCCAAATGCTTTGGCGGTTGTTTAATGATTTACCTACATTTAGGGGCAGAACAATGTTCTGTTTCCGACCTGTTTTCGCTCCTCCAGCGTCGGATCATTTTCAGCCCCTCAATTTCTTCCTCCTTCATCAGCTGGCTGAGCACAGACGAGACCCATTCCGAACCCAACACCACACCTGAGAATCGGTGCATCCGCTCCCTGGTGCCGCACACGCAGCAGAGTGACTACCAGGAACATTTTATTTTTTATTATGAGGAATAATTACCGGGATGCAGCTACCTCAGCAGCATTCGTCTTCGAAAACATGCAGATGGAAGAAAATCCTGAAAAACAATCTTCACGAGTTACTTTTCCAGATTTGTTTAAATTAATTAAATGAATAAAAAAAATAATTAATTAATTAATTAATTAATTAATTAATTAATTAATTAATCAATGGATAAAGTCACCTATCACTTCTAACACGTCGCCCACTTTTAAAGACACAAAACGTTTAAAGCAGTAGCTGCAGCTTTATTTTTTGTTTATTTATGTATATTTATTTATTTAAAAAATTTTAACACGTGAATAGGATCCAGTAAATTATTTATGTAATATTTACGTTATTTTTTCCAGTTATCCGGAAAAAATTAAATAGCTAATTTTGAGCATATTTGAAAATATCAAACGCAGGTGAATTAAAAAAAAAAGTTAAAACGCTTGAGGTGCTGAAGAACATTGATTAAAAAGCCTTTCAAAGGGCAGAATTTGAATGAGCCTTTATTATTCATTATTACTAAGTTTGCTATGAACATTCACAACCAGGATTTTCAAAAATCAATAAAAACTTTATTAATGAAGCGTTTTTACAGTACAGCTCAGCTCAAAGCGCTTTACAAGATTAAAAACTACCCGCTACAGTTAAGTCAAGCCTTCTTTATTCAGGACTCTACAAAAACAAACTTGATAACTGTTCCTTTTGACATTCTCTGTAAAATTCTCCGCAACATTATTTAAATAAGCCAAGACACGTTAAACAAAAACAACAAATAAATAAATAAATAAATAAATAAATAAATATGAGGAGCTTTGAATCAAAACCGGAAATGGCCAAATGGTGCTTTTCTTGTCAATTACTTTATCTTTGATGCGTTTTCGCTGGACAACTTAATAAGGAAGACGCAGACTATTATCTGGTTTAAGATTATGTCGTTGTACTATATCTACATGAGTTAAAGATTACATCAACCTTATTAACAAGGTTGATTAATCAATTTAGTTTTTAGCTTCTTTTCAGACTTCCGCCTTTGTTCCACAACTGCGCATGCGCTGTCAGACTCAGTCTGTTGACAAATGTGACCAACCATCTCTTTCCCGTTCGGTATTTCTTTGCCCTAATGAAATAAAATGTGACTTTACTAGATTTTCTCCACAAAGAGGCGTTTTGGGTGAATTCCTCATGAACTTCTAAGTCTGGTAAGTTTTTAAAGTAACGTTTAGCGACTCTTGTGCGACGACAGAGCGACGAGAAGCAGTTAAGTGCTAGCTAAGTTAGCTAGTGGCTGCAGGACACTGTGGCCTTTAGGGATCCTGAAAGGTCCATTTTCACAGTCGGTGTGTGTTCCACATGGGCTTGGGTTTGTTTGTGCCATGTCCCTTAATGTTATTTTATTCATCTGGAATCAACACATTTTAATTAAAGTCATAAACCCGTTCAGGAATTAAGCGTCTTGTTGCTCTTAATACACTGTAAAATAATCTTTGATGTTGTGTGTCACAGTTGCATACCAGACTGTATGTAACCCGTTGTATGCGTGAGAACCAGTCTGACCTGAATGTTTCTGCCTGCTAGCTGTGGGCTGGACCTCAGCAGAGTGAATGGATGTCGCTGATCATGCAGCCTGACTCACTGGGTCACCGGGCCTCAGCTCCTTTACACCAGGGATTGTTTAGGGCTAATTTAAATGTAGCTTGAAGGAATGTTGAAAAGTTAAAAAATATTATTGTGCATTATGCAAAATAAACTTGAGAGACAGTTGAAGAAAAACAAGTTATTGACCCTAAGCAGCTAGGTTTTCCTGTAATCTTTTAAAGTGACAGTGTGTATTTTTCCTGGTGATGGGGGCAGAAGATACCTAAATCGTTGCAAGCAAGCAGTATTTTTGTGTTGGAGTAAGACCTCACCACTCATTAGGGTCAAATAGCCCTGGGGAGTGCAAACTTTAGCAAAACCACGTGAGACTCCCTTTCATCACTGGCAACCAGGGCCGGATTTAGGATGATGTGGGCCCATGGGCTTCAGTCAATTTAGGTGGCCCCTTTTTTCAAAATTGCTGCATAGACGCACGCACGCGCGCACACACACACACTTATAATTTTACTATATTATTTTAAGGACTACAAATTGAAACTTTTTTTTAGATCACACATCTTTAATAAACCAATTCACACACACTACAATAATCCTTGAATGAATAGATTTGCATTTTATAGAAAGAAAACATTATTTCAACTTTGGCTTCTAAAAGCTGTGTGAATCAATAACCTAACATTAGGTAGTCATTTACACATTGAACATTTTAATACAATTCAAATTCTGCTTTTGCTGTCAAATAAATAACTTTAACAAAAATAAACAAAAGGCAAAAGCACACTTATCTGCCACTAAGATAGAAGACTGTGCTCAAAGCTGTATGGCTCTCTATGGGAAGAAATTTAAGAAAGCGTTCCTGGGAGTTCCCTTCAGGTGACACATATCTCAGAATAAATGTTAACTGATCAAGGTGGGAAACATCTGGTGTGGTGGAGTCAGCAGAGATCGAATAGTATTTGGCCATGTTTACTTCACCAACTATTTCAGACAGAACACGATCACCCATCAGTTGAACAAACTCTTCACATATTTTAGAAGAAAGATATGAAGGTGTCCCTGCACCTGCATTTCCATATTTCTCTATGTGAGACTTCAAAAAGGGATCAAACTCGCTGATTAACTCCAGAATGCCCAGGTAATTACCATTATCAGTCCTGCCAAAAACATGACTAGATCCTCTAAGAGCAAGTCCTCTCTGTGCCAAAAACTCACAACAGACACAATTCTTCTCAAAACTTCAGTCCAATATGCACTCTCAGATTAAAATTGTTTTTCCAGCTCTCTATCTATCCTTCAAGCAGCCACCCAAATGTGATATATGTTAGCATCGATTTTCTGTGATGTTCAATTTTCATGCTCTTTCATCCGGTTTGTGGCATGTTTCCAGTCACTGAAACCAGTTTCAAAGCACGATTTGCTTTTAGCATCACTGAAAATGCAGCATGCAAAACAAAACACAGCTCCGGTAGATGGAGAGTAAAGCAGCCACTGTCTTTGGACATACTCACCATTGGCGAGTCTGCGTTTAAAGTGCAGGCTGGAGAAGAACCGCTTCTGCTGTTTGTACGCTCGTTCGGACGCTTTAAAATTTACGTGCATGTGTTGGCAGCTCTGCGGTCCTCGCTCAGCCCAGTAGGCACGCACAGATGCATCACATTTTCCCCAGCAAGCTGGATCCGTACTATAACAAGGTTCATCCAAAGTTTCAAGCCGTGGCCCAGACACACTTTCGGTCGCCAGTTTTCCACAATCACTCTCCGATGGGAAAAGATAATCCATGGAGGACGTGGTGGTCTCAGATGCCTCCAGGTCGAGCGTCTCTGCTGCCGGAACATCCGCCGCGGATTCAGCCGCCAATTTTCCACAATCACTCACTGACAGGAAAAGATAATTCGTGTTGTTGGACGTGGTCTCAGCAGGTGCCGACTCGGCGCCGCCGCACACGGGGGGTGTCAGGCTGCAAACGCCCGCCGTGATGTAAGAAGTGTGAGAAAACTTGGACCATTTATAAGCAGTCATGACAGATGTTTGCCAAAACAAATCCCAGTGCTTCTCAGCTAAATGGTAGCATCTTGTTAGAGAATTACATACAAAAATAAAAATGCTTTTTGGACCGAGGGCGGGGCCTCCAGCACGCAGGGGCCCAGGGCTGTAGCCCAGGTAAGCCCATGCGAAAGTCTGGGGGTGCTGGCAACAAATGAAGAGGTAAAAGTGTAAAGCAACATTTAAGGATGATGAAAGTTTTGTAACCGTTTGTTACAAATCAGTAAATAAATTTTGTCCTCACGGGCTCCAGTAGAAGGAAACATGGCATCTAATATGGCGTCGCCCAGAGACTTAGACCCGCTCCCATGTATTTTAGACTTGACTTTTATGGTTATATGTTATGAAGTCGCCAATATTTTTCAACAACTGGGCATCATTTCAATAATTTTCAACAACATTTTGATGGATATCTCTAGAAATGAATGGTAAAAACTACACGTTGTCTCTTTAAGTGTCCTTGGATCAGTATTTCTTCTGACTTTCTAGAGTTTTTCTTTGCTGTCTTTGTGCCCAGTTTGTTTACATTAGGGATGCAAGAAAATATCAATATGGCCATATATTGTGATATATTTTCCTGCTATATTATCATATTCAATAGTCGTGTATCAAATTTTTGGAAGAATTTACATGCAAACATTTGTGTATTTTTTTTCTTTTGGTGATATTCGTAGACCAACTGCTAGTTGGCAGCAGCGTGAAATGGGTTTTGTTTCCACCATTGAAATATAAATCCCTCTATTATGGTTCAGATACCTCATGTTAAACATGTTATGTATAAGTTTGGACTGTTTACTGAATTTTCCCACAATAGATTCAGTGTAAAAAATTGCTAATATCTTCTGGCTCAGTGTATCACAATATATCTTGATATGTCGTATTGGCTCCCCTGTATTGTGATACGTTTCGTATCGCCAGGATTTCACCAATACTCATCCCAAGTTTATATTGTTGTTTGTTTGGTAATTCAAACAAGTAATTTGTGTATTGTGCCCTTTGCTGCCAGCAACATGCCACAAATACATAATTTGTAATGCTTGTTTACTTAAATCTGTGACAAATACTAAAGATGACACAATCTGACTGAAAGCAGGATTTATCTCATAAGTACATCTTTTATAGCATAGGTGTGAAAGTTCTTGGTCACACTGACGTGTAATAGAAGTGACCAAATATGTGAACATCAATGGAAACACTTGCTGCTTTTTACTGCTTTTCAAGCATGTTTAGTACCAGCAAGTTTTTTAAAGAGCTTCCTGCGATAAATGAGTTATCTCTGAATGCTATGCAGTGTCTAAAAAAATTTAACAATAGAACAAAAGAAGACACAAAGGAATAAAAAATTGTCCACAGTAGAAGATGGTTTAAAAGTCGTGTCTTTAACAAATCTTTAAAACCTGAAACAAGACCTAAAAAGTTCTTAAACAATTATGTATGCTGAAGAAAAACTTTGCATTTCTTGTCACTGATGATGTGAACCTGTCGGGTAGAGAACCACACAGCTAAAGGTTTTCTGAGTTTTACTGAGGAAAGACGGATCAGCCGAGGGTTCAAATCTCAGTCCAGTTGGACATTTATAACAGAAATAAAAACCGACTCCATCCTTCCATCAGCTGCTACACGTGAAACAGGTCTGTGAAGATTTTTATGACTTTTATGCTTCATAACAAAGTCTTTGGGTTTTCAGCAGACTGAGGTGCTGCAGCATTGCTGACGGGTTGTTGTTTTGGTTTCTGATTGAGCAAATACAGATCCATTTCTTTATTTGGCTGAGCAAAAACCTTTGTTATTAAAAATACTATTTCATTTGTTTTATTAAAAAAAAAACTCCACATCTACTTTGTTTACCCGAAACAGCTTAAGCAGACTAGTGGCTGATTCCTCGGCCCTTCCTCACATGACTCACCACTCCGGCTGGATTTTTCAGGCTGGCTGAAAAGACCTGAAACTTCAGTTCCTTAGTCAATAATCTGATTCTCCAGAGTGGTTGTAAATGTTTTAATGAGGGAACAAGCAACACAGGACCAGGCTGTAAAGACTAGTGTTGCCTTTGACACACTAAGTGGGTTTATATTCACATTGGTGCTCCAGGTTTTAATCCTATTCTGGTTCTGATCAGATTATGGGTCCAGTCCCTCAGAGCCTCAGAAACCAGGGGCCTCATTTATCAAGCTTGCTTACGCACAAAACAGGGCCGGAAAACTGCATAAGCAACTTTCCACGCAAACTTTGGGATTTATGAAAGAAAACTTAGCGGAAAAATGTGCGCAACTTTAAGATGACTTAGGACCTGGCTTACACACATTTTGGACATGGAGAGCACCTGCAGTGCTGCTGCTGAGAAGGATAAACTTATGAAATCCTGCAGCATTACCACTTGTACCGCTTCGTTTTCACACAGAAAAGGACCCCCCACATGCACACACACACACACGCACATGCTTGCACACTCACACACACTCGCGTGCACACACACATGCGCGCACACGCGTACACACACACACATACGCGTGCACACACACACAGCCTGAAGCGCAGAATACGGAATGCAGAATATCAGCAGGGGGACAGATTGAGACAGAATGTCATGCGTCTGTGACAGTGTGTGTCCTGTCACTGTGACCCGATTGATCATGCACCCTGGCTACTTGGACAAGGGAGATCGCTGTTTGGCTGACTGGTTAGCGCGCGTGACTCTCACCCGGGAGTCTGGGGATCGAATCCCAATCGGACCATTTTTTTTATACCCGCCACAGATCTCTCCGAAGAACTCACAACATTGACGGCTTCAGCAACGCTGTGCCACTCCGTGGATTTTCTCTTATTCGTTTTGCAAAAGCACTTCCTTTCATTTTTCCACCTCACCCACAGGTACCTCAACTTCTGCTTCTGTGAAATTGCGCTTCCTTGATCTGCCTTGATCTACGGTCGCCATGTAATTGGCGGAGCGCTGCAACAGCCGGCTTATGTATATGTGTAACCTAGACAACGCCGGAGCGGCAAAGCTCCAGCGTCACACAGGGGTTCACAACGACACAGGTGGGGAGCGAGGGTGCAAAACCAGAGGGACAGAGACACCAGAGAGCAGAAGTTTGCCTGCAACCCCTTTTATTAACTAAATAAAAGCCCGTCTAAAAATATACAACTAAGAGTTTGAGTCCATAAAAACAGTTTAAAACGTTCTTCAAAAAGATCCCAAAAGATAGTTGGGCTCCTCCCAGATCCACAACGTCACGAACAGGATGGGAAAGGCGGCGTCCCGGCTTCAGCGTCCGACTCCAGTCTCTGGTCGCTCTCAGCAAGCACTCGTCTCAGGCGTGCTCTCCCGGGGGCTCTCGCCGCTCTTCCCTGACAAGGACAGAACACTGGGGCAGAACTTTTGTCTGTACTGGCGCAGTACAATCTCTTTCTCGTAGGATCGGCCCATACGGCGCGTCACCCAGCATACAACAGAGGAAGCCGTTTACTCACGGATGCAGGCAGAGGTCCAACCTCTGCCCTGCTGTCATTCAAAGGCGTTGCTCCCACTCGTTGTCGCTGCACGCCAGGGATGAACCGGTCCTCCTGCGATCCAACGCGTTCCGTGCTACGTCCACCTATTAGTCCAGTCCCTCTGCCTTCGGGTTTTGTTGGTCTCTTTTTCCTCTCTCCTCCTGCAGTTCTGCAGCTTCGTCCCTTTATCAGCCCGCTAACTATGCGCACCTGGTGCGCTCTCCCAGTCACGCCCACCTCTTCAGGTGACTGTCATGTCAACAGTGGCAAAAACAATATAAACTAAACAGGCCCATAAAACCAACAACACACGACAAAATCATGCAATAATACAAAACTGTTAAGAAATTCCAACAATTAATAAAAGAATTTAAAGCAACAGAAAAGCACACATTCCACTGTGTGACATCTGCATGAGATCCACAAGGCACTTTGCATTGACCATTTATGGCAGTAAGTGGGCGTGGTGAGGGCGGGATGTGACTAAAATGCAGCTGAGAAACATTCTAGATAGTTTCTGATTTATGAAGCGGAGATTGCGTGCAGCTCTGCGTACTCCATGTTTGATAGATCACAAACCTGCTTGGTGTAAGTACATTTTTTTGCTGAGCTCAAGTACGGTTTTAGTAAGGATTCTACGCAATGTTTGATAAATGAGACCCCTGGTGTCCAGACCACATACAGAAGGGTGCAAATTATTTTCTTTGCTCTAATTTGAACAATTAAACAAAGTGACACTCCTTCAGGGACTGATAAAGGCATCTGAAGTGTTGAACATTTGAACAAATTCAATGTTACAGTTTTGAATGGTTTATTTTCTGTGTTTTACACACAGATACAGACTCCGACAGTAACACCTACTCTACTCCGTGACTAACTTTTCTTCTGCAGACTGAATTTTCCTATAAAAATTTCATCTTTGCATCAGACTTGAATTAAATGTATAAATTAGACAAATTAGTTGTCACTATGTATTTACCATATTTAAGGTCCTGCTCAAGGCAGTTATTAACTTACCCTTTGCCAGATTGTGTCTGTGGAAGAAGGGGGGCTGAACTACAGGAGCCCAAGAGGGTCAGCTGTGGAGCAAGTCGGAGAGAAAAGGAATTTTCCTAAACCACAGATTTGTGTTTAGTCTTATCTAAAGGCCAGCTGCTGAATACTTTTGCATCTCCTGTGGATTAAAGAGCTGCTTGAGTTATAAAAACAGTGTTTATATTATCAGTAAATATTCTGTCCAGTTTCTTCTGTAATCATGGTTCTGTCAGCTGCTGAAACCTAAAGTGTCTGTGCTTTTAGGGCAGGTGGGGGTCCATCTGATTCCTATTTACAAGTTTATATCTATTAGCTTTTTTGCAACATTTTTGATGCGATGACACTAAATCTTTGCAGCCTGAACTGCTGGGAACTCTGAGGAATTATTTATAGGTTGTGTTCTGATCCAGATTTAAGTTTTAACAGCAGAAATCAATCATCTGTGTTTGAGTCTGATTTACTGAGACTTTCTTCTTTATTTATGATGTCACTTTTTAAAATTCCAGATCCAGACGTAACCATGCTGAAGTGGTTTTCCGGCGAAGAGGGAGATCCCGGTTCTGGAGTAAGTACTCGGGAACAGTTTCAGGTCAGAGGTCAGTGGAGTCGCGGCATTTCAGTGACAGTAACTCAAGGAAACCCGTCTGCGCTGAAACTAAAGTGTCTGAATAATTGACTAATTTTTGCCGTTTTTGATCTGAGTGTTTGTTGTTCTTCAATCTCTTCTGTTCAGCTCTGCAGGTTTTTCACTGGAAGCTTAGTTTCGTGCTTCATGTCCAGATAAACTGGATTTAGTTAAACTGCTCAGTCGGGGCATTTCATGGAGACAATCTGAGCTCCTACTTTCTGTGAGGATGAAGCCTCTCCATCCTCTTCCTCTTTGTTGTCTCATCTCTGCTCTCATTAGGATTTAAATACTTAATAAACATCAGCAGATTTTCTTTTATCTGTTAGTTTGGACCAAATTAGAACTTGTTAACACTGCTGCACTGGAGTCTCCTTAATATCGCATTTACCTTTTTTTAAAATTAGCATTATAATTGAACTTTAAAGGGACTTTACGGAGTTTTGAATTTTTATGCTCGAAGATTGCCCCCTCAGGCCAAAAGCGTTATGGCAGCTTCAATAGTAGGCTCGTGCACGAGGCGCGCATGCTGTACGTGCACACTCCTTAAGGAAAATAACAGCTGAGACAGTCCTGTGTGTGTGTGTGTGGCCCGGAGGACAGGAGAACATGCAGCTAATTAATTAAATAATTTGGTTCAGTACCTTTCTCTTCAGCACAGCCGACAAAGGTTTATGATGGGTCAGTCCTCCTGCATGCTCAGATCATTCCCTTCCCTTGCTTGAAAAATTGTTCCAAAATGAAAGTTGAACTCACATAAAAAGAAACTCTAAATAAACTATGTTCGCATCCAGAATCAAACCCGGATCTTCTGCACGTAAGTCTGACGTCTTACTAGGCGAGCTGAAGCGCCAATGACGTCCATTGTATCTGTAACATTTGTATCCTTGATCACAGCTGAAACAACGTTCAGAGAACGGTTCGGAGGGCTATGCCTGAGCGTGAACGCGCATGAAGCAGCCTGCTCGACCCGAGCATCTCTCTTTTTCTGTGATTTTACAGAAAAACAGGCAATCACAGTAAAAATGCCAGGGCTCATTCTGCAGGACCAGGGCATTGCAGGAGAATGTATGAAGAAGAAATGTATTATTTCTATACACGTTTTGGCTGTCCCTTTAACTTACCAGCCATTTTATTAGGGACACACATTTCATCATTCGTTAACAAATATCTAATCAGCCAATCAGAGGGCAGCGTTTATTCTAGACGACCTGCTGAAGTTCAAACTGAGACGTGACACAGCTGCTGAATGGAACTGTATGATGCAGTCATGTCAGTATGGACCAGACCCTCTGGGATTGTTTGAATGATTTTGTCAGACTCCACTTCTTCCATCATGTGACAACAAAATAACACAATCAGTGTTGCGATTAGTGTCACTCTGAGTGTGCAAACGCGTGACTTAATGAGAACCAGTGGTGCGTTGGTCTGATTGTTCAGTATTATTTCTCCTCAGAGCCCGGGCTCCCCCGACGGCGGTGCCGCTGGAGGTGGAGATGTTCCTGTGGAGGAGATGGCCGAAAGGCTGACCCAAACCGAGCATCTCGTTGCTCAGCTGAAGGAGATGATCCGGGAAAAAGAAGCAGCCCTTCGCTCCAAAGATGACCAGCTGAAGGTGAATACTGAACGCAAGAAACAATAAAGTAAAATAAAAAGACTGAAATACTAAAAAATTTAAAAACAAAAAAATCAGCAATAAAACAAAATCAGACTCACGTTCCACCTGAAGTGTTAGAGGTTGATTAACAGGAAGTATGTTTTACACCCCCCCAGGTCTATTTACCCTGGTGACTAAAAGGGTACCCCCCCCCCCCATATTTGGAGCGTGGAGCAACCAGTAGCTCCTGCTCTGCAGGCCGACTCTTGAACACCTCAAGGTTTAAAAATCACTAAGTGCTCAACACTAAAATACTCACAAGAGACTTTATTGACAAGTTTGAATCAAAAACAAATTTACAAAGATGTGTTTTTAAAGAAACCACAGTCGACAGATCTCTGGTCCAGAAGCGTCTGGCGTCAGCAGGACCTGATCCCAGGACCTCAGGGACCTGCTGGGGCCCACCAACTGCTTCTCATGTCAGATCCTTTCTGCTCCATCTTAATTTGACCCTGAGATGTTCTTGAACAAACCAGAGGTTTTCTGTCTGTGTGATTTTAGCTGCTTCACACGGTGAGTCTGAATGAACCAGAAACCCGGCTGAGGTCGTTCACAATCTTGTTAACTGTTAAACCCTCAAGTCAAAGTCCAGCGTACAGTCAGGAAGACAAGAACGTGAGATAAGAACTCGATCCAGGTAACGTTTGACTTCGTCAGAGACAAAAACCAACAGGAAACAGTTCGTCTCACCCATGCCCTCTTTATGGTTTAATCTCTTTACATTTTATCAGCACACTTCACCTGATGGTGCTGATGTTTTGTCTTTATGCTGAAGAAGGTTCTCCTTCATCTAGAGCACAGAGGTCCTAGCAGCCCCAAAACTCTGGAACACGCTGCCCCTCCACGTGTGTTTGGCTCCCTCTGTCAGCAGATTCAGGTCGGCCCGTAAAACACACTTAATAATAATAATAATAATAGTAATAATAGTAATACATTTTATTTAAAAGCGCCTTTCTGGTCACTCAAGGACACTACAGAATAAAAACACAAGTCATTCAGTAAGTAAACATACGTAAACATGAACAAACAAGGCACTCTAAAATTCAAAGCTGATATGGGGTTATGAAGAGGTGAGTTTTGAGTTGTTTTTTGAATTCTGTGAATGAGTAAGTAAGTAAGTAAGTAAAATTTTATTTATATAGCACCTTTCTCAGATATAAATCACACAGCGCTGTACAACATGATAAAGATCAGGGCAAATACTTCTAACCAATAAAAACATCAGAAAAACAACAGCAGTGATAAACGTAGAAAATAAAATCATGAGTATAAACAAAGTGAAGGTGTGAACCCGAACAAAGCCATCATTCTGAAACATTTAGGGAGGGAACGCCTGGAAGAAAAGGTGAGTTTTTAGATGATTTTTAAAGACCTCTACAGTGTTAGAGAGACGTAGATTTGAAGGTAGACTGTTCCAAAGTCTGGGTGCAATAGTCTGAAAGGCCCTGTCCCCTTTGGTTTTCAGTCTGGTTCGAGGAACAGCCAGGAGGTTAATGTTCTTGATGAGAGGGGGAAGGGAGTTCCAGAGTTTGGGAGCGGTGCAGCTGAGGGCTCTACTCCCCATGGTGCTGAGACGAAAGGAGGGCACAGAGAGATGATTGGAATACTTTTTCAGTATTGCCTTCCCTCTGTGACACTTTACATGAAAATCCAGCACCGGGTTTATTTTTCTTAAAGGGGCATTATGGAAGTTTGACAGCCAAAAACATGTATAGAAATAATAAATTTCTTCTTCATACATTCTCCTGCAATGCCCTGGTCCTGTAGAATGAGCCCTGGCATGTTTACTGTGATTGCCTGTTTTTCTGTAAAATCTCAGAAAAAGAGAGATGCTCGGGTCGAGCAGGCTGCTTCATGCGCGTTCACGCTCAGGTATAGCCCGTAGCATTTGCTATCCGTAGCTTTAGCAGCAGAGAGAGAGTTAGTGCCAACTCAGCGACTTTGTCGCTGTTCCTAACGCCTAGTGACAAAGCTAGCTACATTTCTGAGGACCCTTAGCTACTTTCTGCAGAACTTTCTTCTAGATATTTCCTGCAAATTAGCAACAAAATAGCCATTTTCACTCCGAACCGTTCTTTGAACGTTGTTTCAGCTGTCATCAAGGATATAAATGTTACAGATACAAAAGACGTCACTAGAGCTTTAGCTCACTTAGTTAGACGTCGGACTCTCGTGCAGAAGACCTGGGTTTGATTCTGGATGTGAATATAGTTTATTTAGAGTTTCTTTTTTACATTAGTGGTATATTTTTTTACAGTAAGATGCCCAAATTTTTATTTGAGACTCGCTGAACGGCATTGAATTCACAGATAAAAAAGATGTGGGTTCAACTTTCATTTTGGAACAATTTTTCAAGCAAGGGAAGGGAATGATCTGAGCATGCAGGAGGACTGACCCATCTTAAACCTTTGTCGGCTGTGCTGAAGAGAAAGGTACAGAACCAAATTATTTAATTAATTAGCTGCAAATTCTCCTGTCCTTTGTCCTCTGGGCCACACACACACACACGGGACTGTCTCAGCTGTTATTTTCGTTAAGGAGTGTGCACGTACAGCATGTGCGCCTCGTGCACGAGCCTACTATTGAAGCTGCCGTTACGCTTTTGGCCTGAGGGGGCAATCACGAGCATAAAAATTCAAAACTCCGTAAAGTCCCTTTAATTTAGTTTTTACGATTCAGTAGCTCACTTTTCACACCTCGCACCATCTTGTAGCTTTTTTGGTTTTATTTATGCCATTTCAAATGGTTTTTATCATTCGTCGCATTGTTTTTGATAGTGCTGTTAACTGTTCTCTTCTTCTATTGTTTTTAGTAGGAATTTTTATCCTTGATTATTTATGCTATGTTTTTATGTATTTTACCTGATTTTCATGCTTTCATTGTGTTTTGTTGATTTGTTCAAGCATTTGGCTCTTTTATGTACAGCACTGTGGTTAGCTGCCATGCTATTTTGAAATGGGGCTTTATAAATAAATTGGTATGGTAGGTCCTCAGCTAGGCTTCGTTATTCCTGTAGATCTTCATCACCTCAGGCTGAAACGTGTTTAAACTGCAGTGAGAACTTGTTAAAGTGAGCAAACTCACAATTCACTCCTTCAATCCTACCTTCTGAAGGCGGTTAGGGTCTTCCTTTACCTGGCCCAGGTGGGAGATGTTTAGATTGGATTAGCATAAAACAATGGGGGGATTAGAATGAAAGCTTCAGGGATTAAATAAGAACTAGATTGCGTTTGATGAAGCTCTCTGCAGTTATCCTGCATGTTTTAGAGGTTTCCCTTCTCCAACTCTCCTGGTTCAGTGGTAGAGGAGCTTCAGCTGAAGCCTAATCACCCACTGGCGCAGAGAAATATCTCAGACATGTGGGTCAGAGGTTTGAGACTTCTGGTTTAAACACATTTTTCAGTTTGATCTGAGAAGCAGAACAACGTCAATGATGTAAAAGTCCACTGGCCTTCTTCTGAACCTACTAAAGTTTATTTGGAGCTGGATGGGTGACAAACCTTAAATATTCTTCACACTCATTAATATAGTGCCTTTGCACCAATTTTAATGTGAGGAACATTTGGTTGTGTTTCAGGTGGAAAAGGAGGCCTGTGAAGCCAAGCTTTCCAAGCTGCGCCTCCAAAACAAGGCCAAAGTAGCATCGCTGACGTCTCAGGTGGAGGAGCTGAAGAAACTGCAGGGAGACCCCGGAACGCCGACACACAGCAAGAAGGTTCGAGTCCATCTGAGACGGAGCTCACCATCACTGGGTCTCATTGAAACCACCAGAGGGTGGAAAAGCTGCAGAATTAGTTTGGACTAAACTTGATATTTCCTTCAGGGTTCGTCAGACGGAGATCATGCAAGTCGGGGAAAGATCGTCTTACTGAAGAAGAAAGTTGAGGAACTTGAGCATCAGCTCACACAAAGAGACCAGGAACTGGAGGAAAAGGTGAAACGTGTTCCTGGTATTACTCTGGAGGATTTCTGTGGAACAGAAAAAGGGATTCATGTGTGATTTCTCTCCTGAACGTTTGTTCTTCAGTAGCTTTATTTCCCTGCATTCCATCTCTCTAACACATCCGCCCTCTAACAGCTAAACTTTGAGTTTGTTCACAAAACAGCAGCTGGATGTCTTAATTCCCTTCAAACAGAAAAACACAGAGTGCGGAGCTTTTGAGCTGCAGTTTAAACAGTTTCTTCTATTCATTTTTTAGAGGAGAGAGTTGGATCTCCAGCGCCGGCGTGGCGAGGAGATCGACACCATGCTGACAGAGAAGGACAAGAGGCTGGCAGAGAAAGAGGCCTACATTGTCCACCTGCAGACTGGATTGGCTGGAGGTCCTCTCATCACACATGCTCCACAGCAGACGCAGGGGGTTGAGGACAGCGGAGAGGTGCCGGAGCTCCAGGTGTTGCTGCAGAGTCTGACCAAGAAAGTTGGAGAAACAGAAGAACGGTACAGTCTGCTGCAGGAGCAGACGGACAGCCTCAAAGACCTGCTGGCCTCTGAGAGGCAGCAGTACAGCCAGAAGGAGAACATGTACAAGCAGAACGTAGGTTTCTACATCTTCTACAGGGGTGACCCTCACGAAGAAACTAAAATAGCACTCATGTCTCGTGATGTTTTGTGTAGATCCAGACTTTCAAAGACATCATCCTTCAGAAGGATAATCAGCTGATGGAGGTCAACCAGATGCACGAACAGGAGCTCTTTAAGCTAGCAGCCAAGTCGGATGCCAGCGCAGACCTGGAGCAGGTGAGGACGACTCATCTGAAAAACTGGAGCAAGCTGCAAAGTTTGTCTGATGTCACGTTTTCCTCCTCAGCTTCTAAAGGCTCTAAAGCAGAAGCTTCATGAGAAGGAGGAGGTGCTGCTGGGTAAAACGCAGGTCATCGACGTTCTGCAGCAGGAGGTGGATGGAAGGGACCAGCAGATCATGGTCAGCAGCCACCCTTTCGAAACCTTCATTTGATCGTCCTCAGTTTTGTTTTAAAGGCAGAGGCGTCTGTTCTGTTTCACCTCTGATCCAAAAGGTGCAGAAGTCCAGAAACGTAAACAGAACAGCTACAGGGAACAGAAGAAGACATTAACTGGGGCCACAGCAGTTAAATAAGACTTGTGATTTTTTTTCTAACCCTGTGAGATATATTAAAATTACAGAATTTTTCAACAGATGGCTTCAATAACCTGTCCCTGAGCTGCCACCTTGTGGAGGGGTTTGAGTTTCCCAATGTTCCTAGGAGCTACGTTGTTATTCACATCCCTATCCGCCCGGTGGGCTGGCTTTCACCCACGAAGCCTGGAGAGGAGATGTGGGTTCCTCTTCCCACAGACTCACCACTCGTGGGAGGGGTCAAAGGGGTTGTGTGCGGTGTGAGATGGTTGGTAACCTTCGGCTACAAAAGCCGGCTGTCGACACGTGGAATGTCACCTCTCTGGTGGGGAAGGTGCCTGAGTTGGTGTGAGAGGTTGAGAGGTCCCGGCTAGATATAGTCGGACTCACCTCGACGCATGGCTCTGGCTCCGGAACCAGCTTTCTTGAGAGGGGCTGGGCAATCTACCACTCTGGAATGTCCCCCACTGAAAGGTGCTGAGCAGGGGTGGGGGCATACTAGTGTTCCCTTTGAATCAGCCTGCCTTCCTCACACCAGCTGGAGCTCAGAGCCTGCAGCTCTGACAGAGATAACGAAATCATAACATTGACGTCCTGTTCTTTCCAATGTCCCTCACAGAGCACCCCTTCTATCTAAGTCCTTGCTCACAGAAGATCAAAGTAAGGTAAAGTTAAGTCCATGATGCGTAATTAGCCTTTGCCCCAGATCAGAGCCTCTGGATCAAAGAAGGCGTGTTTCTGAGATTCTTGGTAAAATCCTCAAACTTGTCAACCTCTGGTTGGCTACACAATCATAACATGAGAGCATTAAAACCAGATCACTCTGGTAGTTCTTCAATTCTAGACTAGTTGTCCCCCATCTCGGTGTCTGTATGTTGGGGTTTACCCCGGTGAACGAAAGGGTATTCTCCCTCCGCCCGTGTGTGGGGTCCTGACTGTGGTTTGTGCTTACGCACTGAACTGCTGATCTTCTGGTAGAAGGAGCTTCAATTCCCACCTCCGACAGAACTTCAAACGCGTTCCGGGGGTGGGGGGTGGGGGACATCGTTGAGACGGTCGACCGGAGCTGCGGCTTTAGGGTCATCGGTGCCTGCCATGGACAGCATCCCTAACCGTGGCCTTGTTTCCTCCAGTAAAATAGTTGGGGCCACTAGTCTTACATCCACAAACCAACATAAAATACCTAAAAAAAGATCTTCCAGATTGACTTCAGGTTCATCTCTTTGTTACAAAGGTTCCATTGTAAACTTCTCTTAGCGTCTTTATATTAGCTTCAAACCTTTAATCCACATCTTACCTGATCCAACAGGTGATTCGAGCATTAAATAGCTAATTACAGCTAAATACTTTAGCCAAATGATCATCATTTGAGTTATTCACTCACTCTGAGGGGGTGGGACTTAAAACCTGGATTGAAACTAGCCGCTAGAGGGCAACCTTTATGAGTTTGTCTGTCTCCCAAACAGGGTTGAAAGTTGTTTAGTGCCATTGAGCTGCTCAACAAGTACGGGAAACCGTTTATTTATCTTCTGTGCCGTTTAGCCTCTGATCATGGAGGTCAGATGTTCTTTTGTCTCAAATCTGTTCTCTTCCCTCCTCACAGGAGCTCACAGAGCACCTACGTCGGCTAAAAGTAGAACGAGAGAACCTAGAATCCAAGATGGAGGCAGAGAAGCATGTGATGCGAGCGCAAGTCCGCGACCTGATGGAGAAGCATCAGATGGAGGTGCAGAGGATGACGGAGCAGCATCAGGCACAGGTGGAGCAAATCCAGCAAGACCTGCTGGGGCAGCTGGAGGAGCTGAGGAGAACCTCGTTAACATCGGTGTCTGTCAGCGAGGAGGTCTCAGGAGGTGGTGATCCAGCCTCCACCCAGAGGATCGCTGAGCTGGAAGGTTTGCTGTTTCTCAGAAATGTTTTGATTTTTCAAATTCGCAAATAATTTTTTCTATAACCAGTTATTTATCATCATTTAATCACTTTTTTCTAATTTTCTTTCAGCTCAAACTAAACAAAAAATCGAAGAAGCCAGCAGGTCAGAGGCCAAGTTCCTAAAAATAAAAGCTTGGTCAAAATCTCGAATCAGACAACTGGAGGAGGAGCTGAAGAAAAGCCAGGTGAGATGTCTACACCGTACGAGATCTACTGGCGTTCTTTGTAGAACGTTGTAATAAATGACCTGTTGAAGTGAGACGCTGCTGGGTTTGTCACGCTGACTTATGAAAGTATTTCATCATGTAAACATCATCGTTTTTTTGCCCTTAAGTCCGGAGCTGCACCTCCTGAGCTGACGGCGCTGCGGAGTCGGATCACGGCTCTGGAGGAGGAGAGGGAGGAAAACCAGTGGAAGGTGGAGCAGTACGAGGAGCTGAAAGCAAAATCGGGTACTAAAATCAAACTTCTCATTAAAGGAGCGCCTATGTGACCTCGTTGTATCGACCATATTTGGGTGTTTTCTGCTAGACATGCTGGAGGCGAAGCTGGTTTTATACGAGGAGCAGCAGAGGACACTGCAGGCGGAGCTGGAACAGTTCACCAAGAGAGCAGCTTCTCAGGTGTCTGGGTCCTCCTCACTTCACCTCATTTAGCACAAACGCAGAAGATGCTGACTGTCTGCTCCCCCCGCCACAGGCCAGCGAGTCCGGCAGTGCTGATGACACCCAGAGCAAGGTTCTGGAGTGGCAGGAGATGGTGGCCGAGGCGGTCAGCACCAGGGACCGGGCCCGGGAGGAGAAGGCGGCCATGACCCTCCGGATCAGCCACCTGGAGGAGGAACGAGAGGGTAAGGCTGTAGCTGGAGGAGGGTGATGCTGAGACTCTGTGTGGAGCAAATGTGAGGCTGATGGTTTATTAGAGAGGAAATAATAGAGTTTAGAGCAGGGGTCGGCAACCTGTTCCCATCAAAGAGCCATTATTACCCATTTCCCACAGTAAAGAAAACACTGGGAGCCACAGCAGCCGCGGCGTTGTGGGCGGGGCCTACCCTCAGACAGCAGAGAGCTGCTCACAACAGGTGACAGCAGCCAGTACCGGTCACTCGTGTACGTCAAAGTTATCTTTCATAAGACGATAATCAATAAAACGATTTATATAAAATGGATCCAGAAGTTGTAGCCCGTCTCTGCCGACAATATTTTGATATTTTTCACCCTGTTGGTGGTTTTACTGAGCAGGCGCCACTTTTGTCATACGTTTCTTTTTAAAACATGTTTAGATTGTTCAGAATACAAATCCAGGCTGTGTCACGTTTGATTGTTGTAATTAAACTTTGTAGGTGGGGAAGGTCAGAAAAGCATCCGATCATTTTGTTTTCCCCTCATTTACAGTGACGGAGACAACAGCGCAGTGCGCCTGGCTCTGGTGTTAATCAAGTTAAATTATATCTCTTTGCAACAATTTTCACAGGAAAACAAAACAGTTAAAAGCAGGGCTTGTGTTGTGTTGACCGGACAGTTCCCGTATGTGGCCGTTTATTTTGACGGAGAAAGAATAGAAAGAATTACCCCGACGCATGCAGACGAACTGACATTTTATTCGTTATGCACATCACAGATGTAGCTAAATCACTCAAGAAAAGATTTCCATCTGAAGATCTGAGCTGGACACTGCTCAGCGCAGCTCGCTGTCAGCGCGTACGTACGGTGCACAGCGAGCTGAAGATGTGGAGAGGGGCTTGGAGCACGTCGCAGAACCAGAGCGCATGCAGGAAGATTCCTCCGACTGAAGCGAGCGTTTTCCAAACCCTGTCTCTCAGAGAGACTTGTCACTTAGAAAATGTTCCCTGATTATGAAACTTTGGCTGAATAGCGCTTGTTCCTGTCTCCAGTGTGGCGACACATCCATGAGCCGTCTGAGGAGAATCCCAGAATCTCACATCCTCTTCAGCTCATAAGCGCCTATATACGGTCACAAGCGTGACCCGTCAACCCGGTCTCACAGTCAGACCGGGTTGGAACTGTTCAGGATTACACAGACAATCTTTACATTTAGAATTAGCATACAGATGTAAAATTAATGCAGTAAAATATAATGCGTTTTATTTAAATATCCATTCATTATTTTACAAGCACAGAGAGCCGCATCAGATGGATGGAAGAGCCGCGGGTTGCCGACCCCTGGTTTAGAGTATTTTTAATGTGATGTTTAGATTCTAAATGAACCGTTCAATCAGGATGAAGGTTCTACTCACCTCATGCACACCTAATCTGCTCAGTTAGCTTTACTCTGTAGAATCAGAATAAAGTAGATTATTATAATGTGAAAGCCGTCATCTATAGTCACAGTCTTTGGCTTTAAAAACACAGAGAATAAAACTATTTTATCACGTTCAACGACCCAAAAACATCACTTTATGTTTATTATTATAAGAATGACTTTTATTAAGACAGTTTCAAATTTATTAATCAATATTTTAGGATATTTAAGTCTGCAGGTTCTCCTGGTTTGTTTCGTTGAGGTGATATTTGGTTCCCCGTATCTCCTGTAATGATTTCCTGGTCGGGTGGAGCGGTGCCGCAGCACCGCAGTAATTCAGACGTTGTTTTATTAAAACAAACATCATAAACTAAAGAAATGGTCTCATGCTTAATAACTGAGGTTTAATAACAGGTCAAATAATTTTGTAACACATTTGGTGTTTTAAATGTCAGGAAATGTAGCTAATTAGTTAGCGTTTTTGTCTAGTCGCAAGCATCGCTCTGGTCAGAGGACAACATCCTGTTTTTAGCGACTCCGCCTACTTTGAGTGACATCATCAGCAGGTCGGGTCCTTACTGTAGATCAGGGGTATTCAATTCCAGGCCTGGAGAGCCAGTATCCGGCATGTTGTAGTGGTTCAGTGGTTGAATCACGTGTGCAGCAGCTCATCAGGCTCTGCAGAAGCCTGTTAATCACCTGCTGATTGAAATCTGGTGTTATTCCCAAAACTCGCACCTCCTTTGGCCGCTCCTTATTCCAGTTTGCTGCTCCCAACGACTGGAATGAGCTGCAAAAATCACAAAAGCTCACTACCTACATTCCATTATCTACCTTCAATCAATAGTTTCTGATCAGTGTGCTTCTGAGTGCTTAAAGACTGTTTGAAGTCTGTTTTGATTGCTTGTACTTATTGTAAATGAGAACAGTCCTTTGTCTTTATGTGTAACTGTTTTCCTGTTATTTTTATCTTGTATGTTTTTGTCCTATCTGTTTTTCTTTGGGGTAAAGCTAACTACGTGTCTGCTGCTGCCTTTTGGCCAGATCTTCGTCGTAAATGAGAATGAGTCCTCGAACGACTCATCTGGTTAAACAGAGTATTGAAGCAAGAGTTAAAACTAAAACGTGCTGGCTACCGGCCCTCCAGGCCCGGACTTGAACACCCCTGCCGTAGACGAATAACTTCAAAATAAAATTTCCCCTTAAGAAACCTAAACCAGCACCTTGCATCAGCTGCATCAAACCTGTGGAAATTCCATCATGTCTTCTGTTGTCTGACTGAACATCACTTTTCTTTTTCTTTGTTTTTACCTGCCATCATCGTTGTCATGTGGGAGATTTTGTTTACTCTGTGCTGCCTCCCATCTCGTGGACCTCCGCCCCCCTCCCGACTCTCTCTCTCCAGCCCCTGCTCCAGGGATGGGAGCAGCCTCACAGAACAGTTTCCCATCAGTTTTGTGCATGCAGGCTCCCCTGAAGCTCTGGTGCAGCTGGCGTTTCGCTGCACTGGCCGCAGTTCCCCTGAACTGTGTCTGCTGGGCCAACTGCAGGCAGTGCAGCGACGAGATGCACCCGAGAGTCTGGCGTTTTGTTACTCCTCCCCTCCGTTATGTTTACATACAACTTTACCCTTTACTTGTCTTCTGTCCTTCAGTTCTGTCTTTTCCTCTTTATGTCTCTGAATTTGCTGCACATCTTGCTGCAGAAATCAAACTCTGGTGTCTGCCTCAACTAAACTCTTTGTGACTGAAGGAGCAAACTGTGCGCCACTAACTCTGGGAAAAGGACTAAAAACCAAGCTCCTTCTAAGCCTTTTGCATCGTCAGGTTCTTTGTTTTAGTGTCTGAGTTGCAGCATGTAAAGTTATTTTAATGGTTTTACCCCATTGTGTTGTTGGCTGACAACAAACTAAATAAAATAACAAATCCAAAGTGTTGGTCAGATTTAATACATGTTAGTGAATATTTAGAGGAGAGTGAAATGAATGTTCATATTTCTTCTTTTCGTCTTCATTTCTTATGTGAATGTAGAAGTGAGATTTTTGTGCACAAAAGCTGTAAAAACTCAGACTTTTCTTTGGGGTTTTCCTATTTTTTTTAAACCTATTAATGACTTCATGATCTGTGTTGGTCAAACGCTCATCTGGCTGCAGACGTGTGTGCTTTAGCAGCCAGTCAGATGGGTTCGTGTAGCTCTGAGTCGGTTTTCTTGCTAACATGCTGCTGCTTCACTCACCTTCTTCTCTGCCACAGCCTCTGCTTTTAGATGCCCCTCCCCCTCCCATTCCCTCCCATAAAAATTCAAACAATCCACCTGTTGTCACAAAATTGATGGGAACATGTCGTGTTCTGATCAGTTCGGACTTCCCTCTGCTTGACCCTTGTGCTGCTAAATGAAAAGCCAGACAAGTCCACTCAGATCTGTGTCTGTGATGTTTCTCCACACCGTCTGCTCTCGAAGACACGAAGATGAAACATTGGCTTTAAATGTGACCCATAAAAATGGACGTCCCCCCCCCCCCTCCACCCACTGCCACTTCCTGTCTCCCACATGTCTGAATCCTGTTTTCCTTTGCTGTGCAGATGAGGTGTGCATGGCCTTGACCAGAATGTTGCTTCAGAAGTGTTGCTCAGGTCCACACACGTTATGCAAATACCTGCCTAGAGTGATCTCTGTCCTCCTCTCCTCTGTCTCCCGTCTCCTCTCTTGCATCAACACATTTTATATGTTGCTAAGTATATTTGTGGTTTTCAAACTTCCACCAGCACCATCTACATCAAAGCTCTCCTTCATCTCTTTCAACAACTTCCATCTCTCCATCTTCCCATCCTTGATTTTCACTTCCCATCCATAAACACACTCTCAACCAAACCTCCCACTTTCCCTGTGGCACAAAACTGATTGAGGATGACTGGTTCTTTCCTGGCTGCTCCGATCCAGCACTGGCCACTCGGCAGCGGGAGTTGGAGGAGGAGCTGGCTCAGTCGCGGGGGCTCGGCCGACTCGGGGTCAAGAAGCTGGCGGCTCCGGCCCAGCGAAGCCTGCAGGTAGGTGGATGGGTCTGAGTTACATCAACCGTTCTTGATTAATAAATAAAAACTCAATAAATTATTCCAAATAGGTTTGGATCAAATAATAAAAATTATACCTTGTTCAGGTATAAAATGATCCAAATTGCTTTAGTGACCTATATATCCACTGGAACATTTAAGTTTCATCATAATTGGTTGCTAAACAGCAACTAAGTTACAGCTGGATTCGGAGGATCACGGTGTAGGGAGACAGTTTATCTCCATAGATCACAGGGGTTGTCTCGTTATTCTGCTATCAGAATATGTTATGTCAGATATCAGATTAATAAACAACATTTTAATCAAACGGTCCTGGCTTGTGAACGCTCTGATTTCTGATCGATATTCGTTAGCTATGAATGAAAGTTGCACACAACTAGGATTTATAAACACCAGCTGCTGATATTTAAAAAGCAACACTGTTTCTAAACTAAATCATGAAACATGCGGCTAATGTTTGGGTTTACAGAGCAGCGAGTCATCAGCACTGGCCTAGAAAGCTAGGCAAACTGTATCAGTAGCAAAAACATTATACTCTACAGGTCGGTGCAGCCATGAACCATTGTAGCCTCAGCAAGTCCACCATGGGCCTGAATAAATGATAAATGCATCGCTGTATTTGTATAGTGCCTTCTTAGGGTCCTACAGCCCTCCAAGGTGCTTCACAATCACAACACAGTCATTCACCTGCTGGTGATGATGAGCTACATTGTAGCTACAGCTGTCATGGGGCGCGCTGATAGAAGCGAGGCTGCCGAGCACTGGTGCCACTGGTCCCTCCGACCACCACCAGCAGGCAAGGTGGGTTAAGTGTCTTGCCCAAGGGCACAACAGCAACATTATCTAGCGGGAGCCAGGATTGAACTACAACCTTCTAATTTCCGGACAATCCGCTCTACCTCCTGAGCTACTGCTGCCCACAAGTTAGAATAAGTTTAAGTCTGGCTAATCACAGTATTCTATGTTTATTGGGTGGCCTTAACACTAGAGGTGCAATGAAAAAAAACTACAAAGATGGCGTGGACTCTGGAGTGGTGCTCTTCAGCATCAATTATGGATGATGTAGACTTGGGCCTTTCTTGGAGAGATTAGCAGATTAAGCAACTTAAAAGGACGGTTTTGCTTCCTTTTCTTCATTGGTGTATTTAGGGATGTCCCGATCACGTGGTTTCAGACTGATCGGGACTCTGGCTTTACTTCCCGAACCAAGCCCCGATCCGGACTCGGATACTGGGTTCAAATTACAGGAGAGCAACTTGGTTCTCCTTAAAGGTTGTCAGGCTCCCCTGATGCCCGTAACTTCCACACCCAGAAGGAGCACAAAAGAGATCCAGTTTCTACCTATATTATATTATTTATGTGGACTCAGCGTAGCGGGGATTCTTCTGAGCATGCAGAGAGCGGCAAGCAGACCGCTGATTATTCATGAACTCCAGCTGCGTTCTGCACACGGCCACAGTAACATTTTCTAAGTTTCTAAGTGGCGTCACCAAAAAAATACATAATTAACACACAGTCGTTTGTGTCCGTTCATGTTCTCTCTGGTAAGTTCTGTCTGTATTTGAGCATGACGTGTGGACTCGCTGGCGCTGCCCCCGCTGCAGCGCTCGTCACTGGCGCAGCGCAGCGCACACTCCGCTTTTTTTGCGGTCGATAGATCGATTTGATCTGCTAGTTAAAAAGTTAGTTTTGAGGTGAAAAAGAAGGAAGCAGGCAGGAGTTTTTCTGGAGGACAGGGAGATGCAGGAAGATCAGAGACAGACAGGACAGGAAGACAGGAAAATAAAAACCAAGAAAACAAAACAAAGGTCGTAAAAAAATAAAATGTAGGTAGATTTAGCCCACTACACGTTTGTACTTGTATAAAGCAATAACTTACCAGCATGTAGTATTTATTTAGTTGATACAATTCAGATCATCTTCAAAACTCCGTCCCATGCCCAGGGACGTATCTAAGCATTTTGGGGTCCGAGTCAAAATAGACCCCTGCCAGGTATTTTAAGTTGAAGTGCTGTCTGTTTTTATATTAGACTTTTTATATTTGCAATAACGTCCAACCTTGAAGAATTTATGTTATTTATTACTTGGTTGTTCAAGCTACCTCACAGAAGTGATCTGTTGTTAAAAATTTAAATAAAATGGTAATTAAATAAAAAATAAGGAACATTCTGGAACTGTTTCTTCCTTTTCTTTCTTTTTTTTAAGTATCGGATCGGGACTCAGTGTCGGCAGATTCTCAAAATCAAATGACTCGGACTCGAGGGCAAAGAAACCTGATCGGGACGTATTGTGGACTGCCCCATAGACAGATTGCCATGGCGATGAATGCATTACTTTTTTCGTTGTTCTGATTTCTCCTGTCACTGTTCAATTGCGTGTGGAGGTAGTTCGAAAGACTACCATTGGTTCTGCCCAACAACTCGTTTTATTAAGTTGCCGCCAGACTACACGATGGCTTGCCAGGCCACATCTGCACCACATCAGTAACTGATCTGTAGAACTGCACAAGAAACAAAAGGGTGCATCATTTTTGAAAAGTACGTTTTATTTTACATTGTGACAGTAATTGTGTTTTGTTTTAAGCCCCGCCTCCTCTGTACTGTATGAAATGGCTCTGAGAAATTAGCTTTAGAACAAACCATCAATACCACAACATGTCTGTCTTTCTCCACCCATCCCTACATACATTCTCATCTTGTTGCAGGAGGATTTTGAGTTTGACGCTCAGAGCTCCTTCCAGGACCCGCAGAGCACCTCGGCGAGCACCACCCCAATGGAGGGAGAGAACATGGGAGGTTGGTGGCCCGAGTACAGTACTCCTGACACAGGTGTGATACCCGCTAGATGGTTTTCCTCGGCATGCACTTGGTCACCTGCGCATCCATTTGGGAAACTTCAGTTGTCCTTGGTTTATTATTATTTTCTCCATAACACCATAACTCAGTGTTGGCTGTGTTGTTTTTTAAAAATGGCTTCTAGTAAGACTTGAAGGGTGTACTACGACTCATCAGAGTTCTCCCTCTGTAGTCTTGTTACGAGAGGTCACTAGAGGTCACGAGTATTGACATGCTGGTCAAGATAACAGAACTCTGTAGCGTGTCCTCTGGTGTCTCCACCCCTTCTGTTAGTTCATCGTTATTGTAATTTTCCTTGATAAAAAGTCACGGCCGTTTTATTTCCCAGCATCGGTCTCACTCCGTAGTACATCCCTCTGGGATTCCTGTTCTGTGTCATTCTGTTTTCATATTCAACAACCAGCCCATCCACTAAAACCCACTCTGTAATCTCACTGGGGGAACTGGCCTAATGGGAGCTGGTCGTCTGTGGCTTGTTGTACCACTGGTTTATTTTCCATGATGCGTGCATGCTGGCTGAGCTGGGTTCTGTTTGTTTGTGGGAGATCTCGTGTAAATGTGGGTGGGAAGATGCCGTCAGTTTGTGGTAAGTTTGTTTGCATGATTTATTCTTGTTTTTCCTCGTTTTTTCTCACCTTGGTGTTTTTAGCAGCGTCTTTATGTTTAACCAGAAGAATACATCAGATTAGCTCCAAAAACGAGGAAAACTAACTATATGTCCCAGTTTCTGGATTTGTGTTGTGACCTGATGTATTTTTGGGATGTTTTTTATGGTCTTTTCATTTATTATTCAGATTTCTGTAATCTTGCCGTAGCAGAGATGCTAACTTTAATATTTAAGTTGTAACAGTTAACTCTGCCCTTTTGGCCTTAATTTTCTCTGTACCAATACTTCTTCTTTCTCCTGGTGATTCCAGACGGCCTCCGGTCCGTCGTGGAGGAGCTTGAGCTGGAAAGAAACCAGCTGCAGGAGCACATCCTGATCCTGGAGGAGCGCTGCCAAGACCTGGAGGACCGACTGCAGCTCCAGGCCCGAATAGAAGCCTTGCAGGTAAACTCAAAATGAGAAGCGTTCACTCAGATCAGCATAAATCTGATTAAATGATGAGTGAACTGCATGTTTCCCCGTGAACCTCCTAACACAGGTGACGTTTGATGTAGATGAGGATGAGCTGCCATGTTGGGTCCCTCAGGTGTGTTGGGTTGAATCTGTGTGCGCTGGAGGTCAGCTCTGGCGGTGGTGGCTAACTGTGTGATGTGCTTCTCTAACTCTGGACATTAGTGAAGTTCTGTTGTTGACTCACAAATCAAACATGTTCCCGGACTTTCTAACAGCTCACGAACATATCGCGGGGGGGAGTTATGAGATTTAATTCTTTGGTGTTGAATCAGTCTAGCTGTGTTAGAGCATGGACCCATGGGTTAGCTTAGAGCGGGTCAGACTCAACCTTCTCTGGCCTGTGGGGCCATTTTTAACATGTCATTTAATTTGCTTCTGTTGCGTTTTATCTCATTCAAAGAACACTGTACCAGTAAAAAGAGGCCGACCGATATTATTTTTTTAAGGCCAATACTGATTTTTAAATAATTTTGTTGCCGATGGCCGATATATAAAGCCGATTACTATATATATATATATATATATATATATATATATATATATATACGTTTTAGCAGCACATTGGCTGTGAAAGACAACTGAACACTCACTGTGTGCAATATAAATTAAACAAGTCAATAAATCGCTTAATATTTATTGAACTTCAAATAGAAAACAAACTCTAAACATTAAAAAAAGTGTTTTGGGGGTCATTTCTTCAGTCTAGTAGTGGCAGCAGTTGGCCACACAGGTGCCTGATTTATTTATTTATTTTATCAGCCTTTAAAATTAATTTCGGCCGATAAAAAAAAAAAATTTAATATATTGGCCGACCACTACCAGCAAATGGGGGGGGGGGGGGGGGGGGGTTAATTTGTGTAAAACGTTGAGGTTTGAGGTGGGTGATACAACCCAAGATACTGAAATGTGTCTCTGTTGGCGACAACAATTTGCCCATGTTAGCAATATGAAAGAAAAAAATGTAAAGATGTTTGTAAATTCTAACATTCCTTTAACATGCTGCTACCAACTGGATGGGGTAGAGTCCCGTAAATTTGTGTGGTCACGTGACTCTGCCCCATCTGGTCTGTAACAAGAAGGGAAAGTCGGTGAGGAAATGGAGGTCGATTCAAGTGTTGAAGTGGTGGGAGGGAGCAGCGGGTAGTGTCTGACGGAAACGACCGAATGTATCCATATAGTTGTTGAATGGTTTTTGTGGGAAAGGGCTTCTCCTCAACCAAATCTACCACCGCTTGGGCTTGGACGATAATCATTAAATCAATTAATCGTACGATAAATGAAAATGAACTCAATAATTTTTCCAACCGCAACACATGGAGGTAAGAAATGTACGACTCTATCATTCTGATTTATTATCATTATTGAAGTGCATTTTTGGTTGTTGACCCTGGATAGGCATTGCATTTATTGCTTTGGAGAGACGGGGTCTAATTCATTGTTTTTGATGCAATATTTTCTAACAGAGAGTGAAAGTCCTTATTTATTTTTTTTTTATTTCGTTTATTTATTTAGAAGTTCTGGTTCTGGACATTCCAATGTTAAATAAAGGTTTAATTGTTGCATTTTAAAGGGTGTACCTGTTTTATTATGATATATTAACATTACATAAGTGGTTATTTTGGTCTCGGTGATGTCGACAATAATATAGTTTATCGTCAATAATTTGTTGGACAATATATCGTCCAGCAAAATTTGTTATCGTCCCAGGCCTAACCACCACCACTTCTCCCTGTACAACTGCCGCTGTACAGGAAGTTATCATTTATTAATTTATCATGTCAAATTAAGTTATCGTAATTAATTATTATTATTGAGGTGAACTGCTCAATATATTGTGATATTGATTTGTGGCCATATCACCCAGCTCTAGTGGAGATGTACAGGTGAGACTGGAAAAATGACAATATGGTGCAAAAGTCTATTTATTTCAGTAAATCAGTTTAGACTGAGGGACCGGCTCAGGAACCCTTTACAGGTGTTTTGGATTCATTAGCTGATTAGAGTGTGACATTTGAGTCTAGGATATTGAACCTCTTGATGTTATTATAATTGTCTGAGGTTTTGAATTTGGGGTTTCCATAAGCTGTAAGCCACAATCATCACGGTTATAACAAATAAAGACTTTAAGGATCTGGCTTTGCATGTAATGAGTCTTTCTCGTATATTAGTGTCTCCTTTTAAGTTAAATAAAAGTTAGAATTTTGAGGATATCAGACATGTTTACACAGTTTTTTTGGCTGATCTGCTGTTTGTGTGCAGCTCGACGTTCATTCGTCATTTTAATCATGTGAGGTATCGTCATTTTTCTTGTTTTCATCCTCTGCAGAACGAGACAGAGAAGCTACAGAGTCAGCTCTCCAGTGTTCGGAGTCAGCAGAGCAGAGATGCTGAGAAGCACCAGCTGCTGGTTAGCAGCCTCAACGAGCAGCTCAGAGGGTAATTCTTCCATACAGAATACAACAAGAATCCAGGATTCAGGTCACAACACTGATCTGCTGTGTGGAGTACCGCAAGGCTCTGGTTTGGGCTCCCTCCTGGTTTTACTATATCTCCACCAGGGGTGTCAAACTCCGGTTCTTGAGGGCCTCTATCGCACACATATCAATGGTTCAATTACCTGTTCTCCGAGTTCTACAGAATCCTCAGTGATTCAAATCAGGTGTGTTGGAGCAGAGAAGCATCTAATATGTGTGGGACAGCCATCAAGATCTGGAGGAGATCCTGATGTTGCTCAACTGTAGAAAACTGTCTTTAAAAGATTTTCTGATTCAAAAATTTAGAATTTTTGAAAAAAATTTTTTTCAATTTTTGAATCAATCTGTTTTTGTTTGTGTTTGAGCACAAATTTTATCTGTGATCTAGAAATAAAAACAAAACTAATATTTTAGGATTAATTTTATTTGTCCTTTTTTCCTCTGCAGTCTGACTGACACTCAGGAGAGCCTGGAAAGTTCCCTAAATGAGAAGGAGACGGCGTTGGCCAAAACATCTGAGAAGTTGGAGCTCATCAGTCATCTCCGAGAGATGCTGAGTGAGAAGGAGATCCAGGTCAAAGACGTGTCTGAGAAGCTGCTTCAGACGGAGCACAACGTACGAGTCCATGCCCTCCTTTCTGTTTCCAGAGGGATAAATCAGGACCTTTTAGGTTTTACAGTTTTGCTTCTTTGGTTTTTCAGCTGGATAATGTCACTAAGAGGTGCAGCAGCTCTGAGAAACGATGTTCTGACCTGACAGCAGAAGTCTTAGATCTCACGCAGAAGCTGAACGTGCTGAAGGAGAAGGTGTGGCTTCGCCCGTCATTCTTCCTGCGTCCATTCCTTTCTTTTGATGATAAAAAGTCATCTTGGGTGTAATTTTTACATGTTGCCTTTTCATTTTCAGGCACAGAAGCAGGATGTTACCATAGAAACGTTACAATCAGAGCTGGATCAGATGAACGAGGAGCTCGACAAGCTAAACACCTCTCACCTGGAGGAGCGGGCTCAGCTCATCCACGACCTTCAAAGCTGCGAGCGGCAAATTGATATTCTGAAAGAAGTTGTCACAGAAAAGGACAAAGAGATCATAAACCTGACGGGGAACCTGGAGGAGTACGCCGAACAGGTTGTTGTTTTAAAGGAGGAGATGAAGCTGAAGGAGCAGAGCTTGATCCAGGTGGAGGCGGCTCTGAGGAAAGCCGAACGGGAGTTGGCTGTAATCAGTGACTCACAGAGTGCAGACCAACAAGTCCTAAACAGCAGGATCACAGAACTGGTGGGGAAACTCCAGGAAGCTGAGATGGAGGTGGAGAAAACCAAAGAGGAGCGAGAGTCTAAAGTCGCGGAGGTGAAACATCTGATCAAAAAAGTTGGAGACGATAAGAGAGTGATCCAGCAGCTACGAGAAGAGATCCAGAAACAGACTGTGAGCCATCATGAGCACCTCTCTGAGTGTGAAACGCACGTCTCGTCTCTGAAGGAGCAGCTGGTGCTTTCGGCCCAAAAGCTGCAGGAGTCTGAAGCATCTGCGGCACGGCTGCTGGGCCGAGAAGAAACGCATGAAAAGGAGCTTAAATCCTTCAAGGAAGAACAAAATATTTTTTTAGCTCAAGTAGAAAAATACAGCAAGGAAGTTCAGACTTTGTCCAAAAAACTAGAGGAGCACGCGCAGAACGAAGAGCAGCTCAGGAACACCGTGCAGGAGAAGCTGGAAGCTGTGGTATCTCTGGAAAACCAGTTAAAGGTAGCCGGAGAACAGATGGAGGATGGGAGGCAGAAGTTTGATCAAAATCTGAAAACCATAGATTCAGAAAATCAGAGGTTAACCAGTGAACTTCAAACCAAGTCAGAGAATGTCTCCAAACTGGAGAGTCTCCTAAAAAGCGCAGAAAGTGATAAGCAGCAGCAGGAAGAGAAGCTTATAGTTCTAAATGAGGAGCTGGAGCTGCAGAAGCATCAGGTGAAGGAGCTGAGTGAGAAGGTAGCATCTGCTCTTCAGCTGAATGTCAGTCTGGAGAATCAAGTTCAGGTTCTCACGGAGCAGAGAGAGAATCTTCAGCTAGAAAGAACCCAACATCTTCAGAACGTCTCCCAGGTTACCGCTGAAGTCGAATCTCTGAAAACAAAAGTATCTGCATCTGAAACACAACTTTCTGAAAATCTCAAAACTATTCAGGAGCTTCGAGGAGCAAAGGAGGAGTTGAACCGAGTGATCGAGCAAAGCTCTCTCTCAAACTCGGAGATCTTGCTGGAAAAAACCAACGAGTGTAGTCGACTTAGCCAGTCGCTCAGGGATAAAGAGGAGGAGGCGGTTCGAAAGCAGGAACAAGTCCAGGGTCTGACTTTTCAGCTGGAGCAGCTGCAGCTGGACTTGGCAGAAAAGGAGCGAGCAGCTGAAGATCTTCAGACACTAGTGAAAAGTCACCAGCATCAACAGACGCAGCTGGAGGAAACATTATCGCTGCTTCGGCAGCAAGAATCCAGTCTGAGATCTGGTTTGGTGGAAAGGGACGAGATGCTGAAGCAGAAGAAAGAAGAAGTCCAGAGTTTACAGGAACAGATCAGAGTTGAGAAAAAGCTCAAATCTGATCTCAAATGTGAAGCAGAAGCGCTTCAGGAGGAGCTCTCGGAGCTGAGACGAGAACTTAAAGAGATGAGTCAAACATCTAAAGTTCAGCTGAATGAGAGAAACGAGGCGCTGAAGGCTCTGAACGAGCAGATCGGGACGCTCCAGTGTGAGGCTGAGGTTAGAAAAGCAGAGCTGGATCATTTTAACTGCAACTTCCAAACTCTCTCAGAGGAAAACCGACAACTTCAGGATGCCTGTGAGCAGAAACAAACGGAGCTTTCTCGGAAAACAAAAACCATCTCCGAGCTCTCGGAGCAGCTCGGAGCGTCTCTGGAACAGAAATCAAGTTTAAGTGTCCAGATTAGCGGACTGACGGAGGAAAATCAAAGATTACAGGAAGAGTTGAAGCAGATAACTACATCCTGCTCTGAGCTCACAGCAGAGAGATGTTCACTGCAAGAAAAAACATCTAGGCTTCAAATCCATATTTCAGAAAATCAGAGGACAATCGAAGCCCTGTTGAAGGAAAAAGAGGAGCTCTCAATGGCAACGGGAGAGCTGAAGAAGCTTCTGCAGGAAAACCTGGAGTCCAACTCTGCACGTCTGCTTGAAAAGACAAACGAGTGTTTTCTTTTGTCCAGCAGTCTGAGGGAGAAAGAGGAACTCCTTCTGAGTTTGAGTGAGCAGATGAATAACCTCACAGTGCAGGTTGGTCAGCTCAGCGTGACCCTAAACGACAAGGACAACATGGTCTCGGAGCAGAAGTCACAGCTGGAGGCTCAGCAAACCCAAATAGTCCAACTCCAGGAGACCATATCCATGCTTCAGGAGCAGGGGTCGGTTCTGAAGGCAGGGCTGGTGGAGAAGGACACCATGCTCCAACAGAAAGCAGAAGAGAGTCGATTTGATCAAAATGAGCTCCTGCTTCAGAAGAACCTGGTGTCAAAGCTGCAGGAGGAGGTGGAGTCACTTAGACAATATGTTTCAGAGGCAACACAGCAGCTGGAGGAAAAAGAACAGGCTTTAGAGGGAGTCAACAGCGAGTGTCGGAGCGTTAGAGATGAGCTGAATAAACGAAACGAGTCTGTTTTCTCCCTCAGTGGTCAGCTCGGGGTCATGAATCAGAGCGCTGCAGAGATGGAGGCTGAGATCACACGTTTGAAGGCTTTGGAGCAGAAACTCGCCTCAGAAAACCAGCAGCTGATTCGCGACGAGCAGCAGAAGAAGGCAGAGAAGATTGATTTAGAAGACAACATCCAGGCTCTGAAGGATCAGAACACCAAACTCAAATCTGAACTTCAGAAAACCATAAAGGAATTCTCTGACTCCCAGGAGCTCATCACCCGTCTCAGAGCAGAAGTGTCTGAGAAGGAAGGAGAACTCAGATCCACTCGTTCTGAGTCAGAGACTCTAAAGTCGGGGGTCCAGGAGAAAGAGGACATCCTGCGGACACAGGAGGGTTTGATCCAGCAGCTCAGCAGTCAGGTCTCTGAGCAAGAAGAGCAGCTCAAACGGAGCACAGACTACAAACTTGGCTTACAGAAGCAAGTTTCTGAGCTCCAAGACTCGAACGGTCAGCTCAGAGGTCAGGTTGACCGTCTGACCTCAGAGTCATGTGAGCTGAAAACCAGTCTGGAGAAGAACCAGGAACATCAGAGCCACTCTTCTGCTGCTGTCGAAAACCTCAGCTCTCTTCTGAAAACCAAAGAGGCCGAGTGCGAAAGCCTGAAAGAATCTGTCACAAAGCTAAGCAGCTCCCTCCAGGAGCAGATCCGAGAAGCAGAAAGTCTCCGATCGGCATCAAGAGAAGCAGAAACTGCTCTTCTGGAGCGCTCCAAGTTTCTGGAGGACGTTCAGAGACGAGCAGACGAGGCTTCGCTCTTCAAGGCTCAGTTCATGGAGAGCACAGAGTTGGTATCCCAGCTGCAGAGTCACATCCAGCTTCTGTCCTCCGAGTCCCAAAACCTGAAGAAGTCCTCAGACGAGACGCAAAGTGCCTTCAACAACCTGCAGGAAAAGTTCACAGGTAACTTAGAGGAGCTACAGGCTGTGAGGAAACATCTGTCTGATAAAACCGGCGAGGTCTTCGGTCTCCAGGCTCGATTAGAGGAGTCCGGCAACGAACAGCAGAACGCAAAAACTGCGATGGAAACATTAAGACGCGAGGTGTCCCTGATCAGAGACCAGCTGCAAAAATCTGAAACCTCAAACTTTAATCTGTCTAAAGAAAAAGACGAAGCTTTAGCTTCTCACCAGGCCAGTGTGAGTCAGCTGACCTTTGAGATAGAAAGACTCAAATCCCAGCACCTCCAGGTTGTAGCTCAGATGAACGCGCTGACGGAAAACCTGGAGCAGAGAGAAATGGCTCTTCATGCAATAAATAATCAGTACGGCGCTCAGGCCAAGCAGGCGGCGCAGCTGATCTCAGAACTGCAGAAAGTGGAGGAGCAGAACAAAACCCTGAAGGAGGAGAACCTTCAGCTGCACGCTGCTGTCGGCGAGGAGAACTCGCGCTTACAAACAGAAGTTAGGAAGCTTCTGTCTGAAAAGGAGGAGCTGGAGCAGAAACACCACCAGGTCTGGGCGGAGCTGCAGAGTCAGCTGGAGAAAACCGAGTCCGACAAGCAGAGCCTTCAAGCCCAGGTTAGTGCCAGAGACGAAGAGCTGTCTCGCTTTAAAGAAAACGTTCAAAGTGTAGAGCAGGTTCTGCAGGATTCAGAGAGAGAGTGGCTGTTGGTTCTGGACAGGGAGAAGCAGGACAAGAGTCTGCTCTCAGAGCAGTTAATAAGACTTGAAAATGAAATGAAATCTAAAGATGTTAAAGTAATTGCTTTGAAGCAGGACTTGGACAGCCTGCAGGAGAAGTTAGCAGAAGCTTCTGCTAACTTCCGTCGGGGTTCTGATCAGCTGAGCGCCAAAGAGTCAGAGGCGTCGGCGTCCAGACTCCAACTTCAGAAGGTTTTAGAGTCCATTCAGGATAAAGAGAAAGAGAACAAGAGCCTTCAGCGCACTTTTAGATCTGTGGAAGATCACCTTCGAAAACTAGTCGTGAAAGATATAGCTGCTGTTTCAAACCGGGAAGAATCTTCTTTACAGGACCTGCTGAAGCAGCTAGAAGACGGACATCAGGCTGAGATCAGCGCTCTGAGAAGGGAGCTGGATCAAACTGCCGCACAGCTGCAGGAAGAGAGGAACAGAGAGGAAAAGGCTCAGATGTTACAGACTCAGCTGGAGGCACAAGTGGAGAAGGTGAAACACGCTTCTGACAGGTTCTCCTCGTTGGAGTCTGAGCTGAGAGCAAACGAGGAACAAATGAGCTGCATGGGTGTTCAGATCAGTCAGCAGAAGGATTTACTGTCAGGCCTCAGTCAGCAGTTAAAGGACAAAGATGCATCCATCACCCAGGTCATGGAGTCCGCCTCCAACGAGAGGATGAAGCTTGTCGAGGAGAATCGGTCTCTGACAGGGCAGCTGGAGGAGACGCAACAAGCTCTTCAGACCTCAGAGAGGAGGCTCCAGGAGGTTCTTCAGCAGCTGGAGGAGACGCAACAAGCTCTTCAGACCTCAGAGAGGAGGCTCCAGGAGGTTCTTCAGCAGCTGGAGGAGACGCAACAGGCTCTTCAGCCCTCAGAGAGGAGGCTCCAGGAGGTTCTTCAGCAGCTGGAGGAGACGCAACAAGCTCTTCAGACCTCAGAGAGGAGACTCCAGGAAGTTTCACAGCAGCTGGAGGAGATGCAACAGGCTCTTCAGACCTCAGAGAGGAGGCTCCAGGAGGTTCTTCAACAGCTGGAGGAGACGCAACAAGCTCTTCAGACCTCAGAGAGGAGGCACGAGGAAGTTTCACAGCAGCTGGAGGAGACGCAACAAGCTCTTCAGACCTCAGAGAGGAGGCTCCAGGAGGTTCTTCAACAGCTGGAGGAGACGCAACAAACTCTTCAGACCTCAGAGAGGAGGCACGAGGAAGTTTCACAGGAGCTAGAAGAACTTTCTGAAATCAAGAGCAGGACATCAGAGCTGATTAAAGAGAAGGAGGATCTGCAGAAGGAGCTCATCGTTGTTTCTAAAGAAAAGGACGTGATGAAGAAGAAGCTTCAAGCTGCTCTCGTCGTAAGGAAAGATCTACTGAAAAGAATCGAGGAATATGAAAAGCACAAAGAAGAGAAAGTAAACAACAACACGCCAGATCTACAGGAACAGCTGGTTGAAATGACAAGTCAGGCTCAAGCTGCTGCACAAGCTTATAAAGTAACAGTTTCTCTTCTAGAAACCAGGATCATCCAGAAGGAGGAGGAGATACTGGAGATCAAAGCAGAACACAAGAAGATGGTAGAACATTTACAGTCTGACAAAGAAGTCCTGCAAACTGTTTTGAAGGAGAAGGACTTGGTCATTGAGCAGCTGGAGTCCAGAGCTTCAAACAGAGAAGAGGAGTTCCAACAAGACAGAAACAGTCTGATTCAGAAGCTAGAAGACCTCCAGAATGAGACCAGGATGTGTAAAGATGAGCTGACGGACAAAGCTTCTGCCCTGGCGGATTTAGAAAAGCGGCTGACGCAGATGACGTTAGAGAAAACGGCTCTGCAGAAGAAGGCCCAGGCTGCTCTGCTCGCTCGCAAAGAAACCATGAAGAAAGCTCAAGAGAATGAGAAGAAGTTAACTCAAGAACTTTCTGATGTCAAAGATGAGCACAATGCGCTTTTTGAGCAACATCGTCAGCAAAAGGAGGAGCTGGAATCACTCCAGCTGAACCTTGACAAGAAGCTCCAGGAGCTGGACCACCTCCACAAAACGTCCACGTCTTACATGGAAGAGCTGAACACTTTAAAACGGCTCGTTGTGGAGAGAGATGAATCCCTACAGGATGCAAGGATGCGCCTGGAAACGGAGCTGGAAGCCAGCAGGTCCAGATTTCACAGCATTTCTCTGGAAATGTCCCAGAAAGACGAGGCTTTGAGGGCTATCCAACGGAGGAAAGCTGTTTTGGAATCGGCCCTGCAGAATGCGCAGCATGACCTGGAGAAGGTTCAGACGGAGGTGGAACGGAGAACAGAGGAGATGGAGAAATATCAGGAAGCAATAAAGTCAACTGAGCAGGAGAACCGGGCCTTATCGAACAGAAACGCTGCTCTAGAGGCGGAGCTGGAGCAACAAAAACACCTGAATGAGGAAAAGTTTCAAGTTTTATTACAAAAAAGAGACGCTCTGGATCAAAGTCATCTGCTGAAAGTTTCAGAGAATTCTTCTGATCATTCACCCAAGCGGCAGCGTGCTGACGACAAACATGAAGCTCTGCTGAAATGTTCTGAAACACAGAATCAACTGGATCTGTCAAAACAGGAGAAAGATGAAGTCACTGGTCAGCTTCAGGATGAAATGAGTTCACTAAAACAGCAGAAACCCGAAACCTTCAGCAACCAGGCGGACGGGAGCCAAGGCGCTGCCTCCTGCAGGTCTGCTGAAGTTCTAGAGGTGGAGCTGAGGGAGAAAAATGAAGCTTTGTTAGTTTCTCAGGCTCAAGTTTCTGAAAAAGATCAACTAATCACTTCACTTGAGGTTCAGCTACAGCAGCAAATGAAAACGCATCAAATGACGGTTGAGAAGATGAGAACTGAAGCTGAAGGTCTGCAGAAATCAGCAGAAGAAAACCGCAAGACCAAAGATCAGGAAAACCAAACCAAAATACTCACCCGGAAGCTCCAGGCTTCTTTAGTTTCCAGGAAAGAACTCATGAAGGAGAATTCCTCGCTGAAGGAGGACGTGGAAAAGCTTTCCGCTAAACAGGAAGCTAAGGAAGCGGAGTGTTCTGATCTGAGATCAGCTGTGGTGAAGTTGAAACAGCAGAATCTGGACCTGGAAAGTTCTGTGTCCTCCGCCATCAGAGAGAGAGACGGGCTGAGCTCGGAGGCTGATCGGATCCTGAGCGAGAACCGCAGCTTGTCTGCCGCCTGCGACAGCCTGAAGCTGACCATAGAGAGCATCACTCAGCAGAAGCAGGCCTTCTCCTGTCAACTCGAGTCCCTCAAAGACTCTCAGGCCGAGGAGCTGTCCAAGTGGAAGTCCAAACACGCCGAACTGAAACAGGAGTACGAGTGTCTGCTGCAGGCCTACGAAAACGTCAGCAGTGAAATGGACAAGATGAGGCAGCTGTTAGAAGGAGCCAAACGGGAGCGGCAGGAGCTCCTCCACAAAATACACGACCATGAGAACCAGGCGGAGGTTCTGGAGCAGCGAGCCCGGGAGGCAGAGGAGGAAAACGCAAGGGTCAAAGAGAGGATGCACAAATTTACCAAAGAGAAACGACAGAAGGTGGAAGAGCTGGAGGAAGAGAATCAGAAACTCAGGGGAGACCTCGTAGAGCTGGAGGGAAACCACAAAACGCAAACGAGTGAAATAAGAACTAAAAACCTGCAGCTGGAGGAGGAGATTTCCCGTCTAGGAGACTCCTTAGAGGATCTGAGAGGAAAACTTGCCGAAATTCGTGCAGAAAACGGACGGCTGTTTGGAGAACTGGAATCAGCTCGCTGTGCTTTGGAAGAGAAACACTCGGAGTCAAACCAATATTCAAACAACATGCAGCTGAAGCTGGATGAAGCTCTCAGTTTGAACAACTCGCTGACTGCTCAGATCCAAGCCCAGAAAACAGAACTGAGCTCCCAGCTGGAAATAAACGGCTTGTTACAGAAGGACAAGTCGGATCTGTGTGAGAGGATCAACCAGATTCACAATGATCACGAGCTGCAGCTGGGATCGAAGGACGCCGCCATCAGAGAGCTAAAGGACATCATCAACAAGCACAGCCAGGAGGCCATCAACCTGAACGAGAAGGTCAGAATCCTGGAGGACGACAAGTCCCTCCTCCAGGAGGAGCTGGAGAACACCCAGGAGGCCTCAGACAAGGTGAAAAATGAAAAGGAATATTTAGAAACGCTCATCCTGAAGAATTCAGAAACAATTGATGAGTTGACCGAGTCCGTGAGCGTTCTCCAGACTCAGAACGCTCAGCTGGCGGCGCAGCTCGAAGCGGGTAAAGAGACGAGCAACCGGATCTGCAGAGAGAAGGAGCAGGAGCAGCTGAAGTTGGTGAGGGAGTTTGAGGACAAACTCAAGAGCGTCCAGAGAGGAAACGAAGGCTCAAAGAATGCAAAGAGAGAGCTGCAGGAGCTTCTGAAGGAGAAACACCAGGAGATCAACCAGCTGCAGCAGAACTGCATCAGGTACCAGGAGGTGATTCTAGATCTGGAGGGCGGGTTGAAGCGCTCGCAGTCGGCATGTGAACATCTGGACAAGGAGCTGAAGAGGAGCTCTCAGAAGATGTTTGTGTCAGAGGAGAGGCATGAACAGGTGGTGGAGGAGTTGATCAGGCTCAGGAAGCTCCTCCAGGAGGCCGCAGAGAAGATGACGAGTGTCGAGTCAGAGCGAGACCAGCTGGCTTCTCGAGTGTCGCAGCGCAACAAACAAATGGAGAAATCGGAATCTTCTGAAAGAGTTCCTGAAAGAGTTCCTGAAACCATCTCCTACACGCAGAATCAGCTACAGCAACAACTGGAGGAGCTGAAGAGTCTAAACCAGAGAGAACGTCAGAAACTGGACGAGCTGACGCAGCAGCTGGACTCTAAAAACCTTCAGATCAACGCTCTGAGAAGATCAGCTGAGACGTCCGAAGCCAAGCTGTCTGCGTTGTCTTCAACTCCTCACGGAGCCGATGCCTCCAGACTGTGGGATGAGCTGTACCAACGGAGCCTTAACGAGAAGGACAAGCAGCTGCTAGAACAAGGCTCAAGGATCACCAGGTTCCTGGACGACATGAGGAGAAAAGATCAGGAGGTCAACGAGCTGCGAGTGGCCAAATCGAGACTAGAGAGGACGCTAAACGAGTACTCTGTCGCTGCTGCCGCCCATCAGAGGCAGACGTTCATCATGAGCGCCACCAACGCCGAGCTGAGTGAGAACACGGAGCTTCTGTCGGTCCAGGTGAAGGAACTTAGTGCTCGAGTGGAGAGAGTTGACCAGGAAAAAAATGCTCTGAATCGTCAGCTCGCTGACTCGGAGGACCGGATCTCTCAGCTGCAGCTTGACCTCCAGCAGGCAGAGAAGATCAACGCGGACGCAGAAGCTCAGCTGCATCTCTTACAGAGTCAACGTGATGCGATCCAGGCTGACTTCCAGAAGCAGGAGGGAATCTCCCTCCAGCTGAAAACACTCCTTCAGAACAAAGACGCCGAGATCTCATCCTTGCTCTCCTGTAAGGACGGCCAGATGTCGGGGTATCTGGAGCAGCTCCAGGCAAATTATAGAAGCCAAGCGTCTGTTTACGAGGACAGGCTGACGTCTTCACGCCACCAACGGGAAAAGGCAGACAAAGAGACGAGGGCGCTGGAGGCTAAGGTCAAAAATCTGCAGCATCAGCTGAGCAGGTCCGTCCAGGAGAAGGAGCAGATGGAGGCGAAGATGGAGTCGTTCAAGAATTCTATGGCGTCTCTGCAGAGCGAACGGGAGCGTCTGACATCTGAAAACAGGATCCTGGAAGCAAAGAGCCAGTTACGGCTGAATCACAAAGATGGCTCCGCTGGCGGAGAAGGAGGTGGAAGTAAAGGCTTCAAACAGGAGATCAGAAAGCTGCTGCATCAGATGGATGACCTGAACTCTGAGAACGCCATGCTCCGGGCTCAGCTGGTGCGCTACAGGGAGGATTTAAATCAGGTGCTGTCCCTTAAAGACAACCAGCTGAAGGTTCTGCTTCAGAAGCAGCAGGACACCATCAGAACCCTGGAAAACCAGAAGGCTGCAGCTGAGAGGCAGATCAGAAGGTTTCAGATGGAGCTCCAGGAGAAGGAAGAATCATCCGATCAAATGAAAGCAGAGAATTCCCAACTGAGAGCTCAGAAGTCCAAACTGGAAGCAGAAGTTTTAACCCAGAAGGAGCAAAGAGCCTCAACGAATGAGAGCAGGGTCATCGCTGACCTACAGGAAGCCGTTCAGGCCAAAGCGTCTGAATCTAACCTCCTCCAGCAGAAGCTCCTCTCCCAGAAAGCCTCCATCAACGAGCTCCAGGACAAGATGAAGCTGCTGGAAGGTGAAACCGATAAAAAGCTGTCAGAAGCTGATGACCGGTACAACAGTGAGCTGGATGCGTTTGAGCGAGAGGCAGCGCTGATGAGAAATGAGAAAGAAACGGCGGAGCGGAGGGTGGCGGAGCTCGCCAAGGAGCTGCTGGACCTGGAGCAGCAGCTGTCAGAGACCAGGTCACAGACTAAAGACCTCAGAGCTCAGAACGAGTCACTCTGCAAAGCCATGGCAGCCCTGCAGGACGACCGGGACCAGCTCATCGAGGACTTCAAGGTCCTCAGGAGCAGGTATGACGAGGACCTCCAGCGGTCCCGGGCGGCCCTGAACAAGGTGGAGCGCAGTCTGCAGGACACGTCTTCAGACCTGGCCATGGTGGCCAAGGACAGAGACGTCCTCGTCCAAAGACTAAAGGCTGTGGAGAGCAAAGATCCAGAAACGGAGCTGAGCAAGCTGCTAGATGAGGTGTCGAAGGAGCTGTCAGAGAAAGAGCGGAACCTGAAGCAGGTGGTTCTGGAAAACGACACCTTCAGCCGGCAACTGTCAGCATTCTCCAGATCCATGGCTAGCCTGCAGAACGACCGCGACCGGCTGATGGACAAGCTGGCTGGAGCCAGACAGGCGTCCGGCCCAGACCTAAACCCAAACCGAGGGTCCGTCAGAACCCCGGAGAGCCCGGCAGACGAGTCGGTGAGTCCTGGGCTTTGTTTGGGTCTGATGGTGATTGTTTCTGCAAAAAGCATGGCTGCGTGCTGCTTCGTTTGCCTGGAATGTTCTGGTGTCTGACTTCATGTTCCGTTGTTTATCTTAGGTAATAAATAAATAAATAAATAAATACATAATCTGAGTTTGTTTTTATGGCTGCAGGTTAAGAGAGAAACAGCCACTGAGCTGCAGCAGGCAGGCGGTGAAACTCAGGATGGATCCACAGATCAGAGGTAAAACAAACTGGACCATGGGTTCAACAGGTAGAACTTCCTGTGAGGTGCTTCTTATAAACGGTCTGGGTGCTTCACCTCGTCTTTTTAGAGTTCCACCTTTTATGTTTCTCATCATTGTGTAACAATAATGATGTATGATTGTGATGTCATAATGATGCTTATAATTCCTGTAGGTCTGAAGCTGACAGGAAGGAGCTGCTGCCAATTAAAGTGAGTTGGCTTTCATCTGAACATCATTGCCAGGTTCTGGTTTAATAACCTGATCTAGTCCGGTTTAATAACCTGATCTAATCCGGTTTAATAACCTGATCTAATCTGGTTTAATAACCTGATCTAGTCCAGTTTAATAACCAGATATCTAGTCCAGTTTAATTACCTGATCTAGTCCAGTTTAATAACCAGATATCTAGTCCAGTTTAATTACCTGATCTAGTCCAGTTTAATAACCAGATATCTAGTCCAGTTTAATTACCTGATCTAGTCCAGTTTAATAACCAGATATCTAGTCCAGTTTAATTACCTGATCTAGTCCAGTTTAATAACCAGATATCTAGTCCAGTTTAATTACCTGATCTAGTCCAGTTTAATAACCAGATATCTAGTCCAGTTTAATTACCTGATCTAGTCCAGTTTAATAACCAGATATCTAGTCCAGTTTAATTACCTGATCTAGTCCAGTTTAATAACCAGATCCGGTCCGGTTCGGTTTAATAACCTGACCCGATCCAGTTTAATAACCTGATCCGGGCCGGTTCGGTTTAATAACCAGATCTAATCTGGTTTAATAACCTGATCAAATCAGGTTCAATAACCTGATCTAGTCCAGTTTAATAACCAGATCCGGTCCAGTTTAATAACCTGATCCAGTCCGGTTTAATAACCTGACCCGATCCAGTTTAATAACCTGATCCGGTCCTGTTCGGTTTAATAACCTGACCCGATCCAGTTTACTAACCTGATCCGGTCCGGTTCGGTTTAATAACCAGATCCGGTCCGGTTTAATAACCTGACCCGATCCAGTTTAATAACCTGGTCCGGTTTAATAACTAGGTCCGGTTTAATAACCTGACCCGATCCAGTTTAATAACCTGATCCTGTCCGGTTTAATAACTAGGTCCGGTTTAATAACCTGACCCGATCCAGTTTAATAACCTGATCTAATCCGGTTTAATAACCTGAAAGTGCAAAGTGTGTGTAACTCTTCTCCTTTTTTCAGAACAACTTCAGCTTTCAGTGTGTGGTTTGTATTTAGAATTTATTTCTATTAAAGCCTTTAAAAACGGATTTGAATTTTTTTATATTTATTACTGAACAGGAACTTCTAAATTACTGGGCAAACAATTAAAACTTTGAACCGTAATGCATCTATTCTTTAAAAAGTTTGAACCTTGGTATCTTTTTTTAGCAGTTTTTAAGACCATTTATTTTTGTAAACTTTCAGATGTTTTTATTTATTTTAGCAAATAGTTGAGGGTTGTTCAAATAAAAAAATAAAAAGACTGAACAAACATTCATACCCTGGTTCACCGGAGACCTGTCCTTCTTCGTGGTCACTGTCTTCAGATATAAGCCTTCTGGGACACCTAATAGATCGTGTTGATTTTCTTTGAGGCATTTCCATAATTTCATGCCGGCTTTTTATGCTAATTAGCTTCCCTGTTCCGTTATCCGCCTTCACTGCGGCGCTGCGCTGTACAGCAGGATCTCTCCTTGTAACGATATTTTCCATAACTGATTGCTTCATGCTATAGATGGAAAGCTGCTTTTATGTACTTTTAGGAACCGTTGGTATTTTCTGAATCTGTCTTGTGATTTGTTGAGCTCAAGACCGGGAATCCCGGTGGCTACCGTAATGTATTGTAAATGCACGAAAAGCCCCATTTAAAATCTTTTCAGCACTTTTAGAATTTTAATGATATCGTGAAGGGTTCAGGAATTATGGTAATGAGAAGTGCGCATGTCCAATCCCATCTGCGGCGACAGGTTGGTAATAAGAGGGTTAAACCCCTAATCCATTTTGGTTTACACCCCTGATCCGGTCGGGTTTACCCCTCTAATCCAGTTTAAAGCCAGTACTAAAACCACGTTTGAGCTGAAACTAAGTGACATAGTTTATTGTTTATTCCAGCTGGAAGCTGCTGCTTTGGCAGGTCGGAGTTCACATGAGGAGGTGGTGAGTCAGTTGCAGGCTGAGAGGATGCAGCTTCACAGAGATCTGCAGCGCTGCATTTATGAGATCCAACAACGGGACCGGTACTTCCAGCAGCTCGACACCAAAGTAGGAAACAGCCGAGTGAGAGTTGGTGTAAAGAACCCAGGCATCTGATGTCCTGCTCTTCTCTCCAGCTGCAGCAGGCGGTGGAGGAGAAGTCAGCTGTTACGTCTCAGCTCAGAGCCGTTTCTCAAACACTCAGAGACACTCAGAACCGCTGCCACTGGCTGGAAAGTCAGGTCCAAGGCCAGGTTCAGGTAGTGGATCCAAAGCAGATGCTGATTCTTCCAAACCACCTGCTGAGCATTAAACACCCGTCTATCCCATCAGGGCTCGACGTTCACTGAAGTCGCTCCAGGAGCTCCTCAGGAGAGGAGCAACGAATCCATGATGAGTGAACCTTCTGAAGCCACTCAGCTCAGAGAAAGGTGACCCGATGGTTCTGTTGGCCCGCCTCGACACGCTCTCTGAGAGGAAATGGTGAAATGACCGAAGCATGTTTTGTGTTGAAGGTTGCTCGAGGTGGAGCTGATTCTAGCCGACGAAAGAACGAGGAGAGAAACGGCAGAGGAGGCGCTTCGTCTCTCCGAGGACAGATCCAAGAGGTGAGAAGTTTACCGAAACCTCGGCGCCGAGAAACTCGGTTCTGAGCTCTTAAAATGTGTTTCTGTGATTCAGCATCAAATCCAAAGATGTTCAGAAGGATTTCAGCGTCCAGATGGAGACGGAGGAGGAGTGGGAGGCTCTGAGTCTGAACCCAAATCAGCCGCTGATCACCCGGAAGGTAAGCAGAACCGCGTACGGGAGCCGGCCACCGGGGGGGCGCTTCCACCTCCACCTCACATGCTGTTTGTCTGCCTCTCCTCCAGGTGAAAGGTGGCATGGTGGCATGTCGTCGGTGGCTCAGGGGGCGGAGCTTCTACTTCTCTAGACTTCTGACAAGTCGCGCTCGCTCTCGATACATCTTCCTGGCATACCTGCTAATGATCCACGTGCTCGTGCTCATGTGCCTCACCGGTGCGCTGTAGCGGACTCCTTCAGTCCGACCGACAGTTAGAAATGTTTTTATTTGTAGTTTGACGAAACACTAGAACCAGCAGCAGCTGGACGCGAACACTACCTGTGAGGAGGAACGGCGTTTCGTTCCGTTCCTGCTATCTGTAAAACAAGCCTTAAAGCACCTTTCGGTTTAGAGGAGAACACGGAGGACTCCTCTGCTGGCTCCAGATCAGCTTTATGTCGTAAGATGAGACCAGAACCCTGGGCGGAACCCGAAAGCGCAGAGAGCCATAAACAACTCAGGGTTCTGTCTGCGCTGCCTTCACGAGCATCCGGAACACCTGCTGCTTCACTCACCTGCCTGAAGTCATGAGTTGCACATAATCATAATGCTGAGTTCAAACTATGCACTGAAACGTGGCTGAAGTCAGGAGGCACCACCCCGCTCCCTTTAACACCAAAGCTGCTTGGTCTTTGGCTCCAACTCCCCCCCAGAGGGAGGAGACGATGATGACGTGACCCTAACTGTATCAGAGTGCTATTTCAGCACAAACCGTATTTATGATTATTTATGTGGATCAGCTGTACATGATGTCTGTATGTAAATAAGCCTTTCTGATGTTGGACGACTGTACATTTCCTCCTGGATTGTCCACTAATGTAAAATGTAAAATACGAAGCAACAGTTTTATAAAACCGTATCAGTTGATGAGTTTTTTGTTTGTTTTTAAGATGGTAATAGTAACGGTATCAGCGTACGTCTGAGGCTTCCCATCTCGTTAACTGATCCAGTTTTATTTTGAAAAGCTGCGTTTCCTTTTCGCTGCTGTCATCAGTTGTACAAACGATGATTGGAAATGAAGAACCAAATGTATTTATGAAAAAAGTCAAACTACTGAAAAAAATGTTTTCTCCATAGCCTCTGTTTTTGATCGATGACACGAGGTTAAACTGTGCAATACTGAGTCGGGGGTGGAGGTCTCAGACAGGTGAATCAAATAAACGGGAGTCTTCTTCACTGCATGCGTCATATTTATTTACCATTACATGTATTAGTTTGTTTATAAAGTGAAAACAGGGTTTAAGTCACAACAGCAGGGTCAGGGCCCCACCTCGTAAGGGGTCCCAACCGGGCCTTTTTGAGACCAGAGTTTCCACTTCTGTTCACAACAAGAAGCACTTTTAGGCCAAAAAAATTCAAATGATTTCACTCCTGCTCGTCTGAGCTGGTTTATGTTTTTCTTTTATAGTTTAAGACCAAGAAACAGGAAAAATGAGCATAAATAAGAACATGAGTAGTGGGAGCCCGTCTGACAGGATGTTGTTTAGAAGTAATGTGCGCATGTGGCCGCTAGAGGGCGGCATTGACTCAGGAGTAAATCCAGTGGCTCTGCTTTCTGATGTGACCTGTGAGATGATTGAATGAGAGCTGGATTCTCTACTCCTGCTGATAAATTTAACCCATTCGGTTTTATTTAGTTGTTTATAATTTCTAGTCTTCAGAATCGTGAATATTCATGAAGACTGTAGTTTTCTGAGACTGCATGAAGTCCTGTTGGAGATGAAGGCTATGTGATGAGAGTTGGAAATTTGCTTTAATGTTCTAAACCATCTCACATGGACAGCAGAGGATAATTCCCTGTCTTTGTCTTCATGCTGAAGGCCGATGGCTCCTGTTACCTCAGTTCTGTAAGAGTCTTTATGTAAGATGACCACACAGCCCAGGACTTTCACTGCTGATGGAGATGAATCATCCACATTTAAAAACCCAAGCGGCAGCATTTCACACTGACCTGAAGTCCGCTCGGTTTGGATTCCCTGGATTGTGGCTCGGGAATCTACATCTGGGATCAGTTCTCTGATCGTTGGTGGAGGTGACCCACTTGTTTTCAGCTCCAGAGGAGGAGAGCGTGGGAAACGGCTTGGATTCAAACACACTCTGAGGTGGAAAAGATGAAGAACAGAAAACAAGGCCACACTTACAAGATGTGCTTGACTTGCAAATGATCGTCTTTACACATCTGTAAAAATAACACCACAGGGTTTGAGTTAGGAAGGAGAGCACAAGATAAACCTGCTGCTTCTGAGTCTGCAGAAACATTTCAGGCTGATTCTTCTTTGGAAGCTGTTAAATCATCACTAACGGGTCTGGAGCGGTCCAGGGAGTCAAATGAGATCACATTATCTGTCGTCTCATTATAACCTCAGTAGTCCTCGCCACGAGGAGGCAGGCGTTCGATCCTGGAGCTCTGATGGATGGAGAAAAAGATCAGATTATACACGTGCATCAATTATTTGATTTGAAAAACAGCACTTTGCTTTTCTGTGGTGATGCACAAGGATGTGTATTTAGTCCTCCATTGTTTCATTTATAAAGGCTGCTGCTGCTTAAAAACAAGGCTGAAACATTGAACAAATGTGACAAATTTGGATAGTCCTTTTAGAATTTCATGATCAATTCAATTCAGTTTATTTACAGTATATAGCACCAAATCACGACAAGAGTCGTCTCAAGGCTCTTCACATAGTCAAAATTCCAATGCAGTTCAGCCAATCAGTAAAAAGTTTCCTACGTATGGAACCCAGCAGGTTGCATCAAGTCACTGACTAGTGTCAGAGTCTTTACAGCAGTCCTCATATAAAGCAAGCATGTAGCGACAGTGGAGAGGAAAACTCCCTTTTAACAGGAAGAAACCTCCAGAGGATCCTGGCTCAGTATAAGCAGCCATCCGCCATGACTCACTGGGGATCGAGGAGACAGAGCGCACGCACACACACACACAAACAAACATATACCAAGTAATATTTCTATGGTTACATTGTGATTTGTTAGTAAATATTCTATTTGGTGAGAGATAAACTTTATTGTATTTATCCTATTGAATCTATAATTAAACGGGTAAACTAGTAGTAGCACATTCAATGTCAAAGAAAGTAAAGTGTTATTATCAGGAGAGGGAGAATGTTTAAGTGGTAAGCAGCAGTGTTCAAGGCGATGAAAACTGTTAAAAATAAATGGGTCAAACAATATTTAACTTAATGTTTTCAATTTGTATTTTATTAAGACATTATTTTTATTTATTTATTTTTTGTTTTCGTTTATTTCATTCAGAATAAAAACAAATAAAACATATAAACAAGAAATACATAACAAAAAATCTAATTTGAACGAAAAGGAGCAGAATGAAGAAAAACATCTCATAATTTCTGCCCCCTTTTCCAGTAGAAATAATCAATTTACATACAATTACCATTTGTCAGACATACAGATTCATTTTAAACTTTTTCCTGTGCTAAATTCCAATGCGATCATGATCATTGATTTAATTTACATTTTCATAATTAGTACACAATTTGGTACATTTTTTGAATATATTAAATGACAGTTTTTTTCGATTTCCCTTTTAAGGTTTTTCCATAATTTAACACCATTTACAGATGTATTCCATTCCTTAAGTTTAGTTCTAAATCTAGGTTTTGAAAACACATCAGTTTCTTTTAGCATGTCATTACTAGTTCTCTTCAAATATCCCCTGAATGTTTGTTGGCAGAGTACCTAAATTGGTTTTATACATGGTTTGTAAGATTTTCCAGTCTTTTAAATCACAAAATTTCAGTAATTTATATTTACTAAACAATGGGTTCGATGGATCTCTACAGCCACTATAATTGATGACTGTCAGAGCTCTTTTCTGTAAAATAAATAAGTTAACGTCTTCAGTAAGTCTTTAAAGGTATTTTTCCCAGAGAATTTGTTCCTATATTGCTTGAAATGCTCTTCACCTGGTAACCATTTCATTAAATGCCTTAATAAGAAAAGGAATAATTGGAATGACCTCTGAAACATACAATCCTGGGAAAACCTAATCAAACTGTTGTAAACGTCTCATTCTGTTGAACCCTGTCCTGTTCCATCTGTCAGGCTGTCCTCTGACCCCACCCCCCTTCATACCCCTGCAACCGAACAGGAAGCAAAGTCAGAATCAGGCTAGCAATATTAGCTAGCATACTAAATTATTAAGCAGTAATGTAGACTTAGCAGAAAAAGTGAAAGGGTTTTCCAGTGTGGTAACCAAACCCCCCCCCCCCCCCCCCCCGGATCTCTGATCTAGGTCCCAGAGTCCAGGGAACCGGAACCGGACCCTGAGGAGGCCAAGCCTGTTACGTATAGGGGTGGGCATTGATAAGTTTTTATCAGTACCAGTGGCATTGTTGATTCTGTCTATCGATCTGTAATTATTTAAATTACAGGTTATTTAATAAGCCATAAGGTGTTGGATTCCATAGGAAATATGAAATCAAGCTTATGGATCTGTGAAATGATTTAAACCAGAAGATTGGAACTTTTTAATGCAGGGATTAGATAACCGCTTCGTATTCACTCAGAGACACAGAAGAGAGAGAGTCAAGTTTAAAAGTTAAGAATTTTATTACTAACAAATTAAACTAGACTGACTTTAAACACCAAATGTTTGGTGTAACTAAGGCGAATGAGACGGTGAATGGATGACGTGTGATGTTAATCAGAACCAGCAAATACGAAGGAGTGATTAGTTCTGACAGGAACTGAAGGTGATGTCTTCGTGTTAAGCTTTGATTAGGAGGTTCATAAACACATGAGACACCATTTGCCGGTCTACCTACCCTTGGTGGAAGTCCTCGTTAGATCAGGAATGTCGAGGTCCAGCTTGACCTTTCTTGGAACCGAGCCGGTAGGAAAAGCAGCGGTTGCCGACCAGACCAGTCCAGGTCACGACAATTTGTTGGCATCTGGTGAGACCTGAACCTGGGTCTTGATGGTTCAGCTTTTATTCTGAAAGGAACCGTTGCAGCAGTTGGAACAAAAACAAATTTTCCAGCTTGTCGTTGTTCTCATGGCTAAAGAGGAGAGTTACGGATTGGCCACTCTGAAGCTTTCTCTGGAACACTTTGAACTGGCGTTAGAGATGATGTGGGCATAGTTTTATCCTTCGGATGTTTTGGTTTATGGTCGAATGAAAAGTTGACAGGTTTTACCAAACTTCATCAAAACCACGCCTCCGTCAGATCATTCAGATTCTGATTGGATCAGTGAAAGTAATGTGTCATGTCTTTTAACGCTACGTGAAATGAGTCCTGTTGGAACATTTAAAGTCATATTACTTAATATATTCCATAGGATTATAATAAAGTAATTAATATTTTGATTTCACAGATCGATCACATCTTATTCATTGACTAACACTTTGATGGATTAGCTTTATTAAAATAGAGTTCTTTGATTAATTAAAAGAAAAGAGTTCATTCTTCGTTCTTCTGTTGAGCTGAAAATAAACAGGTTAGAAGCAAATGCATGAGACCTTGAGACTGTCTCTCATGCAGACTAGTCCTGTGCAGAGGAGGGGAAAAAACAGTCATTTCATTCTGTTACAGATCCAATTTCTTGTCCATTCCAGAGTAGTTAAACCAGTGGCCAAAATCTAACAGCACACGGCTCCTGCAATATAACTGTCAGTTTCTTTATGATAAATAACCAAATGTACCTGTATCAGTTGGAGTTATGTTTCCAAATGTTCTGCTTTGTGCTCCCTGTGAAGGCGGAGTCATCTTCTTGTTTGGTGCTGTGTTGCTGTAGCTTTTGTAGAGTGGGTAGAATCTCAGCACAGGTCAGACCTTTGTCGCTGGAGTCTGCTAGTGTGGAGGTTCATATTTAAGGTACATGACGCTAACATGATGGGCAGTGTTAGTTGATTAGTTACCTGCAGTATTAACAGGAGAGGACGTGTGAACGTCACCACTGATGGTGTGCTGATATTCACTCATCCGGAGCGGGTCCAGACGCGGCAATAACTTACAATTAGCGCGTTTTTTGTGCCCAAAGACTTTTGTATATTCATGCTTCCTCATTTGATGTAATATCTACTTTGCAATTATTGCAAGTTACCCTGTTGTCGTGCTTTCTTGTAAAATATATCAAACTTTTAAGCGTTTGTGCCACTTAGACGCCATTTTTCCTGGTTCCGTAAGCTACGCAACGTG